TTGTGGGTGAGTTCTGGGGTGAAGGTGGTTGCAGTTTGGCTCTTTTCCGACTGATATCTGGGGTTTCTGGCAATGTTTTAGGCATGTGATGGCTGATTTCTGGGGAGAAGGAAAAAGTTGTGGGTGAGTTTTGGTCTGCTCCTGGCATTGAACTGGTTTACTTTTGGCTAGCAGCTTTTGGGCCAGTCTTGGACCGTAATTCGTAGTGGTACTGTATGTAGGCCAAACTCACAGCTGAAATTTAAGCAGATTCAGCCAAGAATCAATTTGCTATTTGGAAAAAACCCAATAAAATTCGCAAATTACTGTAAACCAACTCCCCTGCTTGAGCGGGATGTTTGTATATTTTAGGGAAACTTGTGGTATTGATAGACTATCAGGATAAGCTACTGTTAGCAAGTGTTTGCATTTTTCCGTATTTGTCCCTGTACATTGTGTGATTTGTTTTGGCAGAACAAATTGAGGTGAACTTTTTCCTCAATTTGTCACTCAATTGAGGTAAATCGATTTGTGTTTGCGCTAAAAATGTTTACTGTTGGAAGACGACTGATGAAGATAGACAAGTTACAGTATACTCCTCTTGGTCAAGTCGTGTGGTAATGATTGTATTTACAAGATAAGCACGCATGGGGAAACGCAGGAATGTTCCAAGTTAAAAAATTTCCAAGTTAAAAAAAAGTTAAAAAATAAAATAGCGATAAAACTTATCATAAAATACTTAAATTAAATTTGTTTTTAGTAGCTATCGTAGCTACAGTTAGGAATGCCATTATTTCTTAAAGACCATGCATCCAAAATTCTAAATTCATTATACCATAATAAGAGTTAATATAATATCCTTCGCTGTGATGCTCTTTGTGATATTTGTCTTATCATGACGGTGATCACCCAACATTTATTATCTTTAACATTTATTTATTAATTTTGGAATTATTGTTTTTGTACTGTTTGTTTATTTATTTATTTAATTGGGTGAAAGCTCTGCACCATAAACCTTAGGCTAACTTTTTGTTGCAATATTGGCTGAAAAAAACGTCCACGGCAGGGTATTTTTGTCCTTGCCATAAACTGATCCATTAAACTGATTATAGTAATTCATCTAGAGACTATTCGGTTACACAAACCGTGATTTGTTGCGTCTTTGTTTGGAAGTACTCTTGGAGGAGAGAACGCAAGTGACAAACAAACATGATCTATCTAACAAGCTTATTATTTGTTACAACTAAGACCTTTCCCAAGGAACAGTCTTGGCAATCAAGCGCTTTACCTAAACTGACAAGTATAGCGGAGTTATATGAGGTCACACAATATTCTGGAGCGCTTTTGTCCAAAATATACTTTCAGCACACTCAGTTCTGATTGTTGACAAATCAAGAGAGACATGGGAATATGAATTGAAAATCGCTATGGACCAAATGCTTTTTTTTTCCAGAACAATGCAGTGACACTGTTGGCTCCGATCAAAGAAAAAAATCTTGATGATTTACTTGCTGTCTGGCTACTGCGATCTCGCTAGGATTTGAAACACAGACATTATTTGAAACAAGTCTAGATTCAAACTCTCTAACTAGATTAAATACTAACCATGTTACACTCCATAAAAGCTGCGTAGTTATAATCCAGAAGTGAAGTATTTCAGATGTGGCTTTAGAAGAAACTGCATTCTTGCATTCTACAATTGGGTGCAGTAAAGTTAAAAATGTTGGCAATAGGTTAGAAGTACAGTGGCCAAAATATTGGACACTCCATTTCCAGTGGACTCAGAGTGTTGTCTCTTAGGAAATTGCACTGATTTTAATCTCAGATGCAACCACAAAATAAAATATACAAACTTTGCCTTCACCGTTGCTAGGAAAGGCATTGCATGGACCTGGAAGTTGAATTCCCTAAATGTATCCTCCTTGTAAAAATACACTGGGACTGCGTTAAGAAAACCTGCATTTGGAATATATCAAATTGAACAAGTTTCAAAAATGTGAGATGTGCTTGACCAATGAAAAAATATGTTGGGGTGTCATGAGTGGTTGCTACAGTATGTACAGGGTTGTGTGATGAGAGGAGAAGGTAGTGAACTAGGTGCTGTTCTACCTGGTGAGCCTGGCGAGGAACCATAGAGATTTGCCGCCCATCAGGAAGTCTTATAGGGAACCTGCGATTGTAACTTTTAAAACAATAGGGATTTGAAATCTAATCTGAGGCCAATTTACAGAATTACTCTTGACTGGAAAGTTTAGTCTTCAGGGAAATGGATTGCTGTTAGATCATTGTAAAAGCTGACATCCCATCACCGCTGCGAGGTTAGCTAGTCAAAGCCCACTGCTGCTAGTCTGTTTTCATTGGCAACTACTGATGGACTGTTTAACTAGGACTGCGGTCCAACATGTGAAATTAAGAAAGCCTTTACACACATTCATGGTAATGGAACTGTACAAGCAGGGATGTTACATTTTCCAAATGAAAATGAGCAAGAATTTGCAGAATGCACAAAGAAATCTGCCTTTCCCACAGAACAACTGCACATTATCCATCTAAAGAATCTTTCTGAAATGGAGGTACACCAATGTTCAAGTTTGGGGTCAGTAGGATAAAAAAAAGTCATACTTTTATTCAGCAAATTCTCCAAGGATGCATTGATTTGATCAACAGTTACAGTAATGGCATTTTTAGACTGCTCTTTTAAAATTTCTATTCATCAAAGAATCCTGAATAAAAGTATCATGAATATTAAGAGTAATTTTCAACAGTAATAATCAGCATATTAGAAGGAATTGTGAAGGTTCGTGTGACACTTAAGACTAATGCTAAAAATTCATCTTTGCATCACAGGAAAAAATACATTTGAAAATAAATTCAAATAAAAATCTGATATTTTAAATTGTAATAATATTTCACAATATTGCTGTTTTTACTGTATTTGTGATCAATCAGTCTTGATGAGAATTAGATATTCAAAGAAATAGATCAATTCAACCCCCCCTTGCTCTTATATTTCCTGTGAAAGGCATTAAAAATAAGAATTTTTTTTTTTTAGAATTTTAAAATGAGAATTTTTGCAGTTTTTATACACAACAATAGATTGTTAAGCTCCAGAAAGCGTCAACAAACACCATAAAAGCCTAACAAGTAGTCCATATGATGTTTGCACTATATTGAAAGTCTACTGAAACTGTGTGTGAAGTACACAGTTGAACAAATTTGAAGAAAATTGGATGCACTGTAATCGTATTCATTACATGTTTGGCACTATAGTTACAAACCAATGTAATGTCAAACTTGATGTGCCATTTTTTAAATCTGCATGTAAATGAGATTTCGGAACAGGGTTGCTCTTACACACAACACGAGTCAGTGTCCCTCGAGTCTTATTGCTTTATTACAGTCTTGGCTGCTTTTAGATCAGACATATGGGAGGTTTAGGTCAGTAAATGCGAGCTTCAATTGATTTGACACCAAATAAAAAGGCAGCCTGAGCTAGACGTTAGTATATTTTGCTCTACAACTTACATCAACACACAGGAGTTTGAGTGGGTAAAGATATCAAGCAAAAGTATTCTGGAACGCAAAGGAGCTCAGCTAATGTTCAAGGTCAGTGTGTAGCTGGTGTCCAAGTGGGATTTGCTGGTGGGAAAAGTGAAGGAACTCAATGGATAGGTGGGTGACCGAAACATAAATAAAACTGGGGAATTAATTAGTGCTTTTCTTCTAAAAAAATGTTTGCGCGGCAATAACATTCACAACTGAGAACGATACAATATTTCAGGTCAAGAGAGGAGAAACCCGAGATCTACAAGTAGAGGGCATCATTGAACAGTTCAGTATGAGGAAAAAAACCCATTCATAAAAATCACAGAAATGTGTTGGAAATAAATTGGTTAAAACGTGTTGGAAACAAACGTTTGGAATAATTATGATTTTTTTTTTGTTTATTTATTTTCTTATGCTTTTATTTGATCAAGAATATAGTAAAAATAGCAATATTATGAAATATTATTTCAATTTAAAATAACTGTTTTTATTTTAATATCTTTTCAACTGTCAATTAGTCTTCAGTGTCACATGATCATTCAGAAATCATTCTAAAATGCTGATTTGCTGCTCAAGAAACATTTCTTATTATGATCAATGTTGAAAATGGTTATGCAGCTTTGTATTTTTGTTGAGACCATGGACTACAGTTCAAAAGTTTGAAAGGATGAGTAAAAAATATTCAGCATTAAATTTATGTAAAGTGACTAAAGACATGTATAATGTTAAGAAAGATTTATATTTCAAATAAATGCTGTTCATTGAACTTTCTATTTATCAAAGAATCCTGAAAAATGTACACAAAAAAAACTTAAACATTGATACAATAATAAAAAAAAATTGTAATAATAATATGATGTAATAATAAAAAAAATGTTTTCAACATTGATAATAAGAACACTGATTATTAATTGTGCATTAAGTGCATTAATATAACTGATAAGGACTGAGCAGGAAATCAACATATTACTCTCTCAGAAAAAAAGGTACAAAAGCTGTCACTGGGCTGTACCTTTTCAAAAGGTACACTTTTGTACCTAAAGGGTGCATATTGGTACCTTAATGGTACATTTTAGATGCTAATATGTACCATTAAGGTACCAATATGTACCTTTTTTTCTGAATGATTTCTGAAGGATCATGTGACACTGAAGCCTGGAGTAATGATGCTGAAAATTCAGCTTTGAATCATTGGGGATAAATTACATTTCTTTTTTTATTCACATAGAAAACAGTTATCATATATTGTAATATTATTTCATAATATTACTGTTTTTACTGTATTGTTGAATTGCTGTATGTGTGTAACCTATCTATTTAAAACCTTTGACTGGTAGTGTATAACATCGGAAAATCCAACTACATTGCTAAGAATGGTTTACTTATTGTTGACTCTTTTTAGAATTTGGATTTGAGAAAATATTTTAGTATAAAAAAGTAGTACACCTTTAAATGTTGGTGTTTTTGTGTTGCAGTCCTCAAGAACGACCCGCTCAGATGAGGAAAGGGACACCGGTTGGGATGCCTGGGGCACGTGGAGTGACTGTTCTCGGACCTGTGGAGGTGGAGCCTCGTATTCTCTACGCAGGTGTCTCAATGGAGGGTGAGTGAACACACAAACGTGATTATTGTAAGGGGCGAGACGTTTGCCAAACACGCTGGAAGTTGTTGACCAATCACAACACGACAGGCCCAGCTGACCAATCAGAGCATATTCAGCTTTTCAGAAGGAGGGGCTTTATAGAGACTGAAGCTAAACAGAGCTTTACTGACAGACTGGGAAGAGAGGTGCTGCAACAATGTAAAATATGTGATTAAATAATGTTTGTTTGTTTTTTACATTCAAGCATGATAACCTATTTAATGTTCATTGCTGTGTCATATTTATTAGCTTTTATTCATTTATTCTGTGTTTGACCCTGTTCACTGTCCATATAAAATGCGGTTTCACTTGATGCAATATACTCTACTGTTATAAGTTGTGAAATATGCTGTCACCAGTATGCCATCCCATAATACCTAACATTTTTTATTTATTTATTTATTTATTTTAAGAAAAATATATAAAAAAATATTAGTGTGAATTTCTGGCTGCCACAACTGCATTTTTCCCATGAATCTATCAGGATTTTTTCTTTTACAGTGTGCAGTTGCATTTTATATATAAAAAAATAAAATCAAGTGGCATCTGCAAACAAGTTATGCATTTCTGATGACTAAATTCACTTTTCTTGTTTAGAGATAATAGGTTTTTCAAATACTGCAGCTCTTTTTTCTACAGAGAAGTACACGGTACAATTAGCCTATCTGTCTTTGTTATATTGTATTGAATATGACAACAGTTGATTTCAGTCATCAACATGACGATATCTGTCATGATGTCAGGCTGTTTGTTGTTATCGCTGACCTCAGAGAGAGGACTTCGTTTCCAGAGAGAATGGAAAACTTGACTGACTGTTATTCAACTTCTATTTCTGTCTTATTTCTCTCCTTCTAAAGCAAAGAAAAGGTTTTGTTCCTCAAGTAATAATGTTAGTACACGTTATGCATGTGCATAATTTACATTATTTAGAATATATTAAGGAAGCCGTTGTCATTAAAATGAAGCAGAGAGAATTGAATGATTCATGGGAACCGCAAAGTGTTTTCTGGGCATAATATTCATTTTGAAATGCAAATTGGATTGTTTTGTTTCTAGCCAATTTTAGTTTCTCGAACATTAAAACTAAATTTGTTGACTTTACTTGTTGAAGTAAGTTTGTTAACTGTTTAATCGTAAACCTTGTAATGGGGAAACGTCTTTTTTTTGTGTTAGCATACTTTGTCCTATCCCAGCTTAATATGACATTTATAAAGTGTAAACACTGTGGCTCAATCAATGGCATTAGTTTGGGGCGGGACTATCTGTTTCTCTCAAGTTATTACGTCTAAAGGCCCATTCACACCAAGGACAATAACTATAATGATAATAACGATAAAGATATATTTCTTAACCCTTTGGAGTCGACTCTCGCGTCGGCACTACAAACCGGCTCAGTGTAGATAGGATTTGGGACTGTGTGAGTTCGTATGGTGTTGTTAGCCAGTCAACGCTGCCATTATGCCATATACTGCTCCAGAGTGATTAGTCACATGCTATGTACAGCTCACGTGATTGGCTGCAGACCTAAGAGAGAAATTGTGTACTTCCTACTGACCAACTTCCATTGAAATGAATGGGAAAGTCCTCACTGAGACAACTCTTAGTGTGAATCACCCAAATGAATGGCTTGTCGCTGTGCATTAAAATCTGGATAGATATCTGTTTTGTTTTTTTTTATTATTATTATTATCTTGGACACAATTATGTTTTTGTAGCTCATTGCCCATTACTTCATTACTGGAAGGTAGATGACAAAATAAAGCAATAGTCATAGAAAATTGAAGTCACACACCATTTATGCTGCCACAATACTCATTTAGAGCTAATTGAGCGGTTGGATCCAAATGAAAACAAGGGAAAAAGGGCCAATTACTCTTTAGGTCTCATTGGAAATGCTTCTACTGACCTTCAATGTAAAATTGATCTCATTGATTTGCATCTAACTGCTTCCTATGTGAGGATTTTTTTCCCCAAGAACATTCATTAAGGGTTTTTAAGTTGCTTTGAATAACGATGCTAAATGGATGAATGTAAAATACCCTTTGGAATTGGTAATAGTCTGTAATATTTTTTAAATATTTTTAAAGAAGTATCTAATGCTCACCAAGGCTTATTTACTGTATTTATTTAATCAAAATACAGTAAAACAGTTTTAAAATATTTAAAATAATAATATCTGTCTTCAATTTTAATATGTTTTAAATGCAGTTTATTCCTGCAAATTCAAAGTTGAATATTCAGCATCATTACTCAAGTCTTCAGTGTTACATGATCCTAAAGAAATCATTCTAATATGATGATTTGCTGGTCAAGAAACATTTCTTATTAATATCAATGTTAAAAAAAGTTGTGCTGCTTAATTTTTTTCTAAAAACCGTGATACATTTTTTTGGGGGGAATTTCTTGATGAATAGAAAGTTCAAAATAACAGCATTCATTTGAAATAAACATCTTTACTGTTACTTTTGATCGATTTAATGTGTCCCTGCCAAATAAAAATAATAATTCCTTTCAACAAAAAAAAGTTTTGATATGTTAGTTAAGCTTTTGTCTCTTGTCTTATATACTGCTACATTTTTGAAGTTGCTCTTTGGTTTAAAGGGTTCTTGAGTTGTTTGATTCGGGGTTTGGGGATTTATACAAAAGAAGGTCTTATATTAGTCAATCAAATGTTTTTGATTTTGATGCTATTTCATCCACAGAAAAATGTCTTGCACAGATAAAGTCTTTGCGATATTAAACAGACCATCATGAGTTTGCTGTGTGCTACTGGAATTACCCCCGCTCTCTTCCTCCTTTTGTTTATTGTCAGTAGAACTTTAGAAGCGCTCGAGCAGTGGGCCAGCTTGTGTTGTGATTGGGTTCTGCTGATTACAAGAAGATCTGGAAGTGATTCCACAGTTGATTATGTGGTCAGCGAACAAAGACGCTCTTTCTGAATCGCATCCGAGCAATATCGCTTGCACACAGGCTAGAGCACCTGTTAAAGAGCACCGGAGTAGAAATAACAGACATCTAAGGTTTAGAGTGGAGACAACTCAGGCTGTAGTTGACCTGAAAGAGAAGACTGATCAGAGATTAAGAGTTTAAGCTAATAAAAACACATACTGTTGCATTATGAAGTACATTGCCATTGCAGTAGTCCTTTTATTAATAATATGATATAATTAATACTTTAATTCACCAAGGACACCTTAAATTGATCAAAAATAACAAGAAAGCTGTATTCATAAAAGTGTCCTGAAGCAAATCAGCATATTAGAATGATTTCTAAAGAATCATGTGACACTGAAGACTGGAGTAATGATGCTGAAAATTCAGCTTCACATCTCAGAAATAAATTCTATTTTAAAATACATTCACATAGAAAAGTTATTTTAAATTGTAATAATATTTCACAAAATATTAAATATTACTGTCCTTGTTGAACAAGAAACTGCTTTGACACAATTGCAGCCAATCAGAAAATAGCAGATGTTATATTTTAATTACATGTTGAGCAGTCACTTTAATTCTACCCTATTGTGGTATAATAGTAGCCTGACTTCGTCATACTCATATTCAAGAGAGAATATGAGTCTGAAACTCCTCCATTGGGCTTTGATTATGAGGCGTGTCGTAACCGAACCAGGAAAAAAAAAAACCCTCTGCACTCAATTGGATAGTCGGTAGACCTACAACCAATCAGAGCAACGCAGCAAGTCAACTCCTTTGCATAGCGCAGTTTTCAAATACAGAACGTAGCCTAACTTTATTTATTTTAGAAGTTAAATAACGAGTGTTGCTTCTTTTACTTACTTCTCCATGAGTGCCACCAAAGGAGAAACCACAATGACCACAGGCTTTTCATTACGTCCCATCTTCTTAACGACCGTCAGAGCCAGCTGATAAGTTAACCTTTTCCTGAATCATGTGTGAAGGACGGCAAAAATATCTTTCCGATCGACAAATGCCTTGATTGCAGTTCTCCATTTGTCTATTAAAATGAATGCGCTGTCGTTTTATTTTACAAAAGACGCGACAGAGGAATCTATACATCTCAATTCTCCAGCTGCAGTCATCTTTCTTTGATAACGTGATGATTACGTCCCTGCAGATCATCTGTCGTATAAAGCCCGCCCTGGCAATTTGATTGGCCCGTTCATTTTTTTTTTTGCCAGATCATAATTACTCCTCAATGGATCGAGTCCAGACTGAACTTCCCGACCAAAAAATATTGTGGGCGTATTCGGGCTGGCACCCAGGCTAATATAATAGTATAAAATAACAGAATCATTACAAACTGTGATTGATCAAACTGACTGGCAGCTGACATGCCAATGATGGTTTAACCAGAAGTAATGTCTTCTCCAATGTCTCATTATTACATGACTCACTATTTCATCTGGGGTGGTTGATTATGATATCACTTTTCTAACTTTAGTTAGTGTGTAATGTTGCTGTTTGAGCATAAACAACATCTGCAGTTACGATGCTCAAAGTTCAAAGCAAAGGGAGATATTTTCTTTGAAAGAAAACAGCTTTTTATGGACTTCAACAAACGGCCTATCATGTTTCCATTTCTGTCATGTGAGTCCTTGTTGATCCTGCCATGTGTTCCCTTGTCTGATGGGTCATGTTGTCATTGGTTCATTGTTTCATTGTTCACTGGTGGTGTCCCTTGTCTTGTCACGAGTCTTCTGTGTATTTAAGCCCTCATGTTTGCCATGTGTCTTTGTCTTTGTCAAGTTTCCCTGTAACCACTGTTGGTGAGTGTTCGTTGGTGACAAAAACATGGCGTGGGATGGCATGAACTCAAAACAAAAATGTTCACGTTTTTGTTTTGAGTTCATGCCATGCCACAGCATGTTTTTGTTTCATGTTCAATCTTGTTTGTAATAAACCGCACTTGGGTTCTTCTCTACAACTTGCCTTCAGTGGATCTTTTACAGAAAACTTGAACTACTATGAACCCAGCAGTTGCCCTCCTGTGTTTACGCAAGGGGAATTGTCACTTGGTGGACTTTAATTGTCCAGGATTTTGTAAACTCTCTCTCCTGGTGGACTTTAATGATGTGGCCCTCAAGGACATATTTAGGGTGAGTCTTAATGAGCCCATTCACTCCCAGCTTCCTGGGGGGAAAATCCACTGGTTCTTGGCCCAATAAATCAACTGTATTGTTGAAGAGGAATTCCACAGAACCCGCCAAGCCCGAGCCACTTCACGTTATGCCTGCCAAGCCTGAGCCACTTCACATCATGCCTGCCAAGACTGAGTCTCTTCACGCCTGCCCAGCCATAGACTGTTAGGGTGTCCCTTGATAGGGCCATGGTGTCCGCTCCTCAATGGCCACCTGAACTGCCTGGTCCACCCTGGCCACAGGAACTGCCCCATGCCCTGGCCCAGGTCCCCCCCATGCAACGTGAAGTCATGTTACAACGATGTAGCATAGGTAAGCAATAAGGTACGAGAGGCTGTGCTGTATCGTGAATAAGTAACGGCTGAAGGGGTTGCAGGCACTCCGCTTCGCGTTGTGCCTAACAACGCCCTTCAGCCGTTACTTATTCTCGATACAGCACTTGCCTCGAGTACCTTATTGCTTTTATAAAATAGTGCCACACAATATTAAAGTAAAAAACAATGTATTAGTGCAACTTTCATGAAGTAAAATCACAAAAAGCCTTCCTTCCGCTAGAAAAAATAGTCCCTGACTGTGAACAGCAACAACGTTCCAATGTGTAAATTGCATGAAAGCTCAAATAAAAACAACATAGAACCGCAGTGTTGCGCAGCGATCAATAGAACCGTTGGGTGAAGCGGTCATAGCCGTGTTTTATCAGGAATAAAGCACAGCACTTGACCAATCAGAATCCATTTTATAAAACTCTTTATAACTTGGAATTGGAACTTGGAACAACAAATGCAAATACATAACATAATCAGTCATTCTGTATACATTGGATGCAGAATGACGTGACACGACACAACAAATTCCAGACAGTACACTGAAGCCCTGTTCCTTTTCTGACGTACTTCAAGCATTCGCTAGCCTGGGAAACCCCAGACAACTTCTGGCAAATTTAGATTTGCTCTGAAAGTTAGTCTGGCGAAGAGCTCATTCAAGCCCATTTCCAATCCGTCGAAATCGAGGCACCAATCAGAAACGTTGGGGCGGGCTTTACAGGATGACGACAGCGCTGGGATTTTGAAGCAGATTTTGTAGCCTACATTACAAAGATGGATGCCGCCATCGAACATCACTCGTTCGAATCAGCTATCGCGTCTTTTTTAAGCGATTTTGAACGTTTCCTTTTTGTTAAAAACCGAGCAAAGAACACTCTCCGCCGGGCACCACTCTGCATACGTCATCTCCTTCATCGCTCAGATTGGTTTTAAGTCTACCCGCGACGTCCATCGGTGACACTTGATTTGTCTATGACGCTTTGCCAGACCATAACTCAGTTACAACTGAGAATGGTCTGGTTTTAACCAGGCTAAGCATTCGCGCTAATTCCAAACAAATGGATTTGCATTTATCACTTTTGTCACGTCCAGTGTAGACAGCTTCTAGCTGTTGTTGTGCGACACGACAACAATCGTATTCGGTGTAGACACAGTGTTACTTTAAAAAAAAAAATGTATGCAGGATTTAGTCTATACTATGCAGTATTCTCTAAATATTAGCTAGTGTTCCATTCTCAATCATTTTGCTCAAGGGCAGGATGATTGAAGAAAAATATTCTCTAATAAGATCTTAATAACAGTCTGGTTGCATCTTCCCTCCATCCCTCAGAGTGATGTGAACCTTTTCTGTTTAGGGTGACTGCCGCTCTTCTGAACGGAATTAATCATCTGAAATATGATAGGCTAATGCTTTTAGGCTGAGGTAATAGGACATTTAGAAAGTCAATATCCTGTTGTCCTTTTCTCTGTATTTCTGTCTCTAAACATCCTTTTCGCAAAACACATTGCTGCATATTTCATACAGCTGTAGCTGGATTCATGTTTTTTCTGTTGCCATTAGAGACATGCACATCTTCTAGCTTGACAGTGTTGTTGTTATTACCTGACTGGCAATCTTAAGTGAAAAATATTTCACAATAGAAAATAATACTTTATGTCAAGGAAATTTAGATTTTGATATGCCGTAGCATGCATTCATTTTATGTTCTCGAAAAGCAGCAAACAAAGAATCTCATGAACGATTGGGGAAAATGATCAGGAGCAGGTCTAAAAATAATTTCTATAGGGATAAATGGGTGTTTCCTTTCCTCTTGATACAAAAGACGGAGAAGCTGTACCAAAAAGAAGAACAATGACTTTGTAACATATCTGACTTTGTTGTTTTGTGTTTGTTCAACAGGAACTGTGAGGGCAGAAACATCCGCTACAGAACATGCAGCAACACAGTAAGTCAGTACGATATGTTATAAGGCTCATCAGAAGTCTCCATCTGCAGAAGTGCCAAAAATTTATATAGAATTGAAATGCCTGTCATCCATAAATTTATACAGATGTCCCATCCTTTGCATGTTTGTTTATTAGATATTTGGTGTAATTTAGTCATTCTTTCTGTTACCAACATTATCCATTTTAGTGGAATTCCACAGATTTTAGATTTTCAGTGTACTTTTAAACGTTTTTACAGTCTACACTATAGTAACACTATGTGTTCACTTGCAGATGCACTTAAATATAGTTTTCCCTCCAACTTATTTCCTATTTCATGTCCCTTTTGTGGCTGGGATGTCCAAACTCAGTCCTGGAGGGCCACTGCAGAGTTTAGCTTGCCTCAACACACCTGCCTGGAAGTTTCTTGTATGCCTAGTAAGACCTTGATTAGCTGGTTAAGGAGTCTTTAATTGGAGTTGGAGATAAACTTTGCAGGACAGTGGCCCTCCAGGAGAAGGAATGGACACCCGTGCTTTAAGAGAAGTGAGGGAGAAATAGAAATAATTTTATAAGATTGTATTATGCATGACCAGTATAGAGTGATTCGTCAACAAATCACTTTATTGATTCTTTGATGAATTGTTCAAATGAGTCACAAATCAATCTTAAACTCATCAATTAACATCTCAAAAATAATTTAAAAAAATAAATGTCAATGGAATTGTTATTAACAAGAGTTGTTTAGTGGTATCAGAACCAGAATTGTGCTTTATACTTCAGACAATAGTCCCTAACTGCTCGACAAACTCATTTTGAGAGCTGTTAGATGCCCATGTGTTTCAAGGACCATTTTCATCAAAAGCAAGTGTTTTTCTACCATTGAAGTGGTTTCATCTGAATTCACATTCCTCCTTCACCCACAATTCCAATCAGAGCCATCTGGGAAAGATTCCCAGCATAACATTTATTCAATTTCCATCAAAACAGTGAGAACTGATGCTTGGTCTTCCCTGTCAGGCTTCATGATTGCCATTGATGAGATTTGTTGTTGAATTGTTCTTTTCATTTCCATTACTGATCCTGACATTTGTAATCACTCTATCCGATTGAGACGTTTCAATTATGGGCACCACTGATGGGGGTTTCTGAGCCGATCGAATGATTAAATGAGTTCAAATTCCCAAGCTATAGAGGAAGAATTGTGGTTTTCTTCAGTGCACAGGAGATGACATAGGAAATATTGTTTTTCAAAACACGGTGGTTTGCCACAGTTCAATTACACTGTCTCCATTCATCAATGCGCCCGGTCATCTGCATACGCTTTATGAAGTTACGCATAAGGTCACGATTTTATCTTGCCACATAGAAAATAATATTTCCTGTGTCATTTTCAGGCTAGCTGTTACTGTTGGGTCTTTTAAATGTCAGTGTTATTATATTATGATTTGAAAGATGTGAAAAACATCTGAAAGGTGCCAAATTTTCATCTTCCAATCAGGACTGTCCTCTAGAGTCAGGTGACTTCAGGGCTCAACAATGCTCCGCCCACAATGACATCAAGTACCAGGGACAAACCTACGAATGGATACCTGTGACGTACGACCCTATTTCACCCTGCACACTCCGATGTCAGGCCCGGGGGAAAAGCCTGGTGGTGGAACTGGCGCCCAAAGTGTTGGACGGCACTCGGTGTAAAGCGGACTCTCTGGATATGTGTATCAGTGGGATCTGTCAGGTAACCGTTACTGTATTAACTTAGCTACGGAAGCTGCCAGTGATGCTTCCTTCGAGCATTACATCATAAGAGTTGCCACTAGGGGCACTATAGTGAGCATTAGATGTTTACTATGCTCAGTTGTCTATTTAAAGGGATAGTTCACACAAAATGTCGCTCCAAACACAAGACTTTGGTTAATCTTCGAAACACAAATGAAGATATTTTTCATGAAACCAAAGAGGTTTCTGTCACTCTTTTGAAATTCCTGGTAACTGAAAAGATCCTAAAAGGTCATAAATGTATTGCAAAATGAATCCATATTTATCAGGCGGTTTAATCCAAGTCTTGTTAAAGTATATGATGAATAGATTTAATTTATGATTTTATTTATGTCTAAACTATGATCTACACACATACAAATTGAACATCACATATGGTAAACACTAGGGGTGTAACTGTAAATGATGGTTTGGTATGTATACTTCCGTTTTGAAGTCACAGTTTGTTATGTTTTCAGCACAGAGCAAAGCATGGATTTTTATTAAAGGACAAGTTCGGTATTTTACAATTAAAGCCCTGTTTTAAAATCGTTTCTGATGAAATAGAATGGTTAAGATTGTTTTTTAGACAGATGCTGCTGTCCGGAGAATTTTCAGTTTCTGTGGTTGCACCCCCACACCTCTACAATGGTAGCATAGGTGCACAGGAACAATCCTTCATAAAACACATAAAACTTTAGTTTACAAAGACGTGAAACTCACCGAGTGGTCTGGGGTGTTAACTGATATGCTCACACAAAAATCGCTGCAAAAGATGCTTTCCAACAGGTTTTATCGTAGTTTTTGTACAACTCCATTGACTTGTATCGTATGTTCTGTGATGTATGGTATTACTCCGCCACTGGAAACGGAAATGGGGTTGTTTGTATTCTTTCTGTAGTCTTATGCAGTCACGGTATCGTAGGCTACACTATACAAGTGGTTTGCTTGCAATTGGCAAAGGTGCATTATCGCCACCAACTGGGCTGGAGTGTCGATTATTCAAGCTCTCAACGGAAGAATGTACGGTTGTGAGTTGTTCGGAAAAATAGGTCTACAGTTTTACAATAAATGGTAAAACACCTGTTGGAAAGCATCTTTTGCAGCGATTTTTGTGTGAGCATATTAGTGAACACCCCAGACCACTCGGTGAGTTTCACGTCTTTGTGAACAGAAACCGAAAATTCTCGGGACAGCAGCATTTGTCTTAAAAAACAATCTTAACCATTCTATTTCATCAGAAACGATCTTAAAACAGGGCTTTAATTGTAAAATACCGAACTTGTCCTTTAAACTGTAGTTTACTGAACTACTGTATGTTATGTGCTCTGCGTATGTATTTATATGTGAATAAAAGCTACAAATAAATCTGTTCAACAATTTCGTTACAAGACTTGAAGTAAACCACTCGATTCATAAGGATTAATTTGAACCTTTTCCATTGTTTATGTGCTTAGTTTTGGCTGTTTTTGTACTTTGTTTCTGGCTTGGATTTGTGAGAAGTTGTAAAAACGACTGTCTAGCGGAACTAGGTGCTTACCAGGTGCACTTGAACGAAGTATGAGATGGCAAAACTCCCAGAAAACCAAAAGTTCTGTTAAAAACTGAAATCCGAAAATGTTATTTATGCATAAGCCTACTTAAGTGAGCATTTACAGCGCTTAAGTTAAGACCTCTGTCCTTTAAAGTACAGTCTAGGCTTTTTGATGAGGTGAAAAACGTTCTTCAGAAGCCAAAGTCACTCAGTATTTACGAGGGAGAATTCTTGACCTTTTCAGCTCTGTTCTGACATGCATTACAGTAATATTAGCACAATGAGAATAAGCTTTACAGTTTTATCCATTTCTTTTCCTGAATATATTTGGATCAGATCTCCATCCACTGGAGTTACCAAACCATCTGCTTCTGCCATAGTATCAGTCTTTTTTATTGCGTGTCCAAAAGCTTAATGTTATTGTTTGGTGGGACTGACGCCAACAGGTTTTCCATTCTGGATGTTTCTGACTGCGCAGTTCACATTTCCTAAAAAAATAATAATAATAATAAAAAACTGCAGCTAAAGTGAAAAGATAATGAAATAATGACCATAAACATAGGAAAACCGTCTCTCTTTTTCACTGTTACGTTTGTGTCACGGTCACGATTCTGCCAGAATTGACCTCAGTTCTGTGTCCTTGTGTGAGCAAAAGAGAGAAACAGGCCGAATCGACAGAAAGACAGGCATTGAGTTTCCATTTGACCATGGCTCCAATTTAGGAAGTTAAAACGCAGGATTTCCAAAAAGAAGTTGCTTGGAAACTACTGTACGGTAATTACTTTGGTTGAAAGCTTGCATACATATTAGACTTGATTTAGCACTAATTTAGCATTCATTTCACAAATAACTTTCTAGGTCACCTAGTGCTTAAATAACTTTGCAGTGTTTTTAAAGTCAACTTGGCTATGTTTGATCTGCTCAAAGAAATAGTTCACCCAAATATAGAAATTGTGACTTTCGTTCCGGGTATTTATAGGAACTTGCCACCAGGGCGGTCCTCCTGGAACTAAACATTTTCCTGGTTGCATTCACACGGCCTGTAGGAACTCTAAGCCGTCACTTATATCCTGCCACTCTGGTTAGGTTATTGTGTGGGACTTTTATTTTGACAGTGTGGTGGAGTTTTACTTTGATCGGTACACCAGAGCTTGAGCACACAGTGGTCCTATTCTCCATATACATTCGTTTATGATTTGTTTAACTGTCCTATCTAATATGTTATTAGATTGAACTGTTAAAGGGGTAGTTGATTATGATTTCACTTTTCTAACTTTAGTTAGTGTGTAATGTTGCTGTTTGAGCATAAAATACATCTGGAAAGTTACGATGCTCAAAGTTCAAAGCAAAGGGAGATATTTTTTTTTTTACAGTAATTGCTTTTTAAGGACTACAAAAAAACAACTGAGAGGGACTACACAAGCTTCATCCCGGGTTAGCGACATCACAAACCCTAAAATTTAATCAATGACTAGAAGATGGTTAACTCGGCTACATAAATTCATAAACTAACCTTTCATAAACATCCTGTTGCTTTCCTCAAGTTGCCACTCTGGTTTGAACATAAAAGACAGAACAGTTTCTTAAATTTTAGTGTGTGTCTCTGTGAGGTAATGGAGCTGCTAACACACATGAGCTCTTGATGCTCCGCCCTCTGTGCTGCTCATTTGGATTTAAAGGAACACACACAAAACAATGGGTTTTGCTCACCCTCAAAAAGGGACAATTTTAGCATGTTATACAAAAATATACGTGGGGCATTTTGAGCTAAAACTTCAGATACACACTCTGGGGACATCAGAGTCTTATTTTACATCTTGTAAAAAGGGGCATTATACCACCCCTTTAAACAAAGAAAGTGAGCAGTATACGAAATAGTATTGTAGCGTCGCTAGCTAAGCATAAATGCCCTGGTCCATCTATAACGGTTTTCCATGTTCATGGAATTATTGTGGAGTAAATATGGACTATAAACTGTGTGTTTTCACAGCTTTTAAAAAAATGGTGGGTACCAGTCTTTCGCACACGTTCGGCCTATCACCATACATTTACGTCACCGGTAGTTCCTATGGGCTCTATGCACAGCGATATTTCTGGTGAAAGTCTAATGCTACGTTCACACCGGACGCTAATATCGCGTCAAATTCGCGTCTACCGCATCTAGTTTGACGCTTGACCACTTTGTGTTAATTCGCGTGTCAAATCTAAAGTTTGAAGTGAAATTTACGCACGTCTCGCGCGTCAAAATCGAAACCCCTTGGCGGCCATCTTTTTTTATGTTGATCGAGCATTCATTGGGAGATTCGCCGCACTGTATTTGCTCTGGAGAGCTAGAACAGCGACGTGGGGATCAACCAGTTTTCAGATTAAATTTAAATGTGTTTGTCTATTCCTCACACAAAGCTACAGTATTGTATAGGCTTTGGTAATACTTGCAATAAAGTGCACAGTCTTTTATGGAGCTGTTTTGGTCATTTGTTGAGCTCAGTCTCCATTCAAATTCAATTTTGTTTTGTAATTACAAGAACACCTTGAACATTCTACTAAACTTCATTTTCTGTTCCAAACACACACACACACAAAAAAAGTCATACAAGTTTGAAACAGCCTGACGATAAGTAAACATTTTTGGACAAACTTTCTCACAGTTCTCTTAATGTTTTCTGTAGACTTTCAGCTTTTCATTTTGGCCAACGGCAAAGAAACACAATAAAACTCAAGCCAAATCATATCCAATCATCAGAATTCAAAGCAGTACTGCGTTGTTAACTGAATTCTACAGTGTTAATGAAACATCCTTTGCGTTGCACCTATTTTGACCTCAGCTCCTGTGAGTATTAGGTAAATTGGCGTAAATGAAGCTTGTCTGTTTATTTGTGCTTGTTTACCAGAGCTACCGAGTAAAGTCATGCTGTTTGCTGTCTCTGGCTGTTGCCCTGCAAGTGTAAACAGAATTTTGCATTAAAGCTGGGCAGCTTTTCTTGCACAGATGGCAAATTCTTTGCAGAACATCACTGTGAGTAGCACAGATTTCTTGGTAAATATTGAGGATTCTGGGAGCGAACTTGTACACAAGGGATGAAATATTCAGAAAAATGATTTGGTGTCTGTTCTCTCATGTTTTATATGTTGGCTGTCCATGAATTTTGATGATGCTAGTTAGAGCTTAAACATTGTAGTTTGGAGTCGTGCACCGGCCAGCTTCTCGGTGCATTCATTTTATAGTCAGTTTCTGTTCTGTTATGGGGGAAGCATGAATTGTTGGTCCCGTAGACAAGTCAGAAATCAATTACCTTCTCTCAAAATAGTGTTTCAGCTCTGGGCATGAATGCTGTAGTGGATAATGAGGCTAATTTGGAGAGTAAGTCAAGTCTCAAGTCATTTTTTTGTGACTTGAGTGTAACTCGACTGCCATTCTTTGTCCTTTCTGTCCCATTTGGCCTTTTTCTGAGTGGTTCCTCTGTCATTTATTATAGGAAGTTGGCTGTGACCGACAACTGGGAAGCAATGCTAAAGAAGACAACTGTGGCGTGTGCGCTGGAGACGGTTCCACTTGCCGACTAGTCCGAGGCCAGGCGCTGCCCCACGTCTCACCTGAAGAACGTAGGTACACACATACAGAAGCACATTCTTCTTTGCTGGTTTTGGTTTTGGAGTATCGCTTTGTTTATTGATCTTAGTGACATTTGGACTGGGATTGGTTCTAAAGCTAGTGTTTGAGTTTTGAATTTGAATGCATTTTTGGTCATAAATTGTACAACGCATCTAGGGATGCACATTTCATCCATCATCCGTCCATCCAAAATATTAAACAAATGAAATATTACTATTTTATAGGGGTGTAACTATATATCGTGCCACAATATATCACAATACAAAAATGCAACAGTTTTCAGATCCAATAGTTTTCAGAGTTTTAGTGTAAGTACTACATTGAACTACTATATATAATGTTGATTATAATGTATAATAATGCAATAATATGTACAAATATATGGAATATATTGCATATAATGCAATATTTGTGGGTCCTGATGATGCCAAATGTCTGATGTTTCCAGTAAAAAGTGCCCGGCATTATTTAAATATATCTAGTCAGTGAAAGAGTGCAAGAATTTTCATCTAAAATAATTCTGTATTTTCAGCTTCAGAATCATGAATATTTTTATTATGGTGTCATCACTGTCCTTCGGTTACAAGCACCAAGTCTAAGCCTATTCATTTAAACCCACAATTTAATATCAAATTTAGCATTTTAATCAATAGTAAATTTTTTTACCACATGTCTTGGAGTATCGCAATAATATTGTATTGTGTGTTCAGTATCGTGATATGTATCGAATCGTGACATGAGGGTATCGTTACACCCCTACTATTTTAATATCCCTCTGCAAAATTAAACAAATTGATTATTTTATAAAAATATAGTAATAGTAATGATACTTTTTTATTATTATTATTATTATTATTATTTAGACATCCCTAAATAATAATATATATTTATGGCTGTCATAATTTCTTCATTTTCAACCACTGAATTATTAAGATTTTATTCTGGCAGAAAATGGCAGGGAGCCCTTAAAGCTTCTTTACAGTAGTTGTTTTTCGTTACAAAAGCTTTTCATTACAAGTTTGGTAAAATGGTTGGTGTATGTTGCATTCTTAAATACATATTTTAAGTGACCCAAACTCAGAGAAGATGAAGAGATGAGTTCATGTGGAGCAGCATTTACTCTGAACTGATCCAATCTGAGACACTGAAAATATCACTCTGAAACACACAGTGCATACTGTACTGTATTCCTTTCCTTTAAAAATCACACTTAGCCATATATTGATTTTGTTTTTATTCCAATTAACCATGCAGCTCTACATGATTCTGAATGTTAGAATGAGTCATTGGACTATTTCCCCCCCTTTTTTGAAGTTTATTGCTGTATCAAATCAAATAATCCTAAAGGTTCAGAAACACTAAAGCCATAAACGGTTGTGTTTTAGGCAGTCTTACATTCCCTGTAGTCTTCGGTTAGTGCAAGCATTGGCAGCTTTATTAGCCTGCTTAATTTATGTGATTGCCAGCAGTCGGATTGTTTGCATTCTGGGACTGAAGATAGAGTTATTGATTCCCTTTAAAGCATGTGAGGGATTCTCAGTCCACTTGTCATAAATAACACACTTAATGCTGTGGCTTTTGCTTGTAAATAGCTAGTTGTCATTTCTTTAAGATTATTACCCAAATACTCAGTTTGTGTTTCTGTCTGCCGGGCAAGTATTTGTTTTTTAGGCATGACGCCATTGCTGAAATCATGTCTGTTTAAAAATATCAAATAACCTAACTGTTTTATGTAACAACCACACCCCAAATTAATTAAGACAGCTATTTTTTTTCTTTCTGCACGCTGCACGGCTTGAATGTTGCCTTTAAAACATGCCAGCCTGAGGAGCACAAGGCTATTTCTGTGGCACTTTACAGTGTTCTTGCCTTGAGTTTTATATTGTTTTTGGTAAGACTCTGCAGTGTCTTGTGTTCGATGGCTGCCGAGGATTTTTCCTCATCCAAAAATTCATTTGTCATACAGCAGTGTGCTCAAACGGCTCTGATTACGGCTCCTTTCCAAAACTTAAAACACTGCGTAGGCTGCATTTTTAGGCAAGTACACTCCCCACGCAAAGGCTGTTCCAAAGCGTAGGTAGCATGACTGTCTTCGAAGAGACCTTTGGCAGCATCACATGTATCTTTTTAGGAAAAATGCGTTGCAAGATGGATGACACGAGACAAGTTAATTAAACATATACATTACTGTTCAAAACTTTACATTTTGTATGTTTTTGAAAGAAATCTTTTATATGCACACCAAGGCTGCGTTTGTTTGATTTTAAAAATATAGTAAAAACAGATCTATTGTGAAATAATATCACATTTTAAAATATCTGTTGTAAAATATATTCCTTTGATGGCTGAATTTTCAGCAGCCATTACTTCATTCGACTGTATTTGAAAACCAACGGACTCTGTCTCGACTCGGACTCGACCCTTCAAAGACCCGGTCTTGACTCGGACTCGATTGTATTTGAAAACCAACGGACTCAATTTCGTCTCGGACTCGACCCTTCAAAGACTCGGTCTTGACTCGGACTCGATTGTATTTGAAAACCAACGGACTCGATTTCGTCTCGGACTCGACCCTTCAAAGACTCGGTCTTGACTCGTACTCGACTGTATTTGAAAACCAATGGACTCGATCTCGACTCGGGCTCGAGCCTTCAAAGACTCGGTCTTGACTCGGACTCGACTGTATTTGAAAACCAACGGACTCGATTTCGACTCGCACTCGACCCTTCAAAGACCCGGTCTTGACTCAAACTCGACCCTTCAAAGACTCGGTCTTGACCCGGACTCGACTGTATTTGAAAACCAATGGACTCGATCTCGACTCGGACTCGACCCTTCAAAGACTCGGTCTTGACTCGGACTCGACTGTATTTGAAAACCAATGGACTCGATCTCAACTCGGGCTCGAGCCTTCAAAGACTCGGTCTTGACTCGAATTCGACTGTATTTGAAAACCAACGGACTCGATTCCGACTTGGACTCGACCCTAAGATCCGGTCTTGACCCGGACTCGACTGTATTTGAAAACCAACGGACTCGATTTCGACTTGGACTCGACCCTTCAAAGACTCGGTCTTGACTCTGACTTGACTGTATTTGAAAACCAACAGACTCGATTTCGACTCGGACTCGACCCGTCAAAGACCCGGTCTTGACTCGGACTCGACTGTATTTGAAAACCAATGGACTCGATCTCGACTCGGGCTTGACCCTTCAAAGACTTGGTCTTGACTCGGACTTGACTGTATTTGAAAACCAACGGACTCGATTTCAACTCGGACTTGACCCTTCAAAGACCCAGTCTTGACTCGGACTCGACTGTATTTGAAAACCAATGGACTTAATCTCGACTCGGACTCGACCCTTCAAAGACTCGGTCTTGACTCGGACTTGACTGTATTTGAAAACCAATGGACTCGATTTCAACTCGGACTTGACCCTTCAAAGACCCGGTCTTGACTCGGACTCGACTGTATTTGAAAACCAATGGACTCAATCTCGACTCGGACTCGACCCTTCAAAGACTCGGTCTTGACTCGGACTTGACTGTATTTGAAAACCAATGGACTCGATTTCAAGTCGGACTTGACCCTTTAAAGACCCGGTCTTGACTCGGACTCGACTGTATTGACTGTAAAAAAAATCTCGAGTCCTTCTCCTCCCACTGTGGTCCGAGTCAAGACCGAGTATTTGAAGGGTCGAGTCGAGTCAAGACCGAGTCTTTGAAGGAACAAGTCCGAGACGAGTCTGAGAAAGCAGAAATCTCTGTACTACATTACTACTGCACACACAAAACTTCATCGAGTACCAAATTTGTGCCTTTTTGCACTTGTATATTTAAATTGGCAAGGCTTAAAAACACTTTCTTGACAATGCAAGTTTCATTTTGTTTTGTCGAGAATTAAATTTTTTTCTACAGATAAATTGGATTATGCAACAGACATTTTATAACTCAGTGCCTTCATGCAGTTACAGTAATTAATCAAAACCATCAGTATCTGCCTTTTCCATGCTATATAACCAAAATGCTGATGGCTGTAAATTCATAATAAATAAATATCTATCATCTCTAATTTTGAGTTAAGTCATAGATCATTCCAAATAGGTTTTATTTCGGTTGATGCTGCCTGAGAAAGCGTTCTGACTGTAGGAAATAGAAAGCAATGCAGCTTACTTGGAACAGAACCTGAGTGACTGGAACTTTTCTTCTAACCAAGACATTTTCACACAATCATGCTATTCATTTTCAAAGCCTGTTAAACCAAAAACGAGGTAATTCGATCCAAACAAGTTATGCATTCTTTAATTAAAGCCGTTTCACTAATAATTCACATGCGTGGCACTGACACGTAGGCTTCTCGTTAGTCGTAGAGCCGTCATGAGGTCTCCAGATGGAAGTCCGGTGATCGGATAGGTCATTCCCCAAAAGACTTCAATCCGGGCTGGATGACTGTCAGGATTCCAGAGCGTCACATGGATCTGTTAATATTAAAATGCAATAAAGCTGCTAATGAGCCTCTGGCTCTTATAATTCATTCCTTTTACTCGGCAGTGACTCATTTCTGCATTTTTTTAAAGGAGAGCGATAGAAACACAGATGCATTGTGGGAACGCTTGTGTGATTTTTAATTTCACTTGCGGGTCGATGCATCTTTGTGGAGCAGTTAGCCACATTAGATTACTTTTTTCTCCATCGTTATAAACAAATTTGAAGTCACACTTGCACGGTTGGGTTATTTTTAAAGCGAGGGCAATTACGTCTTGGGTTTTTTTTTATTGGTATTTTTGAAACGCAGCATTGTTTGGGCATTTTTTACCCTGTTTACAACTGACTGGTGTCTGAAACTTTTTTCATTATAGCAATAAATTCCAGTACTTTCTATATATGTTTCCAAAAGTAAATATTTTGGGGCTCCCATGATGTTGGCGCATTTCCAAGCCCTGTAATTGCTGGATGCGGTGAGCATTGCCGAGCGAAGGGAAAAACACCTCTTTGCCTACATCAATTCCTGCTAATGCAATAAACGGCATTAGCACTTTGCATCTACACAGGCCACTCACTTTATATTTGACCCTAAAGTGTCTCAGTTAAAGAAGTTATTAAGGAAGCTACTTTAAAGGCTGTAGCTTGCCAGGCTACAAGCTAAGGGTGTTTGCTGTTGAAACCAGGGACACTTTTTTTTTTTTTTTTTTTTAAGTAAAAACACACACTTATTTGTCTATAAATCTCCAAGGGCTATAATACATGCATAACATTTTGTTTTATTTTTTATTTTTCGTCAAAATCATGAAAATTCCCATCCCATATAGGAAATAGGAAATAGCTGATTCCTTGGCCTTTTTTGTTGCTAATTTCATAGCAAGCACGTTATGAATTTATAATTTATAGGTAATAATTCATCTCTTTTATCATGCATTTTCATTTTTTTTAAATTTCCTCAAGCCATGATTATCCATTTTGTCACTTGAGCAAGATTCCGGTTATATAAAATGGCTGTTTTTTTTTTTTGCCTTGTTGTGGATCATTTGCATGTATTTAGCCATACAGTAGTATGCATCTTTAATTGAAAATTCCTTATGGAAATTAAGATATTAAGAAGTTATTGTAATGTGTCCATTGTGAAATTGGAACTTTTTGCATATTTTTATAAAATTACAGCTTGATTGGAAATGAAGCACAATAAAAAAATACTCTGTGTGTGAGTGATATTTACATTGATTTTTTTGGATTGTTTTCTATACACATCTCATATTTTATATCAAACATGCTCTTTAATAACCAACTTTATTGGGGGGAGAATGTTTGATGCCACAAATGAGTGATAGTCATTATGTTTTTAAGGTAAAAATTATAGTAAAATAATATATTTTTTTATCATGTATGATCATATTTTAAGACACCCCACCACCACCACTGAGCATGACGCTTGCAGGGCAATTTTTTTATTTATTTATTTATTTATTAACTTATTCTTATGTTGTTCAAAACCAATTCCAAAAATCGCCCTTTTTGTTCTACCACAGGTTTGGAAATACATGAGTGGGGTTACTAATGACATAATTTTCATTTCATGGGGGAACTATTCCTTTGCTCCAGGGGATTATCCCTGTAATAAGTCCATGTGTATAAAAAATCTAAATAAAGAATCAAAAAAGTAGTAGAGATGAGTAACTGGAGAGATTTCCTGTATTCGACCCCACTCTCTCCATTACCCCCATTACGCTTGCTTTTACAGAACGCTCTCAATCCAACCATAACTGAAAGCACTCAGGCTGCTCTCTGTTGTGGTTTTCTGTTTACTGAGCTGGAAATTGGTGGGTTTTCTTTTTTCAGCAGTACACTGAGAAGCCACAAATGTTTTTTTTTTTATGGAGAGAGTTTGAACACATTACAGTAAGTGTGTCAGAGTTGCAGTGTCTGTGTGTTTGCAACTCATTTACTCTCAAATGTAATGACTGTATTTACGTGCACAATGGATACTGACATGAGCTGTGAGGGATGCTGTATTTCCGATCAGTGTTTGGAGTGAAACACTATTACTGCATATTCTGTATGTCATTCAACATTAGAATTTTGGGTGATCACATAAAAAAAGCTGGATGGAAATGGCAAAATGCGCATAAATTCTAAAAATGAGCTCAAATCCTTTTTTATTCGATAAACTAGGGCTGGGCTATATGGCCAAAAACATTACCAATATAACATTTTTTTCAAATCAGTTGATATGATTTGACAATAAATGTCAAATCTTTATAAGTTCCTTTCAGGCAGATTTTTGCTCCTAAGTGAAAGCTGTATAAACCAGACCGTAATTTGTGGTTTTAAATTGCTCTTTATTGTCAGAACATGAAAAAAACGTCACTTTTTAAAATTATTTGCACTTTTCCAGTCATTTTTTTTTTAAGAAAACAAATATCTTAATTTACAAATGAATTTCGTAGTTTATGTCCTATCAGGTGATATTTTGTCTCTTGGAAATACACATTTTACAGTACACAAGCTTGAGTTTGGATGCAGATGCAAATTTATGTTCGTTAACAAAAACAGTAAAAATTTGAACAATCTCATTTTTATATGGTAAAATGTGAATATTCTATCTGTTTGAGTTTTATTAAAATTTCATAGTAGCAGACATTAAGATCTTTATAACCACAGTTAAAACCATGCATACTCTAATCAATGCTGGGTTGTTTGAACCCAAATTTGAGTAAAATATGGACAAACCCAAATGTTGGGTTAAAAATGTAATTTCAAATTAACCCAACTTTCACTTTCAACTGTACATTTTTAATTGCGTTTTATAACCCAACATTTTTCCATTTTTGACCCAAATTTGGGTTGAAACAACCCAGAATTTTTTAGAGTGAGTAGCACCTCAATACCACTATAAAATGTAACTGGTTTCTATGGTATTTGTATGAAAAACAGTAGCCTAAATACTTGTAGTATAATGCACAAATGCTATGGCTTACTCAAAAAAAACACTGTTATTATATTCCATTACTCCTTTAATACATAAATAATATAACTCAACTCTATATGGATTTCCCACACATCTGCCATGGTGCAGTAAGGATGCTGTCACTGTATTATGTGTCGTTTTAACGAGTCTCTGGTTTGCAATTCTTCTTCTTCTTCAGCCATGAAGACGGTGATGGAAGTGCCAATGGGTAGCAGAGGCCTCAGAATCACAGCCAAGGGACCGGACATGATTGGTGAGATTATCCGTGTTAACTTTATTCAAAGATCTGTGGTGTTTCAGAGCTTCTGGGTCTAATTCTTGACTCGTCATGAAACCATCATGCATGAAGTCTCAACTTAATCCGGCGGTTTGAAGCCATTTAACAATCGTCAAAGGCCGGAAAGGCTTTTCTTTGGAGAATCAACATTAACACTATGAATTAATCCAGCTTTCTTCCTCAGGGCCGAGGCCTTAAAGTTGACAATTCAACTTGTCAAGGAGTTGCTCGTTTTTCCACACTCTCTAGTTTTTTGTTCCATTGAGAATTTTTGAAATCTAAAAGTTAAAGTCCCCGTGAACCGGAAGTTGCACACGATTTTTCTCCAGTGTTGTGACGTATTTCCGAGAGAAACAGAATACTAAATGAGGCAAAATAGTGGGCGTGGCTTTTTTTTCCAACTAGCACCTGATTGGATCTAGAAAAATGGGTCTTTCATTCTGAAATGGAGGATGACTTAAGTTTACACACGCTGTCAATCAATGCTCGCTCGGTGCTCGCAAACACACAGCAGCTGTCAGTTGGAGGGGCGTGGTTATGGATGTTAAGGAGACACCCAAACTGTAAAGCCTAGGTCATCGGGCAAGGTCCTCCAATGCAAAGGGAAGGGGCATTTTCAAAATTTGATTAAAGATTACGAAGCCAAACATTTTTTTTGTGTGGATTGACTTGCATGTATGAATTGTTCACCACAAAACGATCAATTTAGGAAAACAAAGTGAGTATGGTCAATTTTGATGTCATAGGGACTTTAACAACATTGGGTATCTTTCGAATGACAAATCCTGTTTCATCCTAAAATCAATTGAAATATGAGAAATTATCTTTATCCTAAAGAAAGTGAAGCTTATTTGTCGTTTTTATACTTTATTTTATACTTTATTTATATCAGTGTTATTTAAATGTTTTATTCATATTTTGAATCAGCTTTTATTTTTATATTTTTAATTTTCAGGTTAATTTTTTTTTGTAATTTCAATGTGCTTTTGTCATTTTATTAGTTTTGTGTTTTTTTAAATATTGGTTTTTATCAGTTTTAGTTTGTGTTATTTGATTTCCAGTCAATAATTGTAGTGCTTTAACTTCAACTTATTTCATCTTTATTTCAAATAAAAGTAATGTTTTAAACTCTGATTTATTTTTTATTTGTTAAATTACAATATTTCAGCGTTTCCCATTCATAGACTGCGGCAGCCCGTGAACCTTTAAAACCTTGTAAACCTGTTTTGACAGAAGTTTTCCACCAAAATAAAATGCATGCGGACCCACAAGAGCGACCAAGGTCCACTCACCACACTCTCACAAAATCCTATTGGAAACACTGATAATGACTAAAGGAAGTAGGTTTAATAAAATAAAATAAAAAATGCTATTTTTATTTATTTAGTTTTATTTATTGTGGGGTGGTTAAATATCGTCATGAGATTCATCCACGTTGAGCAGTTTATAAAGAATATACTATATTTGATTAAATGTATTATATTTCTTGGATTATAAAGTTATACTAGAAATGTATTTACTTATTTGGTTACCTTCAATGAAAGTCTTACATCTCACAATGTCATTTGTCATAATAATTTTCCCTATGTTTTATTTTATTATTATTATTTTTTTTTTTTAATCAGTTTACATCTGTGCCTCTCTCAGAAAGTTGTCACAGGTCATCAGAGGTATTTCAAAAGCGCTCTTCCAACATCTGCAATGTAGTCTGAAGTTCACAATGCCTCCACAGTGACACAGCCAAACCCTATTTGACACAGTCGCCTGGTGTAGTAGCACAGTGTGGGAATTCATATGGATTTTATATATCTATCTAGCCCGAAAGACCAAAAAAGAACGAAAAAAGAGATTTCCTATTACCTGAGTTGGACAAATGCTAAGAGGTTTGAGGGAACTTCAGGATAAAGCAGAAGAATGAAGTGTTCATGCAGGCTAATTTGTGGTGGCTGAAAGCCCAGTACGATGGAGACAGAGCCAGTAATCTAGCAGACGTCCATAACGGACACGAGGAGTAAGCTGAAGTCCAATCCCAAAGTACCGTTCCACATCCGATGGACCCACACTCACACAAATACACACTTCCGTTCTGTGGAAAACCACGTTTCAAACTACACACACTGATATCTAAACCCCATAACCTGCCCATTACTTCTGTTTGGTTGCAAACTAGATCTCCATCAAGAACTACAGGGTATTTAGTGGGTGTTTGACTTGTCCCATGTTTCAAAAATGGGGTTTGGGTGACCTGAAGATGGCTCTATCCCAAAGCTCACATAATAAATGAGAAAATACAGATAATAGCCTAAAAGACTAGAAAAATAAAGAAAACGTACTGTATAATCCAATATCTACTGTATAACAGCCAAGTTTATGAACCTACCCTATAGATTTGTGCATTGAGATGTTGTAAATGTTCTAATAATTGCCATTGCTAAAAGTACTTCTAATCTGTAATCTACCACATCACAGAAAAATCCTCATTCAATCCATTTGACTAAGCAAATAAATTTTAACTGCCATTTTTTATTGTCAGAACAACGACAATGTGGGAATTGAATGTCTTCGTGAGCTGTTACGAGAAGGTATAATTATATTCAGCTGCTGCCAGACGCTCTCTCGCCGCTTTGACCAGTTGTTTGATTTTTCCCTCACCGCAAACACATGTTGTTCTGTTGCTTTATTTACATGAAGGGTCTGCAATTATTCCCAGAACGATGTATCAATGTGCAAACAACGGAAAGACATTTATTTACATTCGAAATTGTCAAGATCACATTGGGAATTTTTTAACAACAAACAATGATTTGGTATTTTATGACTTGAAACATTTAATGTGGGAGTGATGGATCGAAGAAATTTTTTTTTCTCTCTCATTGTTCAAAATTTCGCAAAATTCGTGTGAAATGAAGTTTCCTAAATTTACCTCCATAAAGTGACATATTTCAGGGTGAAACAATTATTTTGGCCATTTATTTGGATCAAAGTGGACGTTACAAGCCAGAATGGAGTCGTGTGTGCGTGCGTGTGTGTGTGTGTGTGTGTGTGTAAAATAAATAATATTAATAGATGCAATTTCTGATTGTAAGAATATTTTAGTGTTAAAATGAACATTACCTAACATTTAGTAAGTATCTGTCATCATTAGATAATGTTCATTAATGTAGTTAGTTAACAAATTGTTATCAAATGGAAACTTATTGTAAAGTTACTGGTTATAGTAAATTAAAAAAAGTATTGTGAACAATATGAATTTATTATTCCTAATATAAATAATAATAATAATACTTAGGGCTGTCAAATCGATTAATCGCAATTAATCACATCTAACATAAAACTTTGTGTTTATATAATGCATATTAGATGCAATTAATCGATTTGACAGCTAATTCCACCATATCTCCTGTCCTCTTTATCATTAAAAAATGGCCAAAAAGACCCAAATTCGTGTCATAATTCCACTATTAGATTGATATTCCACCGTTTTTTTAACATTAAGTCGCTTTGAGACACTTTGATAGAACTTAACTAGCCCGGTTCATTCAATATGGGCCAAGCAGAGAAGTGACCACACACCTCCACGTTTTCCCTATTTAAATACAGTTACACGAGTAGTGTAACTCGACATAGGACGGTGACACAAACTAAAACGGTGCGCTTTTCAAAGTGTGTAAATTGGATAAATATATTGTATGGCGGAATACCACAGCAATTGGCCTGCTTGGCCCATTTTGAATGAACTGGGCTAGTTAAGTGCGATCAAAGTGTCTCGCGCCTCAGAGCGATTGAGTGCATGCACTGAGACAAGAGAGCTATGTATCAACTCGTCTTAGTTAAGAGAATAACATAGTTTAATGTGAAAAAAAGGGTGGAGTATCCCTTTAAGGCCATTGGTGGTTTACAAAAACAGCAAGATCAACCACACCTCAGTTAAAATCTCCAGCCTCTAAAAGCGTGGTTGATGTTGTTACTGTTTAGAAAACAGTTAGAAAACACTCCACTGACAGTTTCTGCTGTTTTCAGACTTTAGCACTGTCACAGAGACAGGTGTGGTGTCTCGGGCCACCTGTTTCAGCAATAACTCTCAGTAATATTGTATCTGTGGTAATCCCCAATATCACTCACAGAACCTGAAATGTCCTGTTTCAGTGATTGAAGCCCAAGCACCAAACAGCCGGAGAGAAGAGATTGTGTTCAGCTCTTCAGGTTCTCACACTCTGGGCAACAATACGGTGGAGTACCAGAGAGGAGCAGAAAGACAGACACTCCGCTGCTACGGCCCGCTGTCTGCAGACTTCACCATTAAGGTGTGTAATGAAAACTGAACAGTAGATCTATCTATCTGCAAGTGGTACTAGAAAGCAGCAGAAAATCATTGCTAGAGATATTCGCTCTTTCAATGGATAGGTATTTTCTCTCGTGTTGGAGTTTCCAACCTTATTAAGAAATGCACTTGATGTACCCCTTAAGATTTTATAGGTCTAGTTTCACATTTTTTTTTATTTCTATCACAATTTGATTGTTTCAACGTGTATTATTTTATTTTTTCCATAACATACAAAAAGAGATGTAATGCTAAACATTCAACACTAGTGGATGGTCTGTTGTATTTCTGTTGTATTCTCAATTATGTTTTTATTTTATTTTATACAGTATATAATAATTATAAATATTTTTGTACTGTATATGATTTAATTTATAATATACAAGTTATATATATATATATATACTGTAAGTTATTTAAATATATATATATATATATATATATAAGTTTTATATATAGTTTTAAGTTTTATATATATATATATATATATATAACACACACACACATAATAATGATATATAATTATTATTTGTATGTTTATTTATATATTGTAATTTATTTTATTTATTATATAGCATTCATCATATACTGTACCAAATATGTACATATTATCATTTATACATACATATATAAATACAAAAAAATATTATATATAACAAACTTGTGTATATATGACATAGTGCTGTCAAATCTATTAATCATGATTAATTGCATCTTAACAACAACATAAAAGTTATATAACTTTATTCTAATTGTATTTTTATATTTTACAAGGAAAAAAACAATTTAGTATGCTTATTAATCACATTATTTCCCTCATAGTTGATCTCAGGTGTTACTATCCTTGTGTATAAACCTGTAAACACACACACACTCACACACTCACAAACATGAACTATTGTTCCATCATGAAACTTTTGGGTTTTATTTTTTTTTTTTAGCAAGGTTTCTGAAATTTTCATGCAAACTCAGTTTGAAGCTTCATTATGAGTTTAAAGCAGCAAAGAGAATCAATGTTTACTCTGCATATGAAACTGTAAACACGGCACAATATGACTGTAATCATGCTAGACTTTCTCATGTCACGACCTGAAGAGTCATGATTAGTCTTGACACTACGGCTTTAGAATAATTGAACATGACTCATTACTCTAGTTAATTGCAGCAGCATGCAAACAGTATTTAACTGATCATCACAGCTCCGGAAATTCAGTGGAAGATGATGCATGCTGCATTTCATATGGAAATCAGGAGTTGGACTGTGGCCCCTTGAGGACATTTCCTGCTTATTAAACATGTCAAAATCATTTGGCTTTTCAAAATGAATGGCTTTTATCTTTTTTCGTGATATGATTATGAAAATGACTATTAAAAGGAAATGATCTTATCAGGCACATTATATGTGGATTTCCATTCTTCTTAGGTAAAATATGCTGGCCCTAAAGACACCGTGATGCAGTTTATGTTCTACCAGCCCATTCGCTACCAGTGGAGGGAAACTGACTTTTTCCCTTGCTCTGTCACCTGTGGAGGGGGTAAGTGTTATAGATTATTCCTCTTAATTTAAGAAGGCCATTTTTAATAAGTCACAGTGATTTGAATACACCAAAAATACTCATTCAGCACACCGACAGACAGTATGATCATTTTAAATTTGGGATAATTACAATTCTGTTCAATACTGATAGGACAATAATCTGAAAATGATACAAATTTACTATTTTTTTGTGTCTAAATTAAAAATAAAACACTAACAACTAAACCTGAAAGCAGCACATTGATTTAGGCATCACAAACTTAAGTGAGCATTAAATGAAACCCAATGAATTAAAATTAAAATTAAACAACTAAACATCCAATATCTGTTGAAATATATCCAATATCAATCAATATTGAAACCGATAAATTAAAAATCTCTAATATTTTGCAGATAATTGATTTGGCACTATTATGCTATTTTAAAGGTTTCTAATTTAGTTTTGGAGGTCTTGTACAATAGGTTTACATGAATCCAAGGTCAAAAAACACGTTCTTTTTCTCATAATATACACTTCATATCACCTCATTTCTCAAAAAGAATTTAAAGAGTCATTTATCCCGCCGGTTAAATAGCAACAGTGCCCAAGACCAGCCCACAAAGTTACTTGCGCTTTGCGCTTGATACTTGCGTTTCAGATCGTTAAAATAGGGCCCTATTTGTCTTAAACTGTGATCTTAAAAACTTTTAAGATCTTTTAAGACCTATATTAATAAAAACTACATGAAAGGTAATTCAAAAACGCATTATAAGGCAACTTTAATATATGATATATTAAATATATATATATAATGATTTCTGAAGGATTTTTTTAAAGCGTAATTTTTCAAAAATTTTGACCGGTAATGTACACATGGATTATCATGTATACTTACGGGGGCCGAGAGAGCTCAACATGCTGCGACTGAAGAAAACGCATGCTAATAGGAAAACACCCGCAAATTAAGACAACATATTTGAATTAGTTTTACAACACACGTGTGCTCCAAATACTCACAACACAACCAAATACAGAAACGCACTGCAAATAGCACAGACCACAACGGAAATGTTTCCAGGGGACCCCCAATAAATGATGAACCCGGCTGGGACATGCACATACATGTGTTGTGAAACTGATGAACATGTTTTCTTAATTTGCAGGTGTTTTTTTTCTATTTGCATTTGTTTTCTTCAGTTGCAGCGCATTGAGCTCTCTCTCACCACACTTACTTCTTAAAATCCTGTCTATAAACTATGCAACTGTCATAAAACCATAGTTAATGTTGCTTTGTCTCGCCTCTGAAGGTTATCAGCTCAATTCGGCTGATTGCATGGACATTCGTTTCAACAAATCGGTTGCAGAGCACCTGTGCCACAGCTTCCCAGAGAACACCAAACCTACACCCAAACTCAAGGAGTGCAACATGGATCCCTGCCCCGAAAGGCTGGTTCTGTCTTATCGATCTCTTCAACACACCCTCCATAACAAAACACATTGAGTGAAGGATGAGTCTCTATAAACCAGAGAGTAGCTGTGTATTAGACTTCCTGTGCATGAGCTCATTATAGTGTGGATAATGACTTGAAGGGCTAATGGTGTGTGTTTCTCTGCAGTGATGGCTTCAAGGAAGTGATGCCCTATGACCATTTCCAGCCTCTACCACGGTATGAAGTCTACAGCACGTATATCACAGCACACTTGCTGCTCATATTAGGATAGATATACAAAGGATAGCTTTGTGATTGTTTTGGATACCACAGACACACCGCTATTTAAAGGTTGAGTGAGTAATAATAATTGGAGAAATTTACATTTTATTCAACTAGGACACATTCAATTGTTCATAAGTGACTGTAAAGACATTTGGGATGTTACAAAAGATTTCTATTTTAATTTAAATAAATGTTGTTCTTTTGAAAAAACAAAAATCATCACGGTTTCCACAACAATATTAAGTGTTTTTGACATTGGTAATAAATGTTTCTTGAGCAGCAAATCATCACATTAGAATGATTTCTGAAGAAGACTGGAGTAATGATGCTGAAAATACATTTTATTTGAATAATATTTCACAATATTACTGTTTTTACTGTCTTTTTTATCACATCGTTGACACTTTGTCTATAACATTTCATAACATAAAGTACTAAGTTAGTACTTAGCACTAATACCAACAGATGTTATTGTATAACACTGCTGCAGGTGGGAGCAGAACCCGTGGACGTCGTGTTCAGTGTCGTGTGGAGGGGGCACTCAGGAGAGAAGCGTGGTGTGTGTAGAGGAGGACGTCAACGGTCAGATTGTGCAGGTGGAAGAGTGGAAGTGCACACACTCCCCAAGACCATTCAGCAAACAGAGCTGCAACACGTTTGAGTGTCCACAGTGGATGGCCATGGAGTGGTCTCAGGTAAATTGACCTCTTCTTCCATCTCTGATCACCACTGACCATCTTTAGATCTGTTCTTCAGCCTAGTGAGCTGTTTCTGTGTCCTAACTCAAAGGAAACCACATACTGCATGTGACTGATTTAGAGGGCCTATTATGCTTTTACATTTCTAACTTTGTTTATTGTATAAGGTTGATGTTTGAGCATGAAAAAGGGTTTGTACATTTATAAAGCACAAAGTCAACTCTAAATCAATAAGCACTGTTTCTGAACTCCTTGAAATGCCTCTATTGTAGTCTTGCGTTTTCTTCCAGGAACAAACACATCACAATATTTGTTATTTAAATAATTCCCGAACAAAGCATACGCAAAAAAAGTGACGAGGCCTGATTGAGTTGCTTACGTGACGACGAGCACATGAACAGCTTTGCCCTGCTTCTAATCAAGCTGTAAAAATGCCCATTCCTGCACCCAAAACAACGCATCTGTGGATGAGAGTCTAGTGGGATGTCCCACTTCACTTTTTTATTTTATTTGATTTTTTAACCTTTATTTAACTAGGAAAGTCACATTAAGGTTAAAACCTCTTTTACAAGTGAGACCTAGTCAAGACAGAGTCGGATAGCAGGATTAAACAAATTACAAGCAACAATAAGAAACCAAGCAAAACAACGTCATTAGATACAAAAATAACGCAGCAAACAAATCTCCATGACAACATATTATACAACACCATACACAGCACAAACTACAAACATTTAGGTACTACACAAATATTAGATGAACAACAACAGCTAGTTCCTCACTTCATACATCATTTCTACATCACTGCACATGCGCAGTACTTTCCAGTATCCGATCAAGTGTTTACATGTCCTTTCGATCGGATTAGATAAGTTTTAAACCACCCCTAGCAATCTGAATGAATTTTTAATCGAATTTGGCCAATTCATTTTGATTTCTTAGTCTGATTATGCTAGTTTTCCGATTACAATCAGATTACTAGTGTACATGTAAACGCAGCTACTGAAGATTGTTCACCAATCATATCAATCGCATATATAGGCGTAAAGCCACCAACACTATATTAGCCAACGTTTCAGTTTCATTGTCCTACACTGTAAAAATGAATATGCTTTATCTAATCAATAAAATTGTGGCAACAGATTACAAGCAATATTATTTATTAAATTGAACAAATTAATTAATTCTATTAAATCTATTAAATCTAAATAATTCTAATTTGTACAATTTAATTAATAATATTGCTTGTAATATGTTGCCACAATTTTATTGATGAGATAAAGCATATTATTTTTTTCAGTGTAGACCTGGATTTGTATGTGCTTCTCACTTCACTCCTGGTGTAAATGGATAGATTCAACTCAATTTCATTTGTATAGTGCTTTCACAATACGTATTAAATGTAATGTGATCACATATCAGCACGTCTGGACTGCCCCATGTATATATTTGTGTTTTTGTATTTTGTACTATCCAGTGCACGGTTACCTGTGGCCCAGGTCTACGGTACAGAGTTGTGCTGTGTGTGGATCACAGTGGGCAACATGCTGGCGGTTGCAGCCCCCACCTCAAACCCCATATCAAAGAGGACTGCCTGGTCCCCGTCGCCTGCCACAAACCACGAGGTAGAAACAACAAAAATCTGATAAATAAAACATACATAGGCTGCTGCCTAGAACTGTGCTGTTGAGAACCACAGCTCTAATAAGCATTGAAAATACATAGCACACACAAGTACTGGGTGAATTTTTAAAAGGACTGAGCATTTCTGAAAAAAAAAAAATATTTTCATTTTTTTAGTTTCAGGCTTTAAACTTTTTACTGAAGAATGTTCTGCCTTCAGAAAAAAAAATCAATGGTTAATAAATCTGGAGCCAAGGCCACTGATATAGTGAGCAGTCACTGATAAGTGCCATTTATCTACTAATGAAACCTAACATTTATAAAACATTGATATGATTAAAATACTTTTTTAGAAATTATTTCAATTAGAAGTCTGTTTCAAAACGTAGTGGTACAACTATGCTGCTTCTCTAAGAAAACCCCATTTTGCACCATTGCATCTGTCTATCACAGAGAATGTGGCCTGAAAAGATGGAAAGAAATGTTTATCATCAATATAATTTGTATTTGATTGAGGTACAGAATTGCTGTCTGTCTAGAGTCTTGCTCATTTATGAGGCTGCTGCCTATGTAGGCAGTTGGCAGTGAGGAAGCTAACCAGACTCTGGAACACAGCCAAAGTGTTCTCCATTAGGGAACAGTCAGAGCCTGCAGCTGTCAGAGAGGAGAGTGGAGTGTGCCACAGACAGACGCTCGTGAAGTAATGTGTGATCTGAATGTAAAATTCTCCATAAGTGCAGACAGACACTGTGAGCTCATCGAGAGTCAGTCACGGTGTGTTTTAGAGCTGTTTCTTGCTGTGGAGTTAATTAATTCCTGAGACTTGTCCTTGTCTGTCACTTTATTTTCCTGTCAGATCTCGCCTTTTTTATTTGAGTATTTTTCTCTGTCTTTCCTGTAGGAAAAAAAAGCGTGAGAAGTGAAATCTGTTTTGATAACTCATTATGATGTCAGTTGTTTCACATAGACACCAGTGGAATTGAGAAAAAATGGTTCAGTTGGGTTCTGTATTGAATCCTAGGGTTCTTAACTTCTTGACAAAAGGCAAAAAAGGTTATATATAAGAATAAATGCCTTAATATTAATGCAATATGCTATTGAACCAATCACATGGCAGTTGCTTCAATGCATTTAGAGGTGTGGTCCTGGTCAAGACAATATCCTGAACTCCAAAGTGAATGTCAGAATTGGAAAGAAAGGTGATCTAAGGAATTTTGAGCGTGGCATGGTTGTTGGTGCCAGTCTGAGTATTTCACAATCTACTCAGTTACTGGGATTTTCACGCATATCCATTTCTAGGGTTTACAAAGAATGGTGTGAAAAGGGAAAAACATCCAGTATGCGGCAGTCCTGTGGGCGAAAATGCCTTGTTGATGCTAGAGGTCAGAGGAGAATGGGCCGACTGATTCAAGCTGATAGAAGAGCAACTTTGACTGAAATAACCACTCGTTATAACTGAGGTATTCAGCAAAGCATTTGTGAAGCCACAACACACACAACCTTGAGGCGGATGGGCTACAACAGCTGAAGACCCCACCGGGTACCACTCCACTACAATCTCCACTACAAATAGGAAGAAGTGGCTACAATTTGTAAGAGCTCACCAAAATTGGACAGTTGAAGACTGGAAAAATGTTGCCTGGTCTGATGAGTCTCGACTTCTGTTGAGACATTCAGGTGGTAGAGTCAGAATTTGGTGTAAAAGAAAGAGAACATGGATCCATCATGCCTTGTTACCACTGTGCAGGCTGGTGTTGGTGGTGTAATGCACTTTAGGCCCCTTAGTGCCAATTGGGCATACTTTATATATATATATATATATATATATAATATCCATATATATCCATTTGCGCTATATAATTGCATATTTAATAGCCATATTCATAGCCAATCCATTCAGTAGTAATTGTAAAAATCTTAATTTGTGTCACAAAAAAACAAAACAAATTAAATTAACAATTTTTTCTTTTTTTATTTATTATTTTTTTTCTTAAGGAACTGAGAACTCTATGCTACTTCTACTCAATGGCATTTTCATCTTTAACTCTCCGTGTGACCATGTCTTTTCTCACCTAAATGTTACGTCTTTTTGGCAAGACACACTTTTCATAAAGTCTTGTGTAATTAGTTCAAGTGATTTGTCTGCGTACATGAATAAAATTTACTTTTTTCATTCCAAGTCATGCCAAACATAGTCCCGTCTGCTCATGAATCAAACTCCCTTAGTCGAGACGGAAGACATTTGAGTTCAGGCACGATTTTGCCACATAAGAGGAGGTGTTTGTCATCTCGACGTCTAACACTTTCCTCCTCACACGTGTTTTACATTTACAAGCTTTGCTTAAATCCTCCAAATTTTCATTGAAGGAATAATTCACCCCAAAAAATAGTTCACCATCATGTCGTTTCAAATCTAAAGAGCAGTTTGAAGATTATTCAGAATTTTCCCTTTTGTGTTCCACTGAACTAATGATATGGTTCAGGTCGGGGGTGACATGAGAGTAAGTAATGTATTCTTTTTTTAAAGTACACTACTGTTCAAAAGTTTGGAGCCAGTAAGTTTTGTTTATTTATTTTAATTAATGCTTTTATTTAACAAAGATGCTTCAAATTGATCAAAAGTGAAAGTAAAGATGTGGATAATGTTACAAAAGATTTCTATTTCTCCTTTTAACTTTGTTCATTAAAAAAAAAAATGTATCACGGTTTCCACAAAAAAATTAAGCAGCACAACTGATTTCAACATTGATAATAATAATAAATGTTTCTTGAGCACTAAATCAGCTATTCAAATGATTTCAAAAGGATCATATGACACTGAAGACTGCTGCAAATTTAGCTTTGGCATCACAGGAATCCATTACATTTTAAAAATATTTAAAAATAGAGAACTGTTATTTCAAAATGTAATGCTATTTCACAATGTTATAATTTTCACTGAATTTCTGATCAATTAAATGTATCATTGGAGCAGAAGAGACTTCTTTAAAAAAAAACACACACATCATACCAACCCCAAACTTTTAAACGATAGTGTGTTCCTTTAAATGTAATATCAGCCATGCAACAATGCCAAAATTTAAGAAACCTTAATCACAAACATCTGTATGCTTTTTCCCCCACCAATAATTCCCTTCATATCAATCAATTCCACACTTAACTCAAGCCTGACATGCTTGTAAAAACTCAGTGGGTTGAAATGACAGAGGCTCCATTGCCTGCTATTATATCTAGACCTTCCCGCACGCCAGTTGTGAGGATGTCTGCCATCAGAGAAACCCAGAAACCCCAAATGAAGAGCCAAACCCTGAGCCCTCGGCATGTTCTACAGCGAGACTTTACTGCCGAGCCACATTCACCAACAGCTGTGATAATCCAGTTCCAGATCAATAAATGGTTGCTTGCATAAATATTTGGTTGTCACATGGAGATTTATGTCTAGCTTTATTAGCAGTGTTTGGGTTGAGGGGCTAGGGAGAAGCAGCCGGGTTCAAACTGGCTCTCTAACCTTCGGTAAGACACATGACCCACTGATGGTCCTACAGATGTTCATGGAAGGAAGGGTTTCTGGTGAAATTTGAGTGTCCCTCGGCACTGATCTTGCACTGACATGGCTTACTTTATCTTTTTTTCCATCTTTTATCTGACGCTTTCATCCATAACAGTTTACAGAACACTTAATACTGGGACAATCCTCCTCAGAGTAACCTGAGGTTGTGCATCTTGCTCATATGATAGTTTGTGGATCACCACTTACAGGGTTTCAACCTACAACCTTTTGGTTACCAGCCCAGATCTTTGATATTTATTCCACACCACCCTAAACTAATCGCCTCTGATTAGTAGCCAAGCACCGCTTTTTACAGTTATGAGCCTCAAAAATGTGAAATTTGAGCTTGAATTCAATGCTTGGCTGTTGTCACATTCCCTATGAAAAAGAGCAGCTTATGTAGTGTAATGGATGCTGGTGTGTTGGCGTTCCCATAAGACTTTGTAACTAGCTTAACCAGCATGTTTTGTGGGTAACAAACATAAAACAACTCAGACCAGTATGGACATTCTTCAAAAGTTGTCTTTTCCATTTTTCCTAAGACCAGACTTGGTAATTTCCATGTTTGCCAACAGATTATGGTTACACGCGAGTCTAAATGCTCTGTTTGATACATGCTTAGTTTAATTAAGATAAATATTGATTCATATTTGTGTTTGTGTGTGTATTTGTGGCTTTCCCAGAGAACCAACCTGTTGAAGCCAAGCTGCCCTGGTTGAAACAGGCTCAAGAGCTGGAAGAAACCAAAGTGGCTTTGGAAGACCCAACGTGAGTTATATTTATGATGCTATACTGTATATGAAATGGTCACTAACACTCTATTGCTTTCTTTCTGTACACTGTAAAAAAATATTTTCAAGATTTGTTATCACAACATATTTTCTTTTGTCAAATCAACTTTATAATAATTTATTTAGTTGAGATAACTTATTATTTTGAGTTTCTGATGATTAAATTCATTGTATTAACTCACTTTTTCCAGTTCAATCAACTTAAAATTTTAAGGCAACCCAGGTTACTTACTTTTTTAAGTTAAACCAACAATATTTTTTATAGTGTAGTAATCACAACATTATTTTCTTTTGTCAAATCAACTTAAATCATTTATTTAGTTCAGATAACATATAATTTTGAGTTTCTGATGATTAAATTAATTTCCTTCATTGTATTAACTCACTTTTTCCAGTTCAATTAACTTAAAATTTTAAGGCAACCAGGTTACTTACTTTTTTAAGTTAAACCAACATTATTTTTTTACAATTTGCACTAGTTTGACAATATCAAAATGAGGAACGTTCACATTTCTTAATGTTTCTGTAAGAATCTTTCAATTCTTTAATTTCAATGAAAGGTTCGATTTAAAAAAAAAATTATGAAAGATCAATGCAGATTTATTTTTACTGCCATATGAACACATTAAACGGGTGCCAATAATTCTGACCACAACTGTATATAGTATACTAGTATACTTTTAGTTTAGATTAACACATTTTACCTTGTTTAAACCCATTCTACATAATTCAGCAGATTTTTTTTTCCAGAGAATCAGTACAGAAAATGCGGAAAAAGTCTGCTGATTCCGTCTGGGCTTAGCTACAAGTGTCTGAATAAACATATAAATCAGTCTTTTCTCTTTTATAACCAATAATCCACTGAACCATAAATCCTCATGTATCCCAAGACAGTCTTGCCACATTCTGTGCATTGCAACTCAATACAGTCATGCATTTTACTTTAAAATTATATTATTTTATTTTTACATTTTATATTACTCTGAAGTACTACTCTGAATCCTTTCACCTGTTACTCGGGATTTCTGGTGAGCTCACCCTGTCAGTAAAAATGCATTTTACCAAGTCAATTCAACCAGAACTGGACAAGAAGCAGGCTTCATTAGCTGGTTCTTCATCCGAATAAAACGGCCACTGAAACCCGAGTTGAGGGTGTCTGTGTTCTGACCTCTATGTGTCCAGTTTCCTTTCATTACTTAAACAAGGCCCCACGGGCCACTCTCGCCTCCCGTTGTGGTATTATTAGAGTCCCCCCCCCTCCCCATCTCCGAAATCATACCCCTGTTAATAGTTGGCAGGGGAGCTTGACGGAACCCCCGCTACCCCCACTGAAAGCCACAAACTGTGGGCTGCCAGCATCCAGACAGCCACCGCTCTCTGCGGTCTACCAAAGGCATTTATCACAAAGACTCATAAAACAAGAAGAATGAGGGGTGAAAGTGTTTAAAGGTTTACAGAAGAGCCATTGACCAACGCTTCAGCTTTCCGGGGGTTGGGGGGGTCTACCGTTTGTCTGCAAACCCTTCTTGAATTACTCCCTTTAGAGGAGTATATCACTCAGTGATAGCAGCACTTCTTTTGCGTTCTGCTCCATCACTCGTGCAACTAAATTTAGGGTGATCTAAGGTGGCATGCACCAGGGTTCAGTACTCGTCCCTATCTCAAAGGGACCCCAGTCCACTTTGCTGTGGAATTCACGGCTGGGCGCTTGCCTCTGTGATTTAGGTGGTTGGATTTTATGGGTTGGATGTAGTTGAAGAGTCTCACGCCACATCTAATCCCTGCTTAGATAAAAGTGGAAGAGACCCACTGAGGAAGGACTGTTGTCTTCCTGAACTCAAATCTTGAGATTAAAACCCTCCTGCGTGCTATTCACTGATATACACGGTCTCAGAGACACACCTACAAATGATCACATACTCCTTCTTAGGGAAAGAGGCCCACGACATAATCACATGAATGGCTTGCAACTAAAGCTATCTACTACTATCTTTAGTTAAATGGCCTTGTTGTGTTTCATGTACCAAGCATTGAGGTTTTGACAAAACTTACCTCCAGTTATTTCAAATTTATTTTTTTGAATTTTGAATGATTCACTTTGACTTTTTCTTTAATGTGCCGTTTCATTCAAAATGTGTCTAAACGCAATTCATAAAGTAACACAAGTATGTGTTACGTTTTCAGCATTGCCGCAAAGTAAGTTATGGCAGACATTTTAAAAGCACTACCGAAAATGTACCGAATGTGCTGTATACACTTGTAAAGTACAACGCTCATCACCCTGAAAAAACACAAGGCTGTTTTCTCAATCACATGAGGTGTTCTGACATCATAATATTCCCTGAATGACACCCCTACATTAGTCCAAACATGACATGTTAGGGCTTATGTGGAATTACAGATCTCATAAACTTTAATTCCTTAAGCCTGGAAAGTGTTTAGACAGTGGGCGGCAAGAGGTGTGCATTGACACCCATTCCAGGCGAACACATTTCCACAATAGTTAAATACTTTTACAGATATGTGCTGCACATTTGTCTTTTAGCTTCATTTAATGACAGCAGGAAGAAGTGTACACAAGGTACGAAAAGCATGAAGCCTGTTCATCTTAGTCCTCAGGTTTAATTCAATGGTGGTAAAAAACATGTTCCTGAATCCAATTACGCACAGATCACGCAAGCTATGAATTTCAACGATATTTTCCAAAAGGGTAATTTTCCACTCGCCAGAAATATGGAAAAATCATTCTGTGGTTCATTAGGAGACCCCGCCACATCTATTTTTATGATCACGTTTATTTTAAGTGTGGTTGACTCTTAAATATCAAAGTCTTTTGGTCCATGTTAACGCTATATTTATCAATATGACTTGGTTTTATTTTGAAATCAATTTTGTTTTCATTGTTATGATAGCTATTATGGTGCTTGGTTTATTGTTATGGAAAGAATTAGAGACAGTGTTTCAAGTTTAACGGTCTTTAATTTTTCAACAAAACAATCTGATGGAATGAGTGAAACATAGCTATCTTAACTTATGGCAACAAAAAAAAAGACAAAGAAAAAATGTATATATAATTGTTTTTTTTAAATGTAATTTAAGATTAGATAATATTATTTTTATTGTCATAAATATGTATAACGAAATTAGGAAGTTCTTCCCTTATGCCGGATTACAACACAAACAATGTTACATACAGTACAACACAAATATTAAACATATAATACACAAATCATCAATTTGTAATCAGTTTTAAATATTGCACTAATAAGAAATAAATTGCACTAAAACATTATATAATTGCACTAAGACTTTATATGTATATATATGTATGTAGCACAGATCAGTGCATATTAGAGTGCATATAATCTATTATACTGTTGTCAGAAACATGCTACTGCATTTAAACGTAACATTGACCAACAGTTTTGGAGATTTAAATGATTAGTTCACTTTTGAAAAAACTTTTGCTGATAATTTACTCACCCCCATGTCATCCAAGATGTCCATGTCTTTCTTTCCTCAGTAGAAAAGAAATTTAGGTTTTTGATGAAAACATTCCAGGATTTTTCTCCATATAATGGACTTCAATGGGAACCGGATGGTTCAAGGTCCAAAAGACAGTTAATAACTGTTTCAGATGCAGCTTCAAATGTCTTTAAACGATATCAGACGATGAATAAGGGTCTTATCATGCGAAACGATCGGTTATTTCAAAACTTATTCCAAAAATGTAACTTTTCTAAGGACAAATGCTAGCCTTGCTCTATTCTGTGAGGCGCGTTTGCAACGTCACGTATTACGTAATTACGTTCAAAAGGTCACGGGCGACGTAGCCGAAAGTACAGAGTCAGTGTTTACAAGTTGAACGCATAGGTTGAACGTGCAAACTAGCTCAAACACCGTTTACAAAAAAAGGAATTAAAAGGAAAAACAACGATGTCGGACGATTTTGATTTTGTACTTCCGGCTACATCGCCCGTGACCTTTTGAACGTAATTACATATTACGTGACGTTACAAACGCGCCTCAGAGAATATAGCCATATGGAATATAGCAAGGCTAGCATTTGTCCTTAGAAAAGTTACATTTTTGGAATAAGTTTTGAAATAACCGATCGTTTCGCATGATAAGACCCTTATTCATCGTCTGATATCGTTTAAAGACATTTGAAGCTGCATCTGAAACTGTTATTAACACTATCTTTTGGACCTTGAACCATCCGGTTCCCATTGAAGTCCATTATATGGAGAAAAATCCTGGAATGTTTTCATCAAAAACCTAAATTTCTTTTCGACTGAGGAAAGAAAGACATGGACATCTTTGGTGACATGGGGGTGAGTAAATTATCAGCAAAAGTTTTTTCAAAAGTGAACTAATCCTTTAAATCTTTGATTTGATTCAGCCTGATTCACCAAATTTGTTTGACTGATTTATTGAAAAGACCTTGCTTTACCAATCAAGTTTTCTTGTGCAGTTAGTAAGGACAACACTATAGCATAACAACATCCCTTAATATTTGTGCTTGTAAACTGGTTGTGAAAATTGCATATCTTTAAAACAGAATCATAATGTGTTGTGTATGTGTGTTGTGTGTGTGTGTGCAGGTTCATCCCAGGTCCGTGGTCGGACTGCAGTGTGTCTTGTGGTCCGGGGGTTCAAAGGCGTCAGGTGAAATGTAAAGTATTGCTGTCTTTCACTCAAGCCGAAGTCGAACTACCCGATGAAGAGTGTGACGAGGACAAGCCTCCCTTACAAAGGAGCTGTGATTCAGGCTCCTGTCTAGCATCTCCAGACTCATGGCGACCCCTGAAACCCCAGCAGATCCCTGATCAGCAGGACTACGCTTGGGAATACATGGGCTTCACTCCCTGCTCTGCATCATGTGCTGTTGGTAAGTCTCCATGAATCCCATTAGAGAAAATAACCTCTCTAATGTGTTTACTGCTCGAAAAGCTTTTACAATTTCTTTGTGCTAAAGAACTAATTTAGATTTTTACATGTCCAGCTTTCCAGATGAAATGAAATTGGCATGTAATCTAAAATTGCTAAGAGAGCAGATAGTGATCAGCCTGGACTACAAAAAAACATTTTAAATACTCCCCTGCCAAAACCCGTTCCTCACAGTGTTGTTTTGCAGGCAAACAGATGGCTGTTGTCAGGTGTGTGAGCACCTTGAAACAGGAAATTGTCGATGACACACTCTGCAATGGCTCCAAAGTTCTGCCTTCCTTGCTTCGCATCTGTAACCCCCAACCATGTCCACCAAGGTACGGTCCAAAAGAAATCACTATGGAAAAATGTTTGTCTTAAGTCTTTACTTCAGTTAACTCTATGGCATTTTTTTTTTACAACGTTTTAAATACATATTTTAAATATCTTCACAAGACTGCCAGGCATAAATCTGATGATTTAAAAAAAAAAGTAAGCGCACAACCCTCTTTAATAATATGTATGCCCGCTAATTAATTCTTTCAACTCCAAATGCGTTTTTCAAGGAAAGATGTTGCGTGCAAAAGCAAGTGTGGAATAAAAAAAAAAACGTATGATTCATCCAGCTTCTTAAAAAGGAGCTAAAATTGAACCTGCTGGCCTAGATTATGTTCAAAGACTAAATTCAGATTTAATCTTAGGTTGTAGGGCCACTCTGAAAATAAGGACATGTGATCAAAAATAATGTGATTTCCTGTTAACTGACCATTTGCCAAAAAAACAATAAAACAACAAAAAAGGACAGCTGGGTTTTTAGAGTGGTGCATTATGGAAAAAATGACTTTATAGGATCTTTCATTTGACTTTTTATGTACTGCGGCTCAGGATATTATAATAGTTAATATAATGGACAAAAGTTTGATTGTTATCTCAGATTATATGGGCTGTATTGTTAAAATTTGAAATGCCTATAGCGTTTTAAGACATGGTCGCCTTCATATGGATCTTTCCGATCTTGATTGCGATGGAATGCCAGGGATCGTAAAGTTCAAAGACCATGGCAATGTGACTTCATGTTTTGCATTACCGTACACATTCCATACAATAATATTTTGCTAAATCATAAACATATTGCTTTTGATTGTGGTAAGGAATATTTTTGGCTTATTTTGTATTAAATGAAACATGGAATGAAAATGCAGCCTATTTGCTTTTCTTAATACATATTGCTTGATCTAATTGTGCAAGATTCATCTGTGCATGTTTATCTGAAATGTTTGCAGAATTTTTCTATCAAACAAAGCAACTAATAACTTGCCCTCGTCCTTCCTTTTCAGCTGACATCCCCCAGGCTGCATGGACTGTTGGTTAATGTGAACCACAGTAATGTTATTGTTAAATAAAACTATTGAAAAAGATTTCGTTAACTGAAATAAAACAAAACTAAAATATACGGACAGTACGGTGTGCGCGAGCCACACGAGAAAACACTGATCGCAGCGGCAACGAGCACTTTGATCACTTGATTTAAAAAACACATATCATGTACAGTTATTGATGTATTAATATTTAGTAAAACACATATCAGTGACATGATGGGTTTTAACTTCATTCAGGAGATTTTGGGTAACTGCACAACTGACAGATGACTTTGAGCGCACAGCCAACGGTGTGTGTGTGTGTGTGTAACCATAGCGACAAAACAACCAACTTTTGGATCCTGCTCTTAAGCTTATTATAATTTCGTTTTTAAAAATAAATGTATTTAAAAGTTGGAGAATGGATTCATTTGGAGACTTCGAAATCGGCAGAAATAGACAGGCAATGCAAAACAAAATCTTACAAGTTATTGCTTAGCTTCAACAACAGTCTGTTTTTTGGTCTTGGTCTTGATCTTGTCTTGGTCTCGATACCCTCTGGTCTTGGTTTAAGTCTACTAATGGGCCATCTTTGATTATTTGTTCCAAGGTTTTGGCTGTGGGCTGAGTGACGTTTCATAACTTTTTATATTTATTTAACTTTATACCGTAACTTTGTACGTTTGACTAAATTGGTTGATTGACTTGTACTAAATTTGACTAAATTGTCTTTATATCCTATTGTATAGCTTCTTATACTTTATACTAATACTTGGGTATTACTTGGGAATGATGCTATTATACTAATACCATTATACTGAATTATAATGGCTATTATTGACCATTAAAATTTACATTAACAGATAACCAGAGTAGCCAGAGCGACAGTCCGAACTTTGTCTATTTGGTAATGAGAAATGCCTTTATATTCAGTTCTGACTATAGGATCAACTCCATTTACGTCCACTTTTCATGATCCAATCAGTTCCCCGAATGAAAAAAAACCAAACATAAAATCTTAAATTGGTTACACTTTTATTTGATGGTCCCCTTTAGACATTCTGTTGACTATAAGGAGCATTGCACATGTCAGTTAACTCGCATTAGAGTATTAACTGAATATTAGTAGACTGTTAGGTTAGGGTTAGTAGAATAAGTTGACATGTACTTGGAAAGTTACTTATAGTCAGTAGAATGTCTGTTGGAGGACCATCACTATAAAGAGTTAGATATTAAACAGACAGTTTACTAATGATCTAATGAGCATCATAATAAAGCGTTCAAAATAATGCAAAGGGACCATCAAAATAAAGCGTTACCCTTAAATTAATCAAAATATCCTGTATTTCACAACAATGTAAAATGGTTTGTGAATGCATATAGTGTGTAAGACGTGGTTTTGTGTGTTTTCTTCAGATGGGAGGTGAGCATGTGGAACCCGTGTTCTGTGTCATGTGGCGTGGGGCTACAGACGCGTGGCGTGTCCTGCGTGAGGTCTGTGGCGGGAAACCGCACTGAACCGGCGTCCAGCACAGACTGTGTGGAGACAAGACCTCCAGAACTGCAGGCCTGCAACCAGGTGGCGTGTCCACCGTCCTGGGAGGCCGAGGACTGGCAACAGGTTAGTGACCCCTATGATTTTAGATTATTAATTACTAAAGACTGTCAGTTTAAATTCGATTTTTGTGTATATCCGTTTGGAAATCTGATTATATTTAGCAAGTGTGAATGGCAAAAACTCACATATAATCTGATATTTCAAATTCGTTTCAATCTACATTCATGTATTTTAAAATTCAATTCGATTCTGCATTGCTTTATTGCTTATGCCACTTTCTTGCCATTGCAGAAACTATGTTGTGTTGTTGTTGGTGTGCAGATCACCCAGAAAATTATAATATATAATCTGTGGTCCAGTGATGAAGTGTCTTTACGTTTTGAGACCGGCAGAACGGAAAAAAGCCACGCGTTCCAGCTTCCTGTGTTTATTAGACGTAGTACTCCAGTGTTGCGGCTACACATTATTGTCATATTGTAAGACAACATTTCAAACAACTCCATATTACTTTTGGCGTAGGCCCACCAACGCAATGCCAATGCCATAGAAACCAACACAGATCAGAGCACCAGTTGTGATGCACAGTGTGAACAGTCAGTCATCAGACACACTGATAATTGGATTTGGACTGAGAGTGTGAACTTGATCTAAGAAATCTCTGTAGTTTCTAAATGGTTTTTCCGAGACATCATTGACAACGTTTACATGCAGCCAATAAACCGTTCAAACCCAGGGTTTTTACATGGCCGTTCGCGAACGGGTTATTGGCTGCATGTAAACGTGAGACTGAAAGGAGAAACTTTTGTCTAAATGTGTTTATTTGATTAAAATAGCAGAAAGTGCTAGAGACCTTCGTAAGCACTTTGAAGATTCACTTTGTTATTCTCATTGAGCATGTGTTTTTGAGGATATGGGATTATGGAACATGATGTGAAATCCTTTTCTTAGCCGACTTTCCATCTTTATTTGGCTTTTCTACTGTAAACATCAAGAGTTGTGATTTGTATTCGCTCACATGCGGTGCTCTCTGTGGTTGTAGCATACTGTATGTGGGAAAGACTGATTTGTTTGTTTGTGTTTTTGTTGGTGTTTTGTTTCATCTCTGGGTCAGTGCTCTCATTCGTGTGGCAGAGGTACGCAGTGGCGGAAGGTTTACTGTAAACAGAGACTAGCTACTGGAAGCTCCCTAAAGTTGAGAGACGATGAGTGCGCTGGAACCAAACCCGACGTACACAGGACATGCAACAACCCTGATTGTCTGCTGCCTCGTCTGGAAGGCGGAGAGTGGTCCAAGGTGTGTTTCTGCATGTGTGTGTGTTTCTAACCAATTTTTTTTTTTTTTTTTTAAGAAGCAAGCATGCATTCTATTAACAAAAAGTGATGGTAAATGCATTTAAAATGTTACAAAACATGTATATCCTAAGAATCCTGAAAAAAATGTATATCAGTTTTTCACAAAATTAAGCAGCACAACTGTTTTCAACATTGATAATAATAAGAAATGTTTCTTGAGCACCAAATCAGCATATTAGTATGATTTCTGAAGGATCATGTGACACTGAAGACTGGAGTAATGATGCTGAAAATTCAGGCAAGGCAAGGCAAGTTTATTTATATAGCACATTTCATACACAATGGCAATTCAAAGTGCTTTACATAGAAGAAAGTAAAATAATCAAAAGAAATCAGAATAATTAAAACAGTTTAGAATAAAAAAATAAGAAATAATGAAACATAAAAATTATGATAAAAATAAAATACAGTGAATTAAAACCATTTAGAATAAAATGAAGTGCAGTAACAGTCGGGCGAACAGTGGCACAGTGCTCATTCAGTAAATGCACAACTAAACAGATGTGCTTTGTAGGAGCACATGGAGCTTAGCCAACACTAGAATAAATTACTTTTAAAAATATATTAAAATGAAACACTTTTATTTTATATTATAATAATATATCACAATTTTACTGTATTTACTGTATTTTAATCAAATATTTGGTGAGCATAATACTTCTTTCAAAAACATTTTTAAAAAAAATCTGAACTTTTGAACGGTGCTATATTTAGCTTAATTTAAAACCAGTAGAAGAGTAAATGTTGTTCCAACCCTGTAGTTTTTTACTTCCGGGAAATTCAAATTAGATATTCAAAAATGGCCATTTTGGAGATGCTAAGGCCAGTTCACTTCAAGCACTATTGCTATAATAATAACTAAAACGTTTTAACAATCACTCTAATTCTATAAGAATATGGAATTGCTCACCATAACAACACAGATAAATTATATCGTTGGAATCACTTTCAGAATTCTAAACGATAAAAACATTGTCATCCGGCAGAATTCATCCTGCTTTAAAGAGCTTGAGTATTTAAAGCAGTAGACAACATAACTGTGCATGCTTAAAGGGCACCTATTATGGAAAATTCACTTTTACATGGTGTTTGAACATAAATGTGTGTTGGCAGTGTGTGAGCAAAACCACCCTAGAATGATAAAAATCCATCCAGTAGTTTTTTTACAATCTCAATAAATCATCTGCACTGCCTCAGAACGAGCTGTTCTGAGATCCAGGTCTTTGTGACGTAGAACGGGAGACAGGGGGTTGATTGACAGTGTGGCTGTGGCCTAGACCCCGCCCTCGGTGATCTGTACACACCATCCTTCATTGTTTCAACGACGACAGCCGGTAATGTCTCTTGGAAACGTAAATTAATGTTCTGTCGTGGACTCGTGGGTTAATCCTGTTGTTGTGGCTTAAAAGTTAATCCTCAAGTGTGGATTCTTGTCTACTGTTTGCGATCCACCGTCACCTCCAGTAACAGTAAGTGTATTTTATGATTTTTGAGCAAATAGTCTTTTCAGTCAATGTCAGCCAATTCAACAACAAATGCGTCTAAAGTTATTGCCGTCGTAGGATGTCTGTGTATATAATTTAAAACCTTGTTTGTATAGTGTGTAACCACACGTTTATAAATATATATATTTTTAAAGATATTGTATTAAAAACTGCATATATGTTGGTGTTCTGTAAGTTAGCCATCTTCTCACATTTGCCACAGAAGCACCCGTATGACAAGCTAAACATGATGCCACAGGTCCCTGCATAAATGTAATTTCGCTCGTACGTAGCAAACTTTATCACAGAATGTGTATGTAGTTTCAAAAACTTGCGCTAGTGTCTGTGTGTGTGTGTGTGTGTTGGACATCCATCATTTCAAATGGGACGCTATTACAACTCTAAAGTACATAAAAGTAGCAAATAACCATACCGAGACGTACTGGTCCATTCTCATATGTTTATTCTGCCGGAGTCTCTTCATGCTATTTATATATTCCGATTCAAACGTACGGCTGAATGACATTCAAAACGGCGCGTCTCTTCACTCTCTCAGTACCGACTGCCTGCCATAGGTATCAAGTTACGCCCTCATCCAAAGGCAGGGCGGGGATATGCAGCTCATTTGCATTTAAGGTGGAATACCCCCTGAAACAGCTCATTTTTAAGCAGGCCCCAAAATGACATTTTCAAATGGTTATAATAAATTAACTGTGGGGTATTTTGAGCTGAAACTTCACAAATACATTCTGGGGACACCTGAGACCAATATTACATCTTGTAAAAAGGGGCATAATAGGTGCCCTTTAATATAATAAACATAAAGGTATTGTGCATTGGTGTGGACGCTAATATATTTATTGTTGTAGTTGCCTCTATAGTTATCATTCTGTACACCAGGACCTTTTGTCCATGTATGTTTGCAGTGCTCTGTGACTTGTGGTAAAGGTGTCCAGCGGAGGGAACCTGTCTGTAGGAGACAGACGGCGTCCGGTCAGCTGGTCACTCTGGACAGGTCGTCCTGCAGTGACCTCCCTCTTCCTCCCCTGATCAGGAGCTGCCGTATGAGCCCCTGCAGCAGTAAGATATCCTTTACCTATGGCTTACCCAGTGTGGAACCCCATTACGCCTGAATGTTTTCTTGTAAATTTAGTGTTCTGTAAAATTGTGGTTGTAATTTAACTTAGAACTGACCTCTATTTGATCTTGGTCTCACTATGGTCTCCATACATTCAGATACCAACACAAGGGAAATTTCATAAAAAGATTTTGGGACCCTCTGATGTTTTGAGCTGTAGGAACAACACAATCTTACTTGAGTCTCAAATTTCTTAAATAAACAGCTGGGATCAGTGGGTATCACTTAGCATGTTATCACTGTTCTCATGACACCCATGAACCAATGAACTCTCTATGGTCATATGTAATAACTATATGTGAACATATATTATGAAACTCCCAGGATGGCTTTGAGATATAGCTTAATGCTATGGTTCAGAAAAAAAATCGATCTTGATAACGTTTCTTTTTAAGCTTCAGTTTCAAACTGAATTTGGTTTATTGGTTTGTATATCTTGATAAGGTCCCGCGGCCCAATATCCAGTAAGCGGAGAACGTATATTCACATTGTGCCCTCATGTTATTTGTTCTTTCACCTAAACTTTCCAAAGCCCTTCAGTCCCATGTGATTTGACTTCATTGGGTTCAACCTCACGCGAAACTAAAGTAATTAGCCCTAACCGATGTTTGAACCGCCTAAACTTCTTCCGCCTCTTTCCACAGAGCACACTCACTCTAGAAAACGTTGCCCTCAGGTCATTGGCCTGAAACGCATCTACATCCAGACCAGACAAGAAAAACGGCTTAGTTTAACCATTGGAGGACGAGCCTACCTTCTTCCCAAGACTGCAGTCATTATCAAGTGTCCTGTGCGGCATTTCCCTAAAGCTCAGATCCGCTGGGAGAAGGATGGGAGGGATCTGACTAGTTCCAAACGTTTGAGCATCACCAAGTCTGGGGCTTTGAGGATTTACAACCTGGAAGCTGGAGATATTGGACTGTACCGTTGCTGGGCCAATCAAGATTCAGACACCTTCATCCTGAAGCTGATCGGATACAATAATAGACTTCTGGAACAGCCTGAAGGAAAGGGGTTGGCGAAGGAAAGAAGTAGGAACTTTCATCCGTACCTCAACAAAGAAGGAGGTTTCGTTGGTTCAAAGTGCAATGAGGGGTTTCCACCTGGTAAGAAGGCTCCAAAATCTCGCCCAAGCTGGGTGCAAAGAAACGAGTTCTACCGAGATGATGATGGCCAGCCTAAGGAGCTCTGGGAAACTCTTGCTTTGGGGAACTATGCTTTGTCTTCAGGGCCCAGGAGCCACACAGGGGCCTTTGTCCTTGAACCTGCACAGTTCGAGGAGCTTGTGAAGAACATCAGTCAGCTGGCGGAGAGCGGGGATGTGTCGGATGAAATGGCATCGCACCTGATAGGCAAGCTACTAGAGGATTTGGCTGCCGCAGGGCAAGGGGTACCTACAGGGGAAGGCGCTACGATGGACAATCATTTAGATAAGACGCCAAACACTTCAGAACTTACTGGGGAAATGCCGTCGACAAGAGGCAGTCGCGCGGTAATCGTTCGCCAAAGGCATCACGGATCTGACATGAACTTCCAGAGGGATCTCAGGATCCATGTGGGCAGGAATGCTTACTTAACCAATGCTACCCACAGCCTCACACTGATGTGTCCCGCTCAGGGATTACCACCTCCAAACCTCTCCTGGAGCAAAGATGGAGCTCCACTACAGAACAGCGACAGGTAAAGACAATGATGTGTACTGAGGTTGGGGGTTCAATTCAATGTTGCAGTTTCTCTCTTTTTTTTCTATTTTTCTCTTTTTGTAGTTGTTTCTGCAGGTTATTTCTTTTAACTCTACAGTTTCTGGAGGGCTAAGAGTTTTTGATTGTCGGCTTTAAATCCATGTTTAAAGGAAAAACATAAATTCGGTGTCATTCCAAACCTATTATTCTTATATGTAACTCAAAGTGATACTCTATGAAAAAGAATGCACAACACACTGTACTGGTACTTAATTAGTTTATATATATATATATATATATATATATATATATATATATATATATATATTTTTTTTTTCCTGCTAATATTAGATATTTATCGACCAATATTCAGGATTTATATATTTTTAGATTTATATTACTTTTGCCATCATAAAGCTCTAACTTAAAGGGATAATGAAAGATTATATTTAATATTTATCTTTTTTTATGCTTTATTATTGTTGAGTTAAAGCTTGTATATAACTCTGAACTTTAAGCAGAGTTTTTATTAGTGGCTTATTAGTGTTATTTTAGTATAATTTATACATTTATTAATATTTTTATTTAGATTTTTTTTTTCAGTTTTCCTTTTAGTTTAGTTTTAGAAATGTTGTGCATGTGCATTTTTTATGTTTAGCTTTAATTGATTTTTATTTCAGTTTTAGTAATTATTAGAGTTGAGCCGGATACTCGGCTGAAACGAGTATCCGGTACGGATAAAGCACTTTTGTCGAGTACGAATATTATACGAGTAATACGAGTCAATATCTGTGCTCGGATAAAAAAAAAAAAAAGTTATGTTGAGATTAAGGCTGAGCGATATATCAATATAATATATATATATATTTTTAAATGTGATATGTAATTAAACCATATTGCATATCGATATAGGCTATTCCAACCCGATCTCACGACCAAGTCGTACGAATTCGACGAATGATTAAAAAGTGGCTAATTCGTAACAATTCATACGACCTCACTCGTACGAATTAATACGATTTTGCTAAATCGTACATATTTTACGAATTGGCCAATTCGTATGAATTCGTACGAATGACCTACCCCTTACCCCGCCCCTAAACTTAACCATCACGTGGGTTAAGACAAATCGTACGAATTAGTACGAGTGAGGTCGTACGAATTAGTACGAATTAGCCACTTTTTAATCATGCGTCGAATTCGTACGAATTGGTCGTGAGATAGTGTTGGCTATTCAGGTTTGCGCTGTGATCCTTGCTCCAAGCAAGCTGCTGAGTGCTGATCCAGAGCTCTCTGCACTGCTCCCCGCGCCCCAGCCACTCCTTTTCCACTTTGCGTGCTTGATTAAAGCATGTTATGTTATGAAATAAAGTCTTTCACCTCAGCAAAACGGACTTTCTGTCCTGTCACCCGTTATACTGTAACGTTAGTCGTAGCGCACACTCAATTGCACGCGCAAATGCGGCGGCGCGCGCTGGATCGCCTCTGTATATAAAGTGCAAAAGAAACTATACGAGCATGCAACACCGTTACGTTGTAAATTACACGAAATAAAAGCAATGCAGTTATGATTTTCATTCTATTCACCAGAGCAGTTTCCATGTTTCATAAACAGTTCTTGTTAGTATTGTGTATTCACTATTCACCATAGTAACTGTCGTTTCTATATTAACCCCTTAATGCCCCTATTTTTCTTTGTGTTATTTTTTATATTTTTTTAATGACTGTAATGGCTCATACCAACGTTGTATTAACAAAATAAATAAACCAATTAATAAATCACAATTACAATTCCAAGGGAATAATCTGCAATGAAGATTTTTGTAATCATGCAGCCCTAAGGTGAAGAAACCTGTTTATTATTTATTCATTTGGTTTGGCAAATGTTCAAGTTTCAATAAAACTATACTTGTGACATGTCATATTTGGCTTTGACTGAACATTTGCTCTCACTTTGCAGAAAAAATATCGGGATATATTTTGTATATCGAAATTCAGCCTAAATATATTGGGATATGACTTTTGGTCCATATCACCCAGCCGTAGTTGAGATGAATACTCTTGTTCATTACATTTTACTTCATAATTGCAGCCACATGTGTTGTATTCATTGTTGCAAAACTTGTTTTGTAGTTCGTTTGTTATCGTGATCAAAACCATTGATCTGAAGCTCAATGCTGATGCTGTCATGTAAATAGTTTTATTTCTTATCAGCAAAAAATAAAGCAATTTCAGATCAACCCATATCAATTGCATGCTTAAAATAACATACCGGTTAAAGCCCCGCCCATTTCAAGACTACCCGACCCACTTCCGGGTTTAGGCCCCGCCCAGTCCGAGTACAGATACAGATACAGATAATTCATATGGTTAACAGATACAGATACAGATACAGATAATGCTGTACTCGCTCATCCCTAGTAATTATAGTACTATTATAGTACTATAGTACTTAAATACAAATTTGAAATATTCCCTTGGAAACTAACTGAAATACATTTTTTTATTTAAATTTATTTTTATTTTCTAGTTTTAGTTTTAATTAACAATAACAAGATTGATCATATCAATATTATTCAATATTATTGCTTCCCTTTTTCAGAATATCTCCTTTTGTGTTCAACTTCCACTGAAGTGCAGTTATCAGTTTTAGATCAACTATTCCTGTAAATGTGGCGTTTTGTTCCTGCTCAAAATCCAACTACAGTAATGGCAATGGCATAGACATTTTTACAAGTGTCTGATTACAAAACTTCTGGAATTCACATGACTTTACTCTTTTCTTTTCTTTTTTTCAGTTATTATCACCGATAGTTCTTTTAGTCCAAGAACATGATGCTGAAAACGAGCAAAGTTCAACTTTTACACCGAAAAGCAATTTTTTCTCTCTTTATAGAAAACAAGACTCCCTGTGTACCTCTGAGTCCAGCCGTGACTGATCTTGATTGAGCAACCGCATATTCCAAAAGCCTGTTAATCACAAACCCACTCAAATATTCACCTCAAAAGCACCCCAGATCTCACGTTATGCGGTCCGTTGGGGTCAGAAAAACTGGCTGTGCTTCTTTCAGTTTCTCTCCAGGGTCGCATTGTGGTCTAATCGTCTACTCTATACTGTTGACTGTTAAATACCGTCATTGAAAACATTGACTTAGTAACTCAGCTTTGTCCAGCTCACGGCCTTAACATAGCCTCCGCCCAGACAGTCGCCAAACATTGTCTGCCCCTCTTCCTGGCGTGCGCTATGGGACCTGAAAGAGACATGGCTCTGCAAACATTGTTCAGGCCTCTTCTCGCAACTTGGGCTTAAAAACTCAGCAGCTCTGAGGTAGTTGTGATATACTGAAGCGCTTTAACTCCCAGGAGTCACTTTTGACCTGAACTGTAGGGTCATTTTACGAAGTGTGTGCCATTTCCAGTTTAATCTAAAATTTAAGACATTTTAGATAGAGATACACAATGTTTAAGTGTTAATTGCTTTGCGACATCAGGTCAATATGTTGAGGTAACATTGTCTTGTGTTAAGAAAGAGAATTTATTGTTGAGATTCATACAAATTTCCAACAGTTTTATTATATTATATTATATTTAGTGCTGGGCAGTGATTAATCGCATCCAAAATGAAAGTTTGTTTTTACATAATATATGTGTGTGTGCTGTGTATAATACTTTTGTATGTGTAAATACATACATTTGTATGTGTATATTTAAGAAATATTTGCATGTGTACACTATTTATACATAATTTATATTTATATATAAATATTTTATCTATAAATAACACATTTTTTTCTTAAATATATACATGCATGTGTTCAAAATAATCATGCACAGCACACACACATACTGTATATTATGTAAACACAAACTTTTATTTTGGATGTGTTTAGCAAAATGTCTATGTTAACGACACATAGTTGAAGATGACATCAGTTAATCATTGTTACATAAAATAATTACACATGCACTGCATAAAGGAGACACAAATGAGACCCATTTTGTATAATGACCCTGCAGATGTTGACTCTGACTGCTTGAATTTATGCTAAATTTTGTCATATCCGTTATCAGATCACATTGTATTTTATTGGTCTTGTAACTAAATTAATTGATTGATGCTTGTTTCTATGATTTTTTGATGCTACATCATCTCTGTATCCTGGACAGAACTGATCTCAACTCAAACTGGCAAGCAATCTTTATATATATATATATATATATATATATATATATATATTGTATATGAAGTTCAACTCAGGGAAACAGGCTTGTTTTCAGCTATAACCATTTTTGTCTTATTATTTTTTTGGATCAGGCACAATCCTTCTATAATACTTTATTTATTTATTATGCTCAAGTTATTTTGACCACAGTATTGCTCAGAGCTGCCAAATCATTTGCCTCCCACTCTTTTGTTGACAGCCGTGTTTCTGTGCGGTCTCGACTGCATTACTGCCGCACAGTAACTTCCATCAAAGTGGCGCTGTAGAATGCCACTTGACTCCAAAACCAAATATAACGTCGCTGCCAACTCATGCCAGCCCAGTGCCAACCCAGAATGAATGCGTTCCACTCCTACAGAGTAATATTTACAATTTGATCATGTTATTCTTTTCTCACTGCAGGTATTGGGGATATTTTAAAAACTGTCTGGCTATGTGGAAACTGTTCCAAATTACAGTGTGTTTTCTTTTCATTAATGGGAAGAAACATAAACTATCTGTTTGTCTCTGTCTGTCAAGAAATTCAGGCAATTTGTGAAGGTATCAATTTGGTAGCGTTTTAATGATTACTATGTATTATTTCAGTTAGTTATATTCACAACCGATCAAAAGTTTGGGGACTCAAGAAGATTTTTATGCTCACCTTGGCTGCATTAATCGGATCAAAAATGCAGTAAAACGGCAGTGTTATTATTACAATAGAGAGCCTAAGTCCCTCCCCTTCCGGTCGACCACCATGGGACCTTATTTCTGAAAAATATTGAATGGTAGTCAATGGCGAGAGACAACAAATATTTTGATCTCGTTTTAATTATGCCCTGAATTACACATATGATGTTTTTCAATTTAAAAGATACATTTTAAAGTAAAGAAAGTCGCAGTTTGATGTAAAACCGTTGAGGTATAAGACTGTGAAAATGCGTAATTACAAAGACTACAAACCCCAAAGGCTCACATTTTCTGTCAATGAAAGAAGCTAACTTTACTGAGGCTATTGTCTGTCATTGTTTCTATAGTCTTACGTTATAATCGTAACGTTACGCCGGCATACCTGAGTGTTTTGTACCAGACTGCACACACACGCAGAAGCGGATCTCACTCGTTGTTTTGCTTCACGGGAGATGTAGTTCATAGAGCGATTTTCACATAAAACTAAATGTTACTCTTCTGTTTTATGACAAACTGCGGCGTTTTTGACTTTTCAGAATTATCTTTTAAATTGACAAACATCATATGTGTAATTGAGGGCACAGTTCAGACGGAATAAAAAGATAAGTTGTCTCTTGCCATTGGCTACCATTCATATTTTTTCCGAAATAAGGTCCCATGAGCCGGAAGCGGAGGGGCGGGACTTAGGCTCTCTATTGAAAATAACTCTTTTCTATTTGAATATTTCTTAAAAGGTAATATATTCCTGTGATGCAAAGCTGAATTTTCAGCATCATTACTCTAGTCTTTATTGTCACATGATCCTTCAGAAATCATTCGAATATGATGATTTGATTGATTCATCAAAGAATCCTGAAAAAAAAAATCATCATGATTTCCACAGAAATATCAAGCAGCACAACAGTTTTCAACATTGAGAATAATAAGAAATGTTTCTTAGGCAGCAAATCAGCATATTCGATTGATTTCTGAAGGATCATGTGACACTGAAGACTGGAGTAATGAAACGTGTCCTGTGCAATGACAAGCTCACTGGAGAAACAGCAGCTCTGTGTGATGGCGTATATCTCCATTCTCCTCCCATCGGCAGCTCCTGTGGCGATCATGGCCCCAGGGCCGTCTCTGCTGTTGCGCTTACGTAGTGCTTCTTATTTTTGGCCAAATGTGAAGCAAAACACAGGCGAGGTGATTGACGTTCACAGACTCTAAAGCTGTGTGAAGTCTCACCCTTTCGTGCCCTTTTATTCAGATGTGTCTTGGCACCACGGCGACGCTCTAAATCAGATCCTAACGAGGTTGATTTACTCCTAGAGCTGTGAACTGGAAATCACACTCAAACCAGTGCAGTTTCTGCTCCGGTAATGGTATGATTGATATTTAGATGAACAACTTAATTTTAAGGTAGGCACAGTGTTGGGTAAGTTACTAAATATATCTTCAACAATGTAATTAGATTATAGGACTAGGGTTGCATTACTTATTTTTAATTACTTTAATAACAACCTCATCTGGCTGTACAATACAAGGATGAAACCGCTCTTTTAATTCTTTCAAATAAATAATATAAAATAGCATCAATTATTCTTGACCTGACCAAAGTAATTTAAAGGGACTAAAAGGTTACATTTACAAAAGCATACACATGATATTTATTTGGGCTTTCCATTAACAAAAAAAAGGGTTTTCTAGGGTTTACAAAGAATGGTGTTAAAAGGGAAAAACATTCTGTATGCGGCAGTCCTGTGGGCGAAAAGGCCTTGCTAGAGGTCAGAGGAGAATGGGCTGACTGATTCAAGCTGATAGAAGAGCAACTTTGACTGAAATAACCACTCGTTACAACCGAGGTATGCAGCAAAGCATTTGTGAAGCCACAACACGCACAACCTTGAGGCGGATGGGCTACAACAGCAGAAGGCCCCACCGGGTACCACTCATCTCCACTACAAATAGGAAAAAGAGGCTTTAATTTGCAAGTGCGCACCAAAATTGGACAGCTGAAGACTGGAAAAATGTTGCCTGATCTGATGAGTCTCGATTTCTGTTGAGACATTCAGATTGTAAAGTCAGAATTTGGCGTAAACTGAATGAGAACATGGATCCATCATGCCTTGTTACCACTGTGCAGGCTGGTGGTGGTGGTGTAATGGTGTGGGGGATGTTTTCTTGGCACACTTTAGGCCCCTTAGTGCCAATTGGGCATTGTTTAAATGTCACAGCCTACCTGAGCATTGTTTCTGTCAATGTCCATCCCTTTATGGCCACCATGTACCCATCCTCTGATGGCTACTTCCAGCAGGATAATGCACCATGTCATAAAGCTCGAATCATTTCAAATTGGTTCTTGAACATGACAATGAGTTCCCTGTACTAAAATGGCCTCCGCGGTCACCAGATCTCAACCCAATAGAGCATCTTTGGGATGTGGTGGAACGGGAGTGGAATTTCTAAAGAATGCTTTCAGCACCTTGTTTAATCAATGCCACGTAGAATTAAGGCATTTCTGAAGGCAAACATAGTAGTATGGTGTTCCTAATAATCCTTCAGCCAAAAAGCTATGATAGACTTGATTTCAGACAATATGTCTTAAATTTAGTTTGTATGAAAGAAGAAAAAAGCAATTATCTGAAATTATCTGCATGCAAGTTCTTATTATTTTCTGTTCCGATTTTTCCAAAGACGTCTTGTAATGATTATTTTTTTCATTAAATGTGGTAGTGTAAGTGAAGTGTAGGGTAATGTTTGTGATTGTGAAACAATGCCGCCATTGTCCCGAAGTTGATTTTCCGCACACATTTGTGCATGCGAGTCGGCCCAGACGTGCCATCACACTTTAGATGATATCTTTTCTTCGATACTTCAGACATGACTCAGCTGGTGTGTTTTATTAGTGGGTCTGAATGAGTAGACTTTCATAAGATGTGTGCTGGATGGGATACAATGCACATTTTGTGCCGGTGTCCCTTTGTGGGTTTGGGTGGGAGCAAACGGAGAGCTCACTACACCCTGAAGGCTTCTATCCTGACTCTGTCTCTGTTCCAAAACACAGAGAGCTTCCATGCTGTGTTCTGTATGCATAGGCAACTTGCTTAAAAGGCAGCATCCTTACTGAAATCGGAACTTGTGAACATCCTTTTCATAAAGAATCCGGGAAAATACGAAGCAGCACAACTGGTTTTAACATTGATAAGAAGAAATATTTCATGAGCAGCAAATCGGCATATTAGAATGTTTTCTGAAGGGTCATGTGACTGAAGACTGGAGTAATGATGCTGAAAATTCAGCTTTGCTTTTTTTTCTAGTTTCGAAAACAAAGACAGATATTAAGCTGATACCTACTTTGGTGTTATTCTGTTATAGGATCAGTCTAAGAATTAAAAAAAAACGTTTTGCTCTGGAGGCCCACTAGACTTCACGAGTGTCAGATGAACTCCCTTAGCCGCACAACGGCGTCTGCACAATAAACACTTTAATCAGGTATATAAACACCTCTGAGGGTTCATCACACTCACTCTGATTGACTCTTCTGGGATTCCTGATTGCTGTAGGAGATCACGTGAAGAGCGAACCAGAAACCGAAAAGTGGCAGAACCCAAGGGAAGCTTGTGTGATTGATATACAGGAAATAAGAGATTGAACCAGATCTCGACCTGATCCGATGGTGTGGCTGTTGATTAAAACACAATCGTGGTGTGTGTTTTCACTGAAAGGGCACAGAGTGGTGCATTGAGCTCCTGTGGTTTCACTTCTGTTATATATACAAACTAGCTGTTGTTTTAACCCAGAAACAACCCGTTTTAGTGAGTCTCCAATTGTGTAATTCTACATACGTACGTACGTGGTAACGGGAAATGCGATTAAAACGGTAGGGCCCATGCATGGCTCTATCATTGGAGAAAGCGTAACAGTCAAGTTGGAGATGTTGTGACTTGATAACCAATCACATTAAGCCTTGACATCAATGCATTTCTGTCAGAGTTGTACGAATCATACTCTTCCATAGAAATTAATTGCCAAATGTGAAGCCTTAAGCTGAAACCTACCTGTGGTAAAACTATATATATATATATATATATATATATATGTATGTATGTATATGTGACTTCTCATTCCACCCCCTAAACTCTAATAATAGATAAATCAAAACAAGTTGAAAATTAGCCAATAGGATATTACCTTTCGTGCAGTGTAATACATCTGTTTACAGCAAAAGTCATTCTGCAATGTATATTATGATCAAATAAAAATGTGTTTTGACATTCTGAAACCTATTGTAGGAGACCTCCAAAATGAGATTAGGAACCTTTATTCTAATGTGTTAAAATAGAGGGATTTTAAAAGAAGTTTTTCCACAAATGCAGTTTTTTCAGTGTAGTGAAGCCTCTCCACTGACATCCATTAAAAAAGGCCTCTGGTCTCTTTACCTGCATATCGTAGTGTTATACTTTTTGTTACAACCTTGAAATCTTCCCTTTAAAGGGATACTCCATTTTTTTGTTTTTTGTTGAGTTTTTTTGTTTTTGAATCCATTCAGCCAATCTCCGGTTCTGGCGGTACCACTTTTAGCTTAGCTTAGCATACATCATTGATGTGGGCACAAGATCATTAGCATTTCTCAAAAAAAAAAAAAAAAAAAATGACAAAAGAGTTTCGATATTTTTCCTATTTAAAACTTGACTCTTCTGTAGTTACATCGTGCAATTTTCTAGGATTTTTTGAGAAATGCTAATGGTCTTGTCCACTTCAATGATGTATGCTAAAAGTTGTACCGCCAGAACCGGAGATCGGCTGAATGGATTCAAAAAGGGTAAAACTCAACAGTTTAACTCTGGGGGAGTTGTAAAATAAGCCAAAAATATTTCCAAAAAAAGTGGAGTATCGCTTTAAGCTGCTTTGACAGTGTTCCCTGAAATTTGCTGCTGATTTAACTCTCTCGCTCTCTTGCCCTCCCTAGGGTATCGTGGGACAGTGGTGGAGACGTACACATTTCGAGCCCTGGCGCCAATGATGTGGGCGCCTACAGGTGCACCGCCACCAATGAGTTGGGCTCCGATTCAGAGACAACACATGTTCTGTTGGCTGGTGAGACATCGCACACGGTTGCTCTCTGTAATGACTGTTTCTATAATGACTGTTTTATATGCAATGTGAGCTGTTGGTTTTTTCTTTTTTTTTTTAAACAGAAACTCCCACGATCGCTGCATCACAGAGAAACACATCAGATCTGAAGAGTACCAGTCTGAAGGTGGCGGTTGGAGGTGTTATCAGTGTCCGTTTAGGTGCCAACCTCACCCTGGAGTGCCCTGTCAAAGGTGAGGGATGATTTCAGCAATAGGAAATAATGCTGTGCATCTTTTAAGAAACCATTATATGTCATACAAACTTGAAGCATATTCTCCAGTGCAGCCTTAATGTAGATGCTTAACAAAATACTTCACTCTGTGAAAAAGTGAACATGTTTAATGTGTGCATATCCAATGCTTAATAGCTCTTGTCCATGTGGTTTTGGTGAAAGATTCGACTAATTGGACAGAAATGATGTGTAAAGTCAACAGGCTTTCAGGATGCTGGGCCCCCTCTATGGGATTTATGCTGTGCTGCATCATTTACAACCAGCAATCTACTGAGAAATTGGCCTCCTGTCAGCCTATTGTACTAAAATGTTCTTTTTAGAGATCTCAATAGCTTTCTACTTTGAGTCAAAATGAGTCATCTAGTGGATTTTAGTGGATATAATTCAAAATCATTCAGATATACTTTAATTAAAGGGTTTAATTAAAGTCTTGATCAATGATACTTTAAAATTCGACAGTTTAATGGTGAATCTCTCAAAAGAACAATTCACGATAAAAAGGATGTAACGCTTTTCCCATGCATGAAATGTCATCAGATAACTGTCCTCAGCCAATCAGGAACGAGCTACGCCTGTTCCTTTGGACCTTCACCTCACCTCATGAGATCAGCTCCCTTCAGACCTTCAGCTCCCCTTTATGGTTTCAAACTGGATACTATTCTTCCTTTCACCTCCTTTTTATTTGCAAATTTATATTAGGGCTGGGTATTGACACTAATGTCACGATTCAATTCACAAGCTTATGATTTGATTAAATTCAAATCTATTCGATATCAATTAAATACAATATATATATATCAGGCACAGTGCAAAACAAATTATCTCAAGGGTAAAAAAATCTCTTAACTATTGCTATAATCTATACAAGGAGTCAGTTGGTACTACATTACAATAATATTAAGGTTAAAATGGACTGATTTGTATCCAAACCATTAATTTTTTTTTTATAATAATAGAGTTAAAACACTAATTGATGGATTACATGGGGCATGATATTGATTTTGATAGGATGTACCGTATCTTTCAACACCTTCTGATGTTCATTACTCTTTATCTTGTTCTGTAACTAGTAAAGCAGAAGCGATGATCAGTTAACATGCACTTTACTTGATGTGATGCAATAGAAATATCTCACATCACATTAAACCTTAAATTTATTATTTGAATTTCATAATAGAATTGGCAGAATTTGAATTAGAAAAGTAAGAAAGCACAATGGGAATTTCGATTAAGTGGATGGGAGGCGCGCTACAAAGCATAAACCAAAAGATCGACTCTTGGGATTTAATAATCGATATCGGTTTATAAAAATGAGAACTGATTAATATCGAGAAATCTATCTTTTTTTTTACCCAGCTCTAGTTTAAATAAATAAAGGCCTCTCTCAGGCCACTCTGTCTGTCTTCACTCCCCGAAACAATTTATATAGAGTTGTTTATCTGGTGATTTGGTTGATGCAAAGGACACCTGCTGTTAACAATGGCCTCGCTGCAGCAGAGAACCATAAGTGTCAGCTGTTCTCTCATGCTTTCATCACTATCTGATTCCCTGAGATGAATAAATGGGATTTGAAGAGCAAGTCCAGTTGGCTTTGACAGAAAGGACGGCATAGGCAGGCCACAGAGCAGTGGATTATGGGTAACGATGTAAGAAGACACTGTAATTGACCGGTTAAACTGATGGTGTGGAGAGATGTGTTGTTAGAGGACGCACACATCCAGATACACAACCATCTGATTCAGGTTGCATGATTGCACAGTGTAATTCAGTCTGCTTATCACGTAGGTCATTAATAATAGCTCCGTTCTAAAACCTAGCAAGCTGCCTACATAGACAGCTTCCATGTAACTTCAAAAGTGATTGATTTTCGCACATTCTTCAGTCAAGTAACCTTCATTTATATAGCGCTTTTAACATTACAGTTTCAAAACAGCTTTACAATGATAATAGGAAATTACAGTAACAGAGACTGTTTTTGGCTTTACAGGAGCTCTTGAATAAAGTTATTGTCCAGCTAAAGTTAGTTTTGATTGATTGATTCACTTCCGTTTCAAAGATCATTACTGTAGTTATTAAAGGTTATCTCTGCTCAAACTTCCCGCAAAAACGCACGTTCAGTCTATATGCGTGTTACATTGCTTTTCTTTACAAACCAACCCTCAACAAACTACTTGTCTGGCCTTAAAATTTCTAATAAATAATTATCGCTTTCGCGTAGCCAGGTTAAACGTAATTATCCCGACAAGGTATTATCTGTACAGAAGTAAAGAGAAGGGAAGTAGGCCTTAACAGGGGAGAGACTACTGTAGTTTACACTTCAAGACTGTGGACTGTAGTAAACATCGGGATAAACAGAGAGACTAATATTAGCGTAGACGCCATCCTTCTTATGATATAACAAGTACATCAGGATTTATGGGTAGTATTCCTGGTTCGGGCTGACCTAATCTGTGCAGCCTAACACTGAATTATTGAAATCTATAATTTGTTTTAGTCTAGATTTGAATTGACAAAGTGTGTCTGCTTCCCGGACAATGTTAGGAGGGCTGTTCCAAAGTTTTGGTGCTAAACAGGAAAAGGATCTACCGTATGCAGTTGATTTTGATATTCTAGGTATTATCCACTGGCCGGAGTTTTGAGATCGCAATAGACGTGACGGACTGTAATACGTTTAGAGCTCGCTCAAGTACTGGGGAGATAAACCATTTAGTGCTTTGTAAGTAATCAGCAATATTTTAAAATGTATACGATGTTTAATAGGGAGCCAATGCAGTGTTGACTTGGCTAATATGGTCGTACTTCCTGGTTCTGGTAAGAACTCGAGCTGCTGTGTTTTGGACAAGTTGTAGTTTGTTTATTAAGCGTGCAGGGCAACCACCCATAGTAGCATTACAGTAATCTAGCCTTTATGTCATGAACGCATTCACTAATAATTCCGCTTTTGTCATTGAGGAAATATGATGTCATTTAGATTTAAAAAATTGCAGTTTTATTAATACTAGACAAGTAGTGCAGAGTGCGCAGGAGAACTTTAATCAGTATTCAATTCAAGCTTATTTGTTAAGCCCTTTTGAGAATACATATTATTTCAAAGCAGCTTTACTGAAAATGCTTGTTTCAATGTTTTGTTATCACTCAGCGATGAACAGTGTTGTGCAAGTTACTTCCAAACTGTAATACATTGGGTATTACTTGTTACTGTTATTTAAAAGTAATTCATTACCTTACAATATTACTGTCCCAGAATTGTAATGCGTTACATTACTCATGTATTACTTTTGAGTTACTTTCACCAAAATAACTAAGTAGAACTTAACTTTTGGGCTGTAACGATATGCAATATGAAACCGAAATCGCGATTCGCCACATCCACGAACCTACAGAATCGCGACACACCTCTTCCAACTCCAGCGTTATTCTCCTTACCGTCCATATCCAATGCTGCCTTATCTTTAAATTAGGCTATTAGTATTATTTGAAGTTAACATTATAAAATACGTAGACCTACACCACAAAACTAGTTGAGGATAAATTATTTAAAATTGGGGAAGTCCAGCATTATGGACATGACATTTGCAGTCAAAACTTGAAATAAAAATTCTCAGAAAATACATGTATTGAAACGTATATAGGCTACTTCCTTAAAGGACTCCAGACATTAGACAAATATCAGTCTGTTTTATTTTTAATATTAGGGAAAAGACACACATTCATGCGTGACAAAAAAATAGGAGGCAAAATACATTTTTTGTAATTCTGTTAATTACACTGCGCAAATCGGATGAGGAAGGGTTGGCTCTCCAGTCTCCATAGAACTTAAAATATTCATTTTATTATAGTTTTCGTGTTCGCATTTATGAGGAAAAAACAATGTTACAGACGCGACCGCTCTGAACTAGCACTAAAAGACTGCTTTAAAACTTTCACATAGTCTGTTGCCTTTAAGAAGTAAAAGCAGACAATACACTGTAATACAACTGTAATACAAGCCTCACTGAACATGTAACGAGTAAAATATTACTGAAAATTGATTAGTAATGCCTTACACTACTGCGTTACAGCAAAAAGTAATATGTTACTGTAATGTGTTACTTTTGTAATGCGTTACTCCCAACACTGGAGATGAATGTGTCAAAGTAATGTCTATATGGCAGTGATATAGAGCTATAATATAGTACATCATCTGGCTCTACAACAGGTCAAAAGTCAAAGAAATGGTTTTCATTAGGATTTGAAAATAGTCAGAGAGCATTACTACCCTACAAAGCAAAAAGGCAGTAACTACGCAGAGTGCAGAACTGAGAAAAATGACTTTTGCTTGGGCTTTTTTTCAGTTATTGTACAAACGACTACCATTTTTCTCTAAAATGAGATGCATTTAAGATAAGATATTTTGTCACATAACAAAGGATGCCTTGAATGTCATGAAAATTGTAATAATTAATGCTTTTTAATGCAATTTAAATGCTTTTGCTTTGTTGGGCAGATTATTGGAACAGAGTATGCAGTCAGTAGGCGGTCGGCCCATAGAGATGCACATTTTTATGTGTAATATATTATCTTCTTTTATTTTCCATTTTTTTCTTCATAATCATGTAGTTATTGTTCCTGTGTATGTTTTTCCTCCCAGTGGAAATTTCCTCTCCAAGAAAATAGAGAGGTCACTTCGGCGGCCACCATTAACAACATCAGTTTCTGCCATCTTTGCAAGCATGCCTGACAGTTTACTGTTGCCAAAGTGTGTCAATGCCCACGTGTACGCTTGATGCACACACACACCTCAAGGCCTCCGATGTTATTTTCCATTCTTGAGAGCGTGTCTATTCATTGGCTCTCAGGCTAACGGCTGTATGTCAGTACTAATGTCTCCACTCGGTAGAACAGGGGACCATAAAACTCAGACTCCAATCCATGTGCTGCTCATTATTTTCACCCAGGGTGTCCCATGGGAACTGGTTGGAGGGAGGCAATTTGCATTCATTGTGCCCATTTGTACAAGTAATTTGTGGCAATCTGCTGGCCTCTTGTTGATCTGCTCTTTGAATCAACATTTTCAGCGGTTTGAATAATTCTGCATGAGCTTTAATGTTGATATATGAGTCTTTTAATGGTAAGATAGCAGTTGCCCTTAAATACTGGAGCTTGTTCTGTGATTTGTCATGAGCTTAGGTTTGTTTTTGGGAAAGCTGCCCCCTGACCAGTGCGTTTGGCATTTTTCATGAATAGGGGGTCCAATATGTTTATAAATATTATATGAACTGTTTGATTTGCAGTTTTTGAAACAAATTTTGGCACGTCTTAGTTTGTGGGATTCTGTTACACTGTATATAACAATAATACTTCATGCGGTGCTATTTTTTTTTTGTTAAATAATAGTTTATGTAACATTTCTGACAACATAGAATTTGCCCTTCCAACACCTTTAAAAAGTAATGGGACACCAAAGTGTACCCTACTCAGAGAAAATGGTGATTAGTGTCAGCTCCAGACTTGAGTGTGAATTGATTGATTGAGAGTGACTTGACGTTTGTCTCTGAACAGGTGTCCCTCAGCCAACAGTGAGCTGGCACCACAAGGAGGGCCCGCTAGGCGCCAGTGCTAGTCCTCTTCGGAACGGATCTCTCCTCTTGAGGAACCTCACACTGCAAGACTACGGCACCTACTCTTGCGTGGCTGCCAACAGCATTGGAAAATCGGTGGCCTCCAGCCTGCTACGTGTGGCGGGTGAGTAGCGATTCCCATAGTAGCCATATGTCAGTCGACACTTCACCAGGTGACGGGGAAACCCTTGCACGACAGCGCTTCGGTGCTAAGTGAACCACACTTTGTGGGTTGGCTCCGTTTCCGACAAAGTCAGCTAACTCAGCGGGAGATTTGCGAGTCGTATATTGATATTGGCGTCGTTTGGCGCGTCCTGTTGAGAAATAACGTGAGATCTACAGCCTACAGGGGTGGTAAAATCCATCTATGCAGCGAAATGAAGAAATATGCCCTTCTTTATAGAGGCCGTTTGTCTCTGGAGATCTCATAGGCCACATACAGAAGGAAGTCGAGGCCCTCAGTATTTTATTAATTGAGGGGTCATTTCTGTCTCCATCAAAGTCAGCCATAATCTCTTTGCTGATTGGAAAAATGCTCTGACTAAGAATAATAATTCCACTTTTTGAGGTCATTCAACCATCAAAAAACAAAGCAATCTACAGTACCTATAGGAATGCTGTGGTTGATTGCGTTTGATGACACAATTCTCTTTTCATGGCAGCAGGATCTTTGGGTGAATCTGAGCACCAGCCTTCAAAGGAAATGAACAGGAAGAGGGTTCTGATGACCTCTGTGATCGGCACCAGCGTCACGGTCAAACCAGGAGATATCTTAAGGATAGGTACAGCACTTTTCATGTTGTGTAAATGGGATGAGCTTGTTTTGTAATTTAAACACCATATAATTAGTCTTACCTTCATCATTTTCCATTTTGTTATTGTGTATGACTGTGAGAGACTTGTTTTCAAAGAATATCTTATAACAGATGTGTTTTTAGCTTGTTTCACAAAGCAAATATTATATATTTGCTTTGATATTTTACCTCAATAACCTTTCAAAATACTAAGTAAAAATGTACAAAAATCCAACAAAGAGATGTTTCATGACATACAGTGGTGTGAATAAGTGTTTGCCCCCATGCTAAAGTTGCCTAAAAAGAGGAATAAAAAAAAATCATCTTTTGGATATTGATCTTAATGCCTTAATTAGAAAAATGAGGAAAACTCCAACCTTTAAGGACACAAATTTTCTTTGTGAATGAATAATGTATCATAAATAAATAAATGTTTTTCCTTAAAATACAGGGTGCATAAGTCATTGCCCCCCTATGTTAAATTCCCATAGAGTCAGGCAGATTTTTCTTTTTAAAAGCCAGTTATTTAATGGATCCAGGATAATATGAATCCTGATAAAGTTCCCTTGGCCTTTGGAATTAAAATATCCCCACATCATCACACACCTTCCACCACACCTAGAGACTGGCATGGTTTTACTTCAGTTAGCCTAATAGCTGGTTTGATTTGCATTGAAAGATGATCTTATGGAAAGTAGCCCATGCCAATCTCTAGGTGTGGTGGAAGGTGTGTGATGATGTGATGACTTTACCAGGATGCATATTATCCTGGATCCATGAAATAACTGGCTTTTAAAAATAAAAATCTGCCTGACTCTATGGGAATTTAACATAGGGGGGCAATGACTTATGCACCCTGTATTTTAAGGAAAAACATTTATGTATTTATGATACATTGTTCATTCACAAAGAAAATGTGTGTCTTTAAAGGTTGGAGTTTTCCTCATTTTTCTAATTAAGGCATTAAGATCAATATCCAAAAGATGATTTTTTTATTCCTCTTTTTAGGCAACTTTAGCATGGGGGCAAACACTTATTCACACCACTGTACATACATTTCTAAAAGGTTGCTAAATGAGGACAGCTTAGGGATGTGAGTTTACTGTATGTGTTTGACAAATTGGACAGCTTTGTGTCTTTGTGTTTGTGAGTTTAGATTTTCCATTAAGACTGTTTTATTGAGTCTTAAATGCTTTTCAGTGCATGTTTTGCAGACTTTAGTGAATACATGGCTTGCTTTTTAAGGATCTCCACTTTTGGTCGAAATTAGTTTTTGACATAATCTGATCCATTAAGGGTTTATTAATGCCTGTGTGGTGTTATTTTTGTAAAAAATAAAAAAAAGATTAATAGATAAAGCTATAATAGAAGATTATACTACATAACAGTTTTGCCAGCTGGGATGTAAAAACTTTGATGCTCAATATCTCAGAACTACCCTAAACGGAGATAGAACCTTATAATTCTAAGCTCACAAGATGTCAAATCCATCTCCTCTTAAAATTCACCCATAACCCCATTAGGTTGTCCAGTGGTCTCCAGTCACAAGAAGCCCATCAAGTGGTCCTATCAAAACCAGACCCTGAAGCAGAGTCCAGACGTGAGCTACCGCATGCTGGCGGGAGGACGTGTTCTGGAGATGAACACGCATGGAGGGAAATTTGACGGACGTTACGAGTGCCAAACACAGACCAACAACCAGCAGCGTCTCACAGCTTGGATTCATGTGCTTTCACAAGGTTAGTGTGAAGAGAAACAACTTGGGTGAGGAGAGACAAGAGCTCTCTATAATTTTAGAATAGCGCACAGTAGGGTCGTCACAATATCTTAAACATATCTTATGAAACTACAGGGGTTGGACAAAAAAAAATGAAACACCTGGTTTTACTACACAATAATTTGTTAGAATGGTGAGGGCCTCATTTTGCATCCAAATACAGCACCAATTGACAGATAGAAGTCCTTCACTGTGACCAGAGGGATTATGAGCCGTTCCTCTTCCAGAACAGTGTCCAGGTCACTATATGATGCTGGTGGACTCGCTCCTCCAAAACACCTCAATAATATTCAGATCTGGTGACTGTCAGACCATGGGAGATGTTCAACGTCACTTTCATCTTCATCAAACCCTTCTGTCACAAGTCTTGCTGTGTGTGTTGGTGCATGATCATGCGGTTTGAGCATCAGGTGCTCATGATCCTCCAGAAGGGTTTGGTAGTCCTCGGCAGTGTCGTGTCCATCAAATACAATCAGGATTGTCATGATATTGGAGCTCAAACCATCACTGATCCACCCGTGCTTCACTCTGAAGATTGGCCGCCATGCATATAGATGTGAAACCTCCAACATTGGCCAGTGTTTCAGTTTCATTGTCCAACCCCTGTACACTATAGCTCAAGGCAAAATAAAATCTACAAAATGAACCAAATTTTCAAAAATACATTGACTAATGAAAATGATTAACTAGTTTTACCAATCAAATGAAATCAGTGAACAAAATAGAAGTGATATTTACACTAGATGTATTTACACTGACACTTTAATGCTGCTAAGAGGTGGTATTGATGAATTTACACTGCAAATACAATTACATAAATAGTTTAATGTGATGAGATTAATGTTTGAAATATACAATTTTGAATATGGAAATTAAATAAGCCTATTTTTAAATAGGAAACTGTTGTGGAGAGTCTTGATGATCGAGTCATTGAATCACTGAATCATTCATTTCATTGATTCGTTCAGTTCTCTGGACATAATGGGTGGAGCTTGAAGGTCTGTCCACACCCTAACACCACCCATAACCCTATTGCTAAACCTAATTGGGACAAGCTCCACCCATTTGATCCACAGAGGTTTTAGCTGGACTAGGTTAAATTCCACCCATGACGTCCACTTGAGCATATGACTGCTTTATGAATGGCTCATTGAATCATTGACTCTCCCAAATCGGTCAAAAACGCGGCTGTGAGTTGCTCGGAGAAGCACTACAATTCTTCGAACTATTTTCATTGGTGAAATAAATCGAAAACATCAATATTTAAAATGTTGTGTCTAAAATGACATTTAATAATAACATTTTGTTTATTGAAGTGTTGTATTAAACGTATTTGCAGTCGTACTGGTATTCGGAAAAACAATACTCTTACGAGTGTCGTATTGCTAATACAGGAGGGTACCATAAAGCATAGGAGCTTTTTTTGCCAGCACATTTGGCTTTTTTTTAAATCCTATTGATCCTACGTTGACAACATTTTCAAGGATCAGATGCACGCTCTTGATTTGAAGGCTTTCACATTAATATAGCTTCTTTAACCAAGCTTTAAAGGATCATTGCCTATCTCCTTCACAGACGAGGCAATTCCACAATTCATCTTGGCAAGCTCATGTCATCTAAGCTTTCATTTTTTTTATTTTTTTTTTACAAAAAGCTGTCATTGAAGAGAAAGCATATAAAGCTATCACATCACATGACACCAAGCAAAGGATGAGAAGTATTAAAAATAAATGAGGGTAAATCTAAAAAATCATGAGGCATTAAAGATCAAATTCCATGCACTAATATCATTATCTAAGATTATGTTTTAAATTCATTTAAAAATGATGCACAACATCCAATTGTAATATACATATGGTTTTGTTCTTTATTCATGTATGTTGTTATTATTTGTTACTGGGTTTGTGTGTCTTTTTGTTGTATGTTTAATGTGACGATAAAAAAAGAAGCAAAAAACAAATAAAAAAGTACTAGTATAAAAGTCTGTGAATGATTAATAGCTGTTGTCTTCTAATGAAACTCAACACGCAGAATAGACAGGAAAGTAAAATTGTTATGAGTTGTGTTGAAGGCTTTGACATGAACTGGACATCACATAGAGAACCAACCGTTTAGAAGGCTCATTTGTGTCTTGTTAAAGCTCCAGTCTTCTTTTCAGTTCCGGCACAATGCCAGAAATTTTAAAAGACAGAGACTATTGTGTGGATATTCAAGCCCAGATTCCTAGTATCCTTGAAGCGCTTGTTAATGGACTCCATAACCTCTCACTTTGAATTCATTCCGTATCCTTTATAATTGAACTTTTCTTAACAAATAAACATGTTGGTGCATGTTTGGAGTGTAGATAAATACATTGTTTATTAGGGATGATATATCGGTACCATGATCACTAGTAGGCATTTTTTTATTTATCAGTATCTGTTTATGTTGGATTGGTCAGTATTTAATTGTGCATGCTCATTTTTCCTATTTCTATATTTATGCAAATATATGCACAATTTTGAAAACAGGTTTCACAGTGCAAGTTTTTGAAAACGATACCATTATCGGTGGTCAAACGGTATTCGGTCGGTACCAAAATGGCATATTAAATTTTCAGTCTATAGTGACATCGTCAGCTACTGGCATGGCATCATGCATTGATATAACAGTTACAGTGTTATACATTGTCTGTATGCACTTTTTTTAAAAACACAAATGAAAAAGTTTTTAGCACAGTTTACAGTTTTAATTGTATAATAAAATAAATAAAAACAATTCTATAGTATTTTATACTATATATAATATTTAGACTAAATAAATGACAAACTAAAGTAAACTTTTGTATAAGTCATTTTTAAATAATTATCAGCTTATTGCTATCGACCAGGGGTGCGTTCCCGAAAGCATTGTTAGCCAAATATGGTCGCAAGTTCCGTCTATTATCAGCATAGTTCAACGAGTCGGTGTTTCTCGAAACAATCGTTTCAACGAACATTCGCAAACAGCATCACAAAGTTGTGTAGTTTGAACGACAACTCTCGACCTGTGGTTAGAGGCATAGTTTCTATATTGCATCACATTTGGACGTAATAAATCCTTATCTTGGGCAAAATAAGCAAGCTGACATTTAGTACAACCGGTGCCATTTATTTAGAATACAAACAAATGTAATTTACATCTTTTAGTTTTTTTAGATTTTAAGTACCGATTTTGAAGAGTGCGCATGTGCGAACGTGCTCTACTATGGAACGAGCCAAATATTGAGTCTGGTAAGAAATCAAAATAACAGAGAACAATTAGAAGTAGTCCTCAGATAAGATAAAAAATCTAGTGTTAATTGTAAAAATCTAGCGTTAATCTAGCGTTAACCGATCCCAAACAGTTTCATTAAAAGTTACTCCACCACGTGCGAAACCAACGTGGTTGAACGATACTTTGCGACAATGGGTTTCGGGAAACAATCGTGACTAGCTAGTAGGGCTGTCAATCTTCCTCTATAATACTATTCGAATTCCATTCCTTATTTTATGTAATATTCGAATAATTTTCGAATATTAAATGTTCAAATTTATCCTATTATTACTATTTACGACATTACACATTCCTATGGATCATCAATGCCACTATGGCCTGTGGTTGTTGTTACACGTTCGGCCCACTAGAGGGACATCTAACATTACTAAAATAAACATTTAGGGGCTGTTTACACCTGGCCACTTCATGCGTATTCTCAGATCGGATAGCTATCTGATTTATCAAAACGATTCCATTTACACCTGCTCACATAAATCCGATCTTCAATTCCCGCGCTATATGCAGATTTAAGGATTTAGACCTCACCGAAAACAACATATGAGCTGCTCAGATTTTATTGATCATAGGCTAATTTCAAAATCAGCAAAGACAGCAAAAAGGGAGATTATTGTTAATAAGAACATGATCTAAGGGGCCGTTTATACCTGGTCACTTCGGAAGTATATATATATATATATATATAAAAGCAATATTCGAATAGTATTGATTTTTTTAATATTCGAATTATATTCGAATTTCGAAATTCGTTTCAACAGCCCTACTAGCTAGTTGATTTCTCCAACGATGCATCGTACTATCGTATTGAAGCAGCGAACTACATATTTGTATGGGAAACGCACTCTGGAATTTGAATATCATCTCTAATTTTTGTCTTTGTCATTTTTTTAGAGTTTGAGTGGCGTTTGGGCGAGTGGAGCACATGCAGCGCTTCCTGTGGCAGCAGAGGGACTCAGATGAGGAAGGTACAGTGTCTGACGTCAGAGGGAAGGGAGACAGCTCATTCTGTCTGTCATCATCTTCCCAAACCGATCAGTCAAAAACAACCATGCAACGTCCTGGACTGCCCTCCCAGGTATGCTTCGATACGTTAATAAATAAATGTACTTCATAATCGGAAGCATTTGGCATCTTCATTTGGCATTACACAGTCTGCATGTTAGTAGAGTAGAACTTAAACCCAGTGTTACCCACATGAGGAGCGAATCAAAGCAACATCCGTGTCTGTTTTTTTAGGCCCTCCCACTTAGCTCTCTCCAGCACTGGACTGTTTTTCTAATATTAATGAAAATTAACTCTCTCTTCCACCGACATACGCCCCCTACTGTTGACTGGCTACACGTTTGGCATACACAGCCATTACATATTTAAAACAGTAATATCCTATACTCAACCTAAACTAATCTTGACAAACTATATATCATTTGAAAGCTTACAATCTCCAGTTTCCATATTGGTGATTGATTTTCAAAATAAATTACAGAGGAGCCGTAATTTATCAATTTGCAAAAAGAATATTTTCATACTCCTAAGGCATGTTCAGACCTTTATTTTGAAATGGCAATGAACAAGAACAATCATGAAAGAATGGTAGAAACCTCATGCCAAGAGTTTAAAAGATAACATCCATATTTTTTTTTTTAGAAAAAAGGTCCAAAAATGTTTTAAATATAAAGAAAAAATTATAGATTCACCATTTGTGATGTGCCAGTGAGCTATAATGCAAATACCTGTTATTTTATATCTGTTTATTAGAGGTTGAATTCATATAAAAAATCTGCCAAACTTCCCTTACTACTTCTGAATAGGATGTCTACTTCATAAATTGTATGATAAGTATATATATATATATATAAATGTATGGTTCAGATCACTTTCTCATGGAAAAAAAAACTTTTAAATATAGAATTTTGGTGATCAAAGATGGGTTTTAAGGGATCAAATTATTGACTACAGGTTTTAAAAGTGGATTTTACTGGTTCTTTGAGTTGTGTGTATTTTGTTATACTCATTTATGGGTTTGATTCATTGGTTTAAAGACCAAAATAACTACATAAATGCAAATGAACTGGATAATTACCCCACTGTCTGAACAAATGGATTCATTACTTACTAAACAACTGGGAAGATTACACTGTAAAAAGAAATAAAGATTGGGTGCAATATAAACAAAGACATAAAAAACTGTATATGGCTGTGCTATCAAACCTACTGTATAATTACCCCAGTTCTCTGAACGTTAGCGATTTAGAAGTCTGACACAGTGACAGTCTTTGATAAATGAGTGTCTGCTGATGGATCTCTCCATAGACTTCAATATAAAGAGAGCAGAACCCTTCACAATCTTGTGAGCTGTGATACATTTAACTTCGAGCAGCACCCCGGTCCTCTGATTCCCAGCCAAAGTGCCTCTCTCCATCAAACAGCCCATCTATCATTGCCTTCCCAGCATCAGTCTTTTCAGGGGCTGTGCAGATGCTCAACGAAGCACATGAATCAAACTCTATGAGTCCAATGGGGCTGGAGAAGAGCAGATATCAGTTGTCAGCGTAAAAGAGCTTCTTTTTGTCAGTGCACGGGTCTGGCAAGAGAAATCCTTGTGGATTTTTTTTTTTTTTTTTACCATTTCGACACGATGCAGAGAAAAAATCACAACATTTAGAATAAAAAAAGTATAGTGAAAATTATTTTTATCACCAGGGTTAGAAATTAACTTTTCCAATATTTGCCCCCTCGGATTGATTTTTTGCCTAGGGACTTTTTGTGTGTGTGTGTGTGTGTGTGTGTGTGTGTAAAGCAGTGGCGTAGCCACGAGGGGGCCTGGGTGGGCCTAGGCCCCCTCATTTACATGTCCGGTCCCCTCAGATTTCTGATTGCTTAAAAAAAAAAAAAAAAAGTTGTTTTATTAGGATTGATAGATTGACCAATCAAAATGCTGCGCGGTAAAATGCAGCTTATTTTCAAACTTGATTTGTTTATATAACGTGTTGCGCGTAACGTACGCTGTCATCTTCATCTTTGCGTGAGAGTTAATATGCCGTGACAATGGCAGGGGCTCAAACTCAAAGTACAATATTACACTTTTTTAAAAAAGCACGGAAAGATCAACTTGATATACAGTATATATAAATAATGTTGCCCCCTCATTTAAAGACGGGACCCCCCAAAAATAAAATTCTGGCTACGCCCCTGGTGTAAAGGCAATTTTTTATAATTACCTTGAAAATTTTTCATACTTTTAGTAAATGAAACTAATATTCTATATCGGAAATAATCGGATTACTTTGATATCGCTACTTGTATCCAACTTTCCGAACATCCGCTACTATCTTTAGCCCGCTAGCATCTTTAGCGTGGTCTCGCATGTCTTGTTTACACTCTTTTTACTCAAGAAATCACACATTTTACGCCATAGAAAATCAAGATATCAAATTGGTTATTTTTGTATTCATACAGAAAGTGAGCAAAACGTTTACCTTATGACTAAAGAGCTCATGATTGGCCATTGCATTCATCTGTTCAGCAGAAACACGTGTGATTAGTTATGCAAAAAAAAAAAAAAAGGATGCAATCTGATCCACACTTTTTATTCATTTTCACATTTCATTTTTTACAGCAACTGCCATAATAGATTTAGTTAAATCGTGCAGGGGCATTGTTTTTTTTTTTGTTTTTTTGCCCTATTTTTCTATTTTTTTCTCTTAATTTTGATGACAAAAATGGAGGATTTCTTTCTTCACCATGCTTTTCATAAAAACTGCGTGAAATGGCATTAGCAACACATTTAAAATGTGATCTAGTTGGTTAATATTTTTGTTTTATTTATTTATTTCGTTTTGCCATTCGCAAAGTGCAATTTTAGTATTGATAATTTCATTGACCTTTTTCATGAAACATTTTTAGAACAATAAGACCAGACCGCAACCTAAAAAAAAAAAAATCAGTAAAAAAAAAAAATCTTAAAAAAAAAAAAAATCTGTAAAAAAAAATAAAAATCTAGCATTTCGAGATTAAATTCGAAATTTTTCGAGATTAAAGTCGGAATTTTTCGAGATTAAAGTCGAAATGTTTTTTTTTGGCAGTTCGACTTTACACACACACACACGCGCGCGCTCTGAGCCAGTGGACGCGCACTGTTATGAATGCACAATGTTTCGACTTTAATCTCGAAACATTTCGACTTTAATCTCGATACATTTCGACTTTAATCTCGAAAAATTCCGACTTTAATCTCGAAACATTTCTACTTTAATCTCGAAAAATTCCGACTTTAATCTCGAAACATTTCGACTTTAATCTCGAAACATTTTGACTTTAATCTCGAAATGCTAGATTCTTTTTTTTTTTTACCGTTTTTTTTTTTTTTTTTACGGACTTTTTTTTTTTTTTGGTTGCGTTTCAGGGCTTCCGTAGACCAGGGACATACTGTATGTATAAAAAAAAAAAAACATTTCTGTTTTGAAAATTGAATTAAAGCAGGAATATTAGTTGAAAACCTTAAAATAAACTTAAACAAAATTTGTCTATTAACATGAAAGCTAAAAAAAATATAAAAAAGCTAATTCAAAATATTAATAAAATTATGATAAAAATAAAATACTGATTTAAAAAAATAAAAATGTACATTTTTACATTTTGTCAACTGAATATTATTAGCACATATCTCACTCTTTGGTATAAAACCCAGCAGGAGTTTTTTTTTTTTTTTTTTCCACAGAGAAAATATTCCGAGCCTGACTCATTAGCATATTCCACGTTTCATATCGTGAGCTGATTGATTGAGGGTTTCACGGTGAACACAGGATAGATAGTGCATACAAATGCTCTCCGACTTCTATACGTCCATGCCAAAATCATCATCTGATTATTGCCATGCGTCTGGGCTCAGCGCATGAATCATATGGCTCTGTAAAAGCGCTTAGCGTCAGTTCAGAGCCATCAGCGGGAGATCCTCTCACAAAGCGTGTCTTTGTTACTGCTTCTCTCGCTCTAACACAACCCCAAATGCCCCGCAGAGGCTCCGAGCTCCCCAGTGACTCGGGCACAACCTGTGCTTTTTCAACAACCAAAAATATACAGCCATACGTATCGCCAGCAAGGAATGCGATATATATTCTTCTCGGTTTGGAATGGCACGTATCCAGAGTTAGCTAGAACTTTGAGGTTTGTTGGTGTGTGTTTAACTGTGCGAGTGCAGAGAAAATGGGTAAAAACTAGATAAATGTCAAGTATAAGATTGGAGGCTACAGGTGGATCTTTGGTGTGAGGATAAATCATGTCATAATTTACTGATGAAAGGTGTAATTTCCAAATGGAATTATAATAATCGCACATTATAATTAAAATTTTACCTGTTTTGAAGCTATTCGGACTTTCTGAACTGTTTTTCTGTTTATGTCAGTTGGACAGGGCAGGATTTACATCATATTTGTGACATAGGTAAAATAATCAGAAACCTTGTATGATCAAAACTGCAACTTTTCAGGAAATGTGAAAAAAAAAACTGTATTTTTTTAACACTATGTTGTCAAAGTTGATATTCTGGCTATATACATGATCATATACTTGCATGTGTCATTATATTATGAACGGTTTTACTGTGTACTACCTACTGTGTTTTTATATACGTCACATGACCTTATAACGTTGCATGTTTATTTAATGAATAGCGAAGTATTTATGATCTCTGAAATATATTTTTTGGTGATCTGATTAAAAAACATGTGAAATCATAAATTGTGGCTCATCAATCACACTGGATTCGGAAGGTCAAGTTGACTGCATTGCATTGTGACATTTTATACATTGTGCAGTTACACTTTATTAGTGTGAATGCTTCAAGCATTCACACTCTTGAAATCCAAATCTTTCTTCTTATTATTATTATTCCGTATTCTTCCGTACGTTTTTCGGTCGCTTTCTTCTCCTCTCTACTTTGTGCTACAAAAACCATTCAAGTATCAAAATGTGCAGCTTTTCAAGGACATGTGTGCTATTACTTTTCTTTTTTATAACCTTTATAATTTTTAAATTATTAAACTTTTTGTGCATATTTTTTAACATGGAAGTCAATGGAGAATTCTTCAAATTCTGTTTTATGCTCCTTCTGCTTTCAAAGCCTACAACTTCTGCATACTTTCAGCTATTTCTGTCATTTAAACTTTAAAATGTTGAGAAATTTGTCAGCTATTAAAGTTGTATTCAACTTTTTGATATCTATTATACTTTTTTCACAATCTCTACTTTAGTCTCATGATGTTTTTCAAGCCGTTTCTGAAATTATAATGGGAGTGAATGAGAGAGACTGTTCAGAGCTAGAGCACGTGCTAGAGTGAGCCAGCTTGAAAACTAATGCTAAAAAATAATTTTTAAATCGCTGGCCTGGCCACAATTTTCACTCTTTGGGCATAAAATTATACTTGAAACGTAGGTATTTTTGTTGTGGTTCCTCTCATGTGTTTAGTAAATCCCTGGGTCTTATAGTTTTTTCTCTGTGTCCTTCCAAAGGACAAGAGTGACAGACATTCCTCCATTGGCAGCAATTATAAATTCAGGTCAAACTTTTGTGATCAGAGCAATACAAACCAGTTTTTTAACTTGCCAAAGTGGTCCCTTTTTTTAACTCTATCCACAAAAAAAATACATCACATCGTTCACAAAGGCCTTGTCTCGCTCACGGTCAGGTCATTTCGCCAATACAACCTATAGTTTTGTCTCTATTGAGGTTTGTTCGAGGCCAAGTATCAGCAATTTTGGCCTCTGTCTAAATAGGAAAGCTGATTGCACAGGTGATGCTGATTAGCAAAGATCAAAGGGAGACACACATAATTGGTCCTGTGTTCTGATTGGTGGACAGTCACTCAGCTCTTTTCTGAAGGATACTACAAGTTTTTGTTGCATTTATGCCTCTACTTCTCCTGTTCTCCCTCTCTCTTCCCTCCTCTTCTCCTCCTCCAATCCTCTACTCCTCCTTTCCTCCTATTCTACCCTCCTTTCATAATCTCTTCTCCTTTCTACTCTTCCTTTTATCCTCTTCTATCCATCTGGCTGTCTTAACTATTTGACTTTCTGTGTCCAAATGATCTATCTATCTATGTATAGACTATGTATCTATCTGTGTATCTATCTATGTATCTATCTATGTATCTATCTATGTATCTATCTATGTATCTATCTATCTATCTATCTATCTATCTATCTATCTATCTATCTATCTATCTATCTATCTATCTATCTATCTATCTATCTATCTATCTATCTAACTAATCCATCTATATTTCTAACTAATCTATCTTTATTTCTTTCTAGACAATCTATCTTTCTTTCTAACTACACTATCTTTCTTTCTAAATAATCTTTTCTTTCTAGCTATACTATCTATCTTTCTAACTGATCTATCTTTCTTTCTTTCTAAATAATCTTTCTTTCTTTCTAACTATACTATCTGTCTTTCTTTCTAACCAATATATCTTTCCTTCTTTCTTTCTAACTAATCCTTTCTTTATTTCTAACTAATCCTTTCTTTCTTTTTTCATCCTTTCCAATCCATCTTTCTTTCTAACTAATTCTTTCTTTCTTTCTTTCAAATTCATATTTCTTTCTTACTAATCATTGCTTTCTTTCTTTCTTTCATCTATCTATCATCTATTTTTCTTTCTTTCTTTCTTTTTTCTTTATTTCTAATAATCTATCTTTCTTTCTTTCTTTCTTTCTTTCTTTCTTTCTTTTTTACTAATCCTTTCTTTCTTTCTTTCTTTCTTTCAAATCCATATTTCTTTCTAACTAATCTTTCTTTCTTTTTTTCTTTTTATCTTTCTTTCTTTCTTTTTCTTTATTTTGAATTATCTATCTATCTATCTATCTATCTATCTATCTATCTATCTATCTATCTATCTATCTATCTATCTATCTATCTATCTATCTATCTATCTATCTATCTATCTATCTATCTATCTATCTATCTATCTACCTAATCCATCTTTCTTTCTTCCTTTCTACCTAATCCTTCTTTCTTTCTTTCTTTCTTTCTTTCTTTCTTTCTTTCTTTCTTTCTTTCTTTATTTCTTTCTTTCTTTCTTTCTTACTACCTAATTCATCTTTCTTTCTTTCTTTCTTTCTTTCTTTCTTTCTTTCTTTCTTTCTTTCTTTCTTTCTTTCTTTCTTTCTTTCTTTCTTTCTTTCTTTCTTTCTACCTAATCCATCTTTCTTTCTTTCTTTCTTTCTTTCTTTCTTTCTTTCTTTCTTTCTTTCTTTCTTTCTTTCTTTCTTTCTTTCTTTCTTTCTTTCTTTCTTTCTTTCTTTCTTTCTTTCTTTCTTTCTTTCTAATAATCCATCTATCTATCTATCTATCTATCTATCTATCTATCTATCTATCTATCTATCTATCTATCTATCTATCTATCTATCTATCTATCTATCTATCTATCTATCAAATCCATCTTTCTAACTAACTAATCCTTTCTTTCTCACTAATTCTTTCTTTCTTTCTTACTTTCAAATCCATCTTTCTTTCTAACTAATTCTTTCTTTCTTTCTAATCTATCTTTCTTTCTTTCTTTCTTTCTTTCTTTCTTTCTTTCTTTCTTTCTAACTAACTAATCCTTTCTTTCTTTCTCTCTCACTAATCCTTTCTTTCTTTCTCACTAATCCTTTCTTTCTTTCAAATCCATCTTTCTTTCTAACTAATTCCTTTATTTCTTTCTTTCTTTCTTTCTAACTAATCCTTTCTTTCTTTCTTCCTTTCTTTCTAATAATCTATCTATCTATGTATCTATGTATCTATGTATCTATCTATCTATCTATCTATCTATCTATCTATCTATCTATCTATCTATCTATCTATCTATCTATCTATCTATCTATCTATCTATCTATCTATCTATCTATCTATCTATCTATCTATCTATCTATCTATCTATCTACCTACCCCCTGTCTTTCTCTACCTTTCTTTTTTGTACTCCTTTACTTCTCTACCTCTGTCTCTTTCTCTACCCCTATATTTCTTTACATCTGTGTCTACATCTCTACCTCTCTTTACCTCTCTTAGTAAACTTGTAGTTTTCTACAATTTTTTGGATCTTGTTTTGCATTTCAGCTTATTAAATGCATTTGAATTAAGCTTTTTTTTCTTTTTTGCTCTGTTTTGCTGTTGTTTGAACTGCAATATTTTTTATTTTTTTTAAGCATTTAAGTTAAGCTTTTGAAGCATTCACACGCATATTCCGCAGGAAATGCAATTTTTCTAGTTTTAAGTGTAATTCTAAATTTAAGTACTGAGTAAAAATAATAAACTACACATTATGATTTGTTTAGGGTTAGTTGCATGTAATTATGCACAATTTATAGTAGTAGCTACATTTGTAACTTCGAAGTTAATAGGTATTTAATGTTGACAATTTTATAGGATATGTGATTATGGAGTATTTTAACATCATGTAAAAAGTAAACACTTCAGATTTTTGTATCTGACTTTGAGCAATGTTCTTCCTGTGTGTGTCAGTTGGGTGTCGACTGTGTGGTCGAAATGCTCCAGTTCCTGTGGGCGGGGCTTCCGAGAGAGGCGGGTGTCCTGTCAGCAGGTGGAGGCATCAGGGAGCACGAGGGTTTTGTCCCGTACGGCGTGTGAAGGATCTTCTCGGCCTGAAGACAGGGAAGAGTGCACCTCTCACGCCTGTGTGGAGTGGCTCACCGGACCCTGGGGGAAGGTACGTTTACTGGCACTTTTATATTCGTTCTAACTGCTCTAATGTGGAACTGTGTCTAAAATTGTGTAAAACTAATAGTTTGATATCTGGACATTTTGAAATCATTAGCCAGTGACCAGTACAGCAGGTTTTCTAAATATTGAAATTGATGATAACCATTATACACAAATATTTTATATTCTGTGGACTCTTTGCTATTTATTTAAATATTTTTTGAAAGGAGTCTATTCTGCTCACCAAGGATGCATTTATTTGATCAAAAATACTGCAAAAACAGTAATATTGTGAAATGTTATTATAATTTAAAATAACCATTTTCTATCTGAATATATAATTTAAAATGTAGTTTATTCATGTGGTAAAAGCTGAATTTTCGGCGTCATTACTCCAGTCTTGATAATTCAGAAATCATTCTAACATTTCTTCTTATTATCAATGTTAAAAACAGTTGTTCTGCTAAATGTTTTTGTGAAACCGTGGTTATTTTTAATTTTCAGGAATCTCTGATGAATAGAGTTCAAGAGAAAGGAATTTATTTGAAATCTTTTGGAACATTTTATTGCAGTGTGATCATGCTATACTTTTTCATAAACTTTCAAACATTTTTTTCCTCATTTCTGTTACAAATTATTAAACTTTTAGAAACTTTATTAATTGAGAGAAATAGTTGTATTTTTAAAAAATAAATTTGTAAAATTTGAATTAATTAATTTGAAATATTTCCGAGTGAAAGATAATATTCAGTGTGAAAAACAACAACAACGTTTCAATGTTCAAATCAGTTGAAATAAAATCAATAAATAAATAAATCAATGGCTGATTGGATTGTGATGTATTAGGCAAGTAAATTGGGTTAATATTTAAATATATTTAAATGATATTTAATAACTTAAAGATATTTGCAACATGTAAAAAAAAATAATATAGAAGTCTGTTTCTAATAATATAAAATACTGGCCAGTTACTGAATAAAAAAAGAAACACTTAAAATATTATTTTTAATAAGTATATTTAATATATTTTAATAAAAATGTATTATATATTGTAAAAATATTATAATAAGAATAATATACAGTAACACTTTACAATAAATTAATGTTTAGGTTAATACACTGTAAAAAAGTTGCTGCCTTAAATTTGTAAGAACAATCAAGTTCATTTCAACCAGAATTACAATAAACTGATTTGGAAAAAAGTTGAAAATTGCTCAACTTATTTTGATGAGTAAAAACATATGTTTTCATAACTTACTGATCATACAGTGTAGTTAATGTTAATTTCAACATTACTAATACATTATTAAAATCAAAAGTTGTATTTGTTAACATCAGTGAATTCACTGTGGACTAACATGAACAAACAATGAACGACTGTGTTTTTATTAACTAACATTAACAAAGATTAATAAACACTGTAACAAATGTATTGCTCATAGTTCATGTTAGTTATTACATGAACTAATGTTGATAAATGAGACCTTTTTGTAAAGTGTTACCAAATAGACTCTTATGCAATCATAAAAAAAAAATCATGTCATCCGTCCACCTATAATCATTTTTATGTAGCATTTGTTAAACTCTCTCCTCTTCGCATTTACAATTTTACGACACATATATATGTCAACTATATATATACAGTATATGTCCCGTGATGTGTTTACAGTGCACGGGTCGTTGTCTGGGGCCTGCGGTGGCCACACAGAGCCGAACGGTGTCATGCAGACACTTCAGCAACTCCACCTCCAAAACATGTGACCCAAAAGAAAGGTGCCAATATTCAGCATCACTTATTCTCACATGCAAAGCTCTTGTATAATTCATGATGTGATTCCCCAACACCTCTCAGGCCGTCATCCGTGAGGAACTGCTCCTCCGAGATGTGTGACGTGCACTGGAAGGTGTTACCGTGGAGGACGTGTACCGTGGCGTGCGGCAGCGGCTTCCAGTCCCGTCGAGTGGAGTGTGTCCATCGGCAGAACAGAAAAACTCTCCCCGACCAGCACTGCGCCTGGCAACGGCGGCCTGTTACCTGGCAACACTGCAACATCACTTCCTGTGGCGGTAAGTCTCTCAGTTTTAGCTCTGAAACCCCTTGTTATAAACCAGACTGAGTGTCAGTACGATGTTTGCCCTTGTTCGACACCATTAGAGCGCTCGTGTTTTATTAGGGAAAATATTACCGACCTGAGGGCGAAATATATTGGCTTGATCCGTCACTCTTCAAGAGCTGCTATTTGTCTGTTGTTTTTTTTTATAAGTTAACACAACGTCCTGAGAGAACTCGCTCTTGTTCGTGGGCTCCTTCAGGAATCCTGTCTGTCCAAACATCTGCGTTTTGTTCTTCACTCCTCTGTGCTGAAACTTAATGAAACTTTTTTTTAACTTGTTTCTGGGTGCAGAAATATTTAATAAAATAACACCAATAAATGAACTTATATTGTATTTGGAGTGTGAAGCTGCAGTCACACTAGACTTTGAGCGTGCAATGTTGCTTCAGACACCACAGAGAATGTCATATCACGCTCTTTTCAATAAACAATAAATCACTGAAAACAAATGATAATACATTTACGATGTGAAAATATACACTGACCGGCCAAAAAAAAAAGTCATTGTTTGGATTTAAATAGGCAATTGCTTAAGAGTCTATGATTGGATCTTTACTGCAGTGATTATTATGTTTCTAGCATGTTATATGTGTGGCAACAGTTCTTCTAACCCGAACTGATGGAGTGTGTAGATTTTCATTGCTTACACAACCATGTAGGACAAACATCATGGCCATATTCATCAGGCTCAGATTGTGTAAGAATGGTTAAAAGAAAACTTGAAGAATCATTTTCACTCATGAACTGGTCCAGATCTTTAAATTCATTGAAAGTGTTTGGGATGTGCTGGCGGAGACTTTACAGAGAGCTTGACTCTTGCACTGTCAATACAAGATCTTGACCAAAAATTGATGCACCTCTTGATGGAAATATCTTGTGATGGAAACGTTAAGGTGCCATTCATGTGTGTGCTCAAGTTTGCATTTCTGATCTCCCACGTTTCCATGTGCATAGACGTCAATGAAGCACAAAGTCCCAAAATTCATTACAACAATCTTCATTTCCATAATAAACTAGCTTGACCAACTAGCAGCTAACCAAGGGGTAATTAGTCTTGCTTTTCCAATTCAATTCATACCGAAATACCCTTTTACGTAACTGACTTTAAAAATGTAGGTCTAGTCTCGAAGGCAAAGTATAGATGACTAACTGTAAAGACTAGTCTAAGCGGTTTATGGATGAAGCAAGACAAACAAGTGTTTCACAGATATAGTGTGTTGTTTAGCACAACTGAACAATTTATTGGCCATCAATTAGCATTCCTAGACCTGAACTGTCAATTTGATTTGATTTTGTATTGTAGGAAACTGTTTCTCTCTGTAGGGTTACAGTAAACAGAAATTCCAGCTTACTGTAAAAATATATTAATAAAAAATAAATAATAGTTTAATTTTTTTCTTAATAATAATTAACAAAAATAATATACAATTATTACAAATAATTAATAATAAAATTGTACAAAAGACTCTGTCACATTTTAGTTTAGGGTCCAATTCTTAGTATTAAGAATGACTTTTGCCTCAATAAACTAATAGTTAGTAATGTAGTTGTTAAGAGAATATGGGATGTAGAATATGGTCATGCAGAATAAGGCATTAATGTGTGCTTTTTACGTACTAATAAACAGTCAATATACTAGTAAAATGCATGCTATTAAGCAACTAGTTAATATTGAAAATTTTTCCCTAAATTTCATTCATAGTGAAAAATGTATTCAAATGTTATTGTTTACAAATTCTTTAGTTTAAATAACTTCTGTTTTCTGTTTATTTGTCTTGGTTAGTCTATCCTTTTAATGGTTACATTTGCATTATTTGCTGATTCATGTGGTGAATTGTGCTTTTGAAAAGTATCATTTATCAGGTTGTCATTTAAAGGGTTAGTTCACCCAAAAATGAAAATTCTGCCAGTATTTACTCACCCTCGTGTTGTTACAAACCTGTTTATTTTTTCTGCTATAAACAAAGGAAGATATTTGGAAGAATGTATTAATCAAACAGATCTCATTCCCCATTGACTACCATAGTAGGAAAAAGTACATGGTAGTGAATGGGGAATGAGATCTGTTTGATTAAAACATTCTTCCAAATATCTACCTTTGTGTTCAGCAGAACAAATAAACACATAGTGGTTTGGAACAACACGAGGGTGAGTAGATACTGACAGACTTTTCATGTTTGGGTGAACTAACCCTTTAAATAACCTTTGTTGTGTGTACTTCTCTAGGTGAGTGTACGGACAGAACCCACTACTGTCCTGTGGTGAAACGTCTCAAGCTTTGCCCTGTGGATCTGTACCGGCAACGCTGCTGCCAGACCTGCTCACAGGACACTAGCGCCACCTAGTGAGCACCAGAGGCGAAACTAACAGACGCCCTTTCAGTCACTGCACTGATTGTCTCTCATAATACAGAATATTGTTTAAAATCGTGCAAACCCTTGGACACCTGGTGTGAATGCCCTAAAAGATGTCTACTGGTGGCAGACGGATATTTTCTGGTTAACATTTGACTGGATGCTTTCCCACAATCATCAGAAGTCCAAAGAGAAAATCACTTGAGATTTGAGACTTGTCTCTCCACCAGCTCTCTTTGCATATTTCATTTTATCTTGCCCTGAAAGTGATATTGTATGTGTATTAATTTAAGAGACAAGCATTTTTTCTTGTGGATATGGGAGGACAGTCTTATTGGACCATTCACCAATGTGAAGGAAATTAAAATAAAAGCATCTTGAGTATACATAATGCACTGATACTAATAATATCAGTTGTACACAGCTTCAAGTATACCAAGAGACATACCCCCCCAACCCATTTTAAAGTCAACATAAAATGGTGTCGCAGCCCATTTTATTTATCCATTAGGACTTGTTTGGATGATGAATTGATTCAGGTGGTCAGAGGGACGACGTTAAAGAAGTAAAAAGGATTTTGTGGAGTGCTTCTCAAGCGGGAGGCAGCATATCGTGCGCCGTCACGATTTGAAGGATCCTTGGAAGGCAGCCTTCGTTTCGCGTCCTTCATCCAAGTGTGTCCTTCACATCCTTAAATCACCCACAATCCTTTGCGCACATTCCAATTGACGAAAAAGAACTGAGTTCATTATGAAATGTAAGACAAAAATAATGTCTTCTGAGATGAGGGCATACATGTTATCTTTTGTTTTGACGAAAATTAATCTCTAAACTGCCAATAATGTAAGACACACAGACTGATCAGTGTTGCCAGACGTACGATAAGGCTCAATCCCAATCCACCCCTTGGCCCTACCCCTTGTTTTCGAATGTACGCCTTGGCCCTTATGGGGTTGAAATATTCCCCTTCGAAAAGGAACAACCCTTCATGAACCCGATACGTCGAGATGTCTGCGATGGCTCTGCCGTTAAGGAGTTTCTACAGGATTATAACATTCTTTCCTCGAAATGTATGTCTTTTCTGATTCGGAAAGGTCATTTATTATACGATTTCTTAATTTAAATGACTATAGTATTAATGGTGGTATCAGCTGGCGCTTAATTTAAATGTTCATAACCGTATAACTGTTTACGAAGCCATCTCGCCGGTGATTTGCGATGCATTCTGTGAACTTTCTCGTAGCCCTTCGTTTGGAGCGTGCCTCTGAAAAGTCTCAGATTCGAAGGCTACCCCTTCGCCCTCGATCTCAACAAGAATTGGGACAGCCTACCCCTAGACGTGAACGCGCAAAACCGAGGGGTAGGGGCAAGGGGTGGATTGGGATTTGTACGATAATTTTGACCTCTGTACGATCAATAATGAAAGAAAATCCCATAATGTACGATAATCTCGGAATTTTGTGACACTCAAGCGGAGGTCATTGTAATCATAGTGCTTCTATACTCATTGATCTAGCTGTGGATCTACGTCATGACTGTGAGGAGAAAGTGAAGGTGAGACAGCACGGCAGAGGGAGAGAGCGAGAGACCTTGTATGTGTGCCTCATGAAAGTTACACCCCCCGTCAACAATCCAGTCAACTGACACCCCCCCACCCCCGTCTACAGCTTTAATATATTAAATATTAATGCCTAAATATATTCCAAAAATAAATTTCCTCTTTCCGGATCACGGATCATGATGTTGGCTGGAAGTCGTCCCTAGGATGCAGCCTTCCATTTGAGAAGTGCCTGTGATGTCATTTCTTGCAGAGGGGTATATTTATAGCTATTTTGAATTGTGAACAATACATTTTGTATTGGATTACACTAGCATGTTTTAAGGAAGTAAAAGGGGTTCAATTTGTTTTCATGTTGACTTTATTATCAGAGAATGTGTTACTATGGGCGTAGAATGTATGACAGAAAACCCGCTGACTGATTGAAATGGCATGTGCCATAAAAGTCACATTTCTTCAGCCGTCTTTTAGATGTACGTTTTGTGTTCAAACAAAGTGCTACATTGTAAAATATGTCTTGTATATAATGTGTTTTTAAGTGCAATATTGTACATTGAGTGTAGAAAGTTTGGATTTTATTTTCTTACATCTTGGTTTAGTTTGTCTGTATTATCCATATTTAAGATTGAACGCAACACAGACGTACGTACTTATAACACCTGAAGTGGATTTCCCATATCTCTAATATAATGGTTTCCTACTGGCCTTTATGCATGTATTTTAATTGCATCAACAAATGTTGTACATAAGCCACTCACAGAATTTATCCATGAATTTAATCCGTTTCATCTTATTGCTATGTGGAGAAAGCATTGCTACATGATTCCACTGAGGAAGCGCTAGTTTTGGTACTATTCACGTCAATATTGCAAACAGTCTATGTGATACAAATACAATAAAATACAGTTTCACCAATCACTTTATATATATCCTCATAATTATTGTTCCCTTTTTATTCTATATTGTGGGTAATACAATCAAATGTGTAATGTTTAAATTGTGCTTCATGTGGTTAGCTACGCTTTCATTCAAAAGGCTGCATTTATTTGATCAAAAATACAGTAAAACAGTAATATTGTGAAATTTCTCTTTTCAGCATCATTACTCGTTTCCTTCAGACACCATTTTAATATGCTGATATTCTGCTTAAAAAAACATTTCTTATATATTATCAATGTTTAAAACGGCTGTGCTGCATAATATTTTTGTTGAACTTTCTTTTCAGGATTCTTTGATAAATTGAAAGTTCAAAAGAGAATAGAAATCTTTTGTAACATTATAAATGTCTTTGCTGTCAATTTTGATCAACTGTGTGTCCATGCTGAATAAAAGTATTAATTTAAAAAAAAGGTATAGTGAAACGGTGGAGTAGATATATGAATATTGTTGATTTTATGTCAAAAACTGATTTATATAGATTGACATTTATAGTGCTTGCTATGAAACAGCAGTTTCATCCTAGTGAAATCAAAAACTAGCTAAAATTGTAAAATACACATAATCAGTGTTTTCTGAAAAGTAATTTGACCCATTGACCCTTTAAATCGTAATTAAGGAGATCATATTGCATTCTAGTTTGCCATCTTTTATATATTTTTCTTAAGCAGTCAAGACCATTTCCTTCGGAGTCTCGATCCTGTCAGTGGACGACATCTTGCGGAAGAAACGGTGTCCTTGATCATCGCAATTATCGAAAACAAACCCTGGTGGTGACTCGAAACTGGCCGGACACACGCTGATCCTCTTGGGCGTGAACTCCGTGCGGTACATGGTCTCGTTCTGTAGGGGAACATCAGTCCGCAGTGGTGCATTTTGGGGTTTGAAGCTGAGACTAGGCTGGGCTTCATGCTGGACAAAATGGGCCCTGAAGGTTGTCATATCTTCCATTTTCCCACTGGCTCGCTGGATTTCCTCTGGCTTCCGGATCACGCTTTGACGTTGGGCCACCCACGGCTGGAAGTCGTCCTTCATGGTGGTGTTGCCCTGGAAGGGCTTGGAAGACTTGATGGGAAGAGAGAAAGGTTTGGCGGAAAGGAAGGGTTGGATTTGGTGCTTGATGTAGTCGGTGTGCGAGGTGGTTGTCAGGTCCATGTGTGTCGTGGGACTGGTGTACTCCACCGACTTCTGCACCTGCCGGAAGGAGACGGGCCACTGCTGGAAATTTTCCCGGAATTCTGTGCTGCTCTGGAAGGGCTTGCTGGAGGTCACTTTGAGCGGCACGGGCTTGCAGCTTTTGGTCAGCTGACTCGGCAGGCCTTGGAAGTCCTGTCGGTGGGTAGTTAGGTCCTGGAAAGGACCATTACTGGGTTTGTACTCTTCTGGCGGTTTAGTGTAACGGGCTTCTAGAGCGTGTGGTACATATGTGAACTTGTTGCTGGTCATGTTTTCAAAAGGAGCATCGGATAGCTTGGCTTTGTTTGAGGGCTTGAAACTCTCACGTGGTGGCACAAGGCCTCGGTGAATGAAATCATCCTGGAATGTGGTGGAATTCCCAAACTTTGCTGTAGGAGGTTGATACGTTGTGTCAGGCTTAGTTAATTCCCGTCTGCTGATCTCCCACGGACGAAAATCCTCTTTAAAAACATCATACAAAACGTTTAACAAACAAAGGCACTCAAGACACTTTCACACCAAGGACGATAACTATAAAGATAACGATAAAGATCAAGTTGTAAAAATCATTCTTTATATTAAAGGTAGGGTATGGGATTTGCAAGACGGCCGGCAGATTTTGAAAATACACAACTCAAAAGGTCCTACTTTCTTTCCCCCAACGCTGGCCCTGACTCCACCCATTCGAAGAACATGGGCGGGCAATCATGCATCTGTAAAACTCAGATTGCACTTTCTCTCTCTCTGTACTGGGGCGACTTGCATTTACTGTGACTGGCTCACAAGCTTTGAGTATGCGCACGAAGGGGACACACGCCGGGGGGATGGGGGGAGGGGGTATGGTACGACCGTTTGATTGAGGCATTTTCTGTCCAATGATTCTAGGTGGTCTTGGAAATGATTGGCTGGAGTTGTTCGAGTCCTGCCCGTTCCACAGATGATTAAATTGCTTAATTTCATTTCAGTGCTTCTAACTCAGTGGCTGTAAGTGGGTTAGGAATGTGATTTCAAGTGATTTTGAAAAAAATGGTCAAAAAAGAAAATCACATACCCCACCTTTAAAGAATAGCAAACTACAGCTGTTACGATAATAGCACAGAGAAACAATATCGTTGAAGTCTAGCTGATGAACGATATAAAAACATCAAACCAATCAGAATCCATCTTATTGTAATGAGCTTGAGCCTTTAAAGTGACAGACAAGTATGCGTTTAGAATAAACAGAACAATATTGTTATCTTTATAGTTATCGTTCTTGGTGTGAATGGGCCTTTATTATAATAACTTTTTATTAAAAATGTTCTGCATTTCACTTGTGTACTAGTGTAGCTTTTACTGTACTGAGTACTGCATTATTCTTTTTGCTTTTTATGATAGAGTACCATTCAAAAGCTTGGGGCCAGTAAGATATTTTTTTTAAATAAGTCACATGATCCTTCAGAAATAATTCTAATATGCTGTTTTGGCGCTTCTTATTATCAATGTTGAAAACTGTGATGTTTCATATTTAAGTGAAAACTGATTTTTCAGGATTCTTTTATGAATAGAAAGTTCAAAAGAATAGCATTTAAGTGAAATATTTTGTAACATAAATGTCTTTACTGTCACTTATGATTAATTAATGCGTCAAAAATGAATAAAAATGTTATTATTGTAAATGAATAAGCTAAATTGAATCTTACTGACTGCACTCTTTTGAAAGGAAGGGTAAATTGTTTTTCATGTTCCTTATAAGTTGCTCTGTATAAAAATGTCTGCCACATCAATACATTTACTTTTAAATATATTTGATTTAACAGCAAATAGATGAGGTTGCTTCATAAATGCTCCACTTGTTCATTATGTATTCTGAAACTGTATGCTCAGAAATCATCACATGACCTAACTGACCTAAAGTGCCATTACCTGCATAGGTGGGTATGGTGGGTAAGTCGATCTCTCCAGGCCTGCGTTTGTATTCGGCCTGCTGCCTCCCAGGACGACGGGTGACCGGATATGGGATATAGTCCATCCTGAGAGAAAAAAAAATGTTTTAGGTTATATGAAACATATAGAAGAAGAAGCCACTTTGGTTGATCCACTTTATTGTTTGTTTAAAACTGTGAATTATTGAACTAAAGATTATCCATGAATAATTACACTATTTGACAATGTAAACATCTTTACTGTAAGTTCATTTTTGTTTAAGTACTCCCCAGTGACTCATGTAATTATTATTTCAGTCCCAGAATGTAAAGTTACGGTACCTGAAGGTTGTTGTTCCGTCCATAGTGCCCTGGTGAGCTTTATACTGCAGTTGGGGCTTGATGCTCTTGGGACGAGTGTGACCTTTATAGGCAGGATACTTCTCCGAGTACTCTGACAACACATTGGTCTGAGTTGCTTTCTTGTAAAGTGCCGTGGGCTGGTGTGTGCAACGGTGACGGCTGAAGTTAATGGAGAAACATTTTAGGCAGAGGGCCTTTATTTAAAAACAATTGATGCTTCTGAGAAGACAGAAACTGATTAATAGGTCTTTCACCACGAGATTCTTCTAAGTAACTTTAGCTACCTGCAGTACCTGAACATGTTTGTGTAGTCCAGGGCAACTAACTTATACAACAAACTCTGTCACTAACTCTGTAGCTAAAGCCTTATACACACACAGTGCTTCAAAAAGAAAACGATTACATTAGATAAGCACCTGATATTTTCTTCACGAATTCCAAATAAAATAATAACGTTTAAATGAAATTAAAATGTAATATAATAATTTAATGTTAAAGTATTTGCAATGTTCTGTCATTCAAGTTCCATTGCTTGATTTTCTTTCAAACTTGCCATGTAACGTTAACGCTAACTTAAGTAGCTAAACGTTAAGTCACGCATTAATTATTCAAAACACATTCTCGGGCTTCAAAACTTACTACAGACACAAACCAATAAACAAACACTAACTGGTATACTCTTACCCACAACTGCACATCTTACAGATACAGAGCCGTGTCATTTTCGTAGAGTTATTGAGGGAAAAAGACGACTTTTTTCCTCACTCACCCACTCGCTGCTTTCCTGACGCTGCAATGTAAAGCGTCCCGTTTCCCCGGCAACTACTGTTTGAAGCGTCCTAGTGATGACGCAGCGTAACTTATTACGTATGACGCCTGCGACGGTCAGCTCATTTGTGCTTCCTGGACTGGAGGAAACATGTGAGTATCTGTTGTCATTTCATATATTCCATAAGTTAATTTAGTTAATGGACCGTTGAATATACGTTGCATTTTCACTGGTATTCGTTGTTGTAATATATGTTTGCGATAAATGTTCAGTTTGTTGTTTGTTGTCAGTCAGTCAGTCAGTCTTGAGTAGACGTAGTTTTGAAAAGTTGCACCTGCTTGTGTCAGATGAGTCTATGAATAAGTGAATCTGAGAAATAATGTGCTGAATAATTTTCCAGTTGTCACACACACGTGGGTTTGGAACAACCTTTTGGGTTGAACGACATTTGGAAATTGATCGACCCACATTTGTTTACACAATAGATAAGTTATTTCTACACACTCGAAAATTAGGCTAGATTAAAAAAAATCAAACCAAGAAGCATTTAAAAAAGACAGACATAACTTTTTTCTTTTCTTTTTTAGGTTTTGAAATGATGAAACCGATTAACATACTATTCTAAATTAATTATCTGATGCTGCTGTCAGGTCTTTAAGATCATTTTTAACTATTCAATTTCAGAATGTAATATTGTTTCCAAACCACCACTTTTTTATGACAACATAAAATAAAACTACTTGATGATTTATACTTGATGAGTGGTGAAGCATTAATAGAATAAAACCAAAGGGATCAGATCTGTGGTTACTGTACTGAGAACTGAACTGTACTGTATTTGTTTGAAGTGACTTAAGTGTTTTGGGGTTGCTGTTAATGTATTTGTACTAATAGTGATCTTCGTGTTCTGCACCTTATCTTCATAGAAAGTCAAAAATGGGTCACACAAGTTTGGAGAAGATAATTGCACTGCAGAAGAAAACATCACAGATCAGAAATCTGTGTATTCTTGCTCATGTAGATCATGGTGAGTGTGAAGTATGCTGATGTGTGTCAGGTCTTTGTTTTTATTAACCGTCAAGCATCTACCTCAAAATCTTACCTCAAACTTAAAACTTTGTATTTGTAAATGTGTGTCGCCCATAGGAAAGACGACGTTAGCCGACTGTCTCGTGGCGAGTAATGGTATTATATCCAGTCGTTTAGCAGGAAAGGTAAGTGGACCTAAAGCAAATGATCAGTGATTAGACCACACAATAGCTAATACTTTTTTCCAACATATTTGGTGTTTTTCAAAATATGATGCAAATTCCAATCAGATACAAATTATTATAATTAGTCTCTGACAATGACAAGAATGTAAAAAATCACTTTCCTTAATTGAAATAAAGTATAAATAAAATAAAATGTAAATATTAGATGAAAAACTTAAAACACTTTGATGGAAATTAGAAATAAACTGAATAAAAAACAAGTACTCAAATTACTAGTTTTAGTTTAAGGTTAGTTTCAATTTTGATAATGATGTACAAACTGAAATGCTTTGATAATTTGTACAACTGTAAATATTTGATAATTTGTACAACTGAAATGCTTTGAGTGAGGCTAAGGCATTATTCAGCAGTGCAATACAATATAAAAACAAGAAAAAATAAGGAAGTATTTACAGTAAAGTGTATATATATATATATAAATATATATAATATGTATGTTTGTATTTATTTATGTGTGTGTGTGTGTCTATATATATATATATATATATATATATATATATAAATAATAATAGTAAGTAAACAAATAAAAATGACAAAAGTACATAAAAATGTACTAAAACATTAACTTACTGAACTGAAAATTAAAGCTATAAATATAAAAATAAAAGTTCATTTAAATTAATATTATTAGATACTATTTTATAAAGAAAGAATGACACGCATACACAGTATACCCACACACTAAAATGACACGTCATATAAAGATATAGGTATAACTAACCTCACAAATTTGCCACCAGTTTTAAATAATTTTAAGTCGAATATCATAATCTGCAGTTGTGTGAGTCATCTATAGAGAGTCAATAATTACTCCTGTAAGCCATTCAGACTGGTTTGCAAACTCATGGAAAATTATTAAAAAATAATAATGCATGTTTTTTTTCATGTAACACAAACAGCAGGCCTAACTACTCCAACCATAACCGTTAATAACTACCCATAAAATCATTATATATCATAAAATAATTGGATACTAATATATATATATATATATATATATATATATATATATATATATATATATATATACAGTATATATATATATATATATATATATATATATAAAGAATGATCTGAAATGCCATTTTCTGTCTTTTCCTGTAGCTACGATATCTGGACAGCAGGGAGGATGAGCAGATCAGAGGAATTACAATGAAGTCCAGCGCTATTTCACTACATTGCACAACAGGTAATGCCATCGTAGTCTGTAGCTTTACTGATTCAACACCATGTATTGCTGTGAAGAACTGTATCTTTGTCACTGCAGGAGGAAATGATTACCTCATTAATCTGATCGACTCTCCTGGTCATGTGGACTTCTCCTCGGAGGTGTCCACTGCCGTCAGACTGTGTGATGGGGCCATTGTTGTTGTTGATGCCGTTGAGGGAGTGTGTCCGCAGGTATAATCCATGACTTGAGTGCGTGTTCATTATCAATATTCACTGTATAAGTTATATTGTGTAAACAGGCTGTGTAGAAATTACATAACGTTATGCGCTTTTTATTTGGTCAATAATTTCATATTTTATACAATAGAAAAATTTCCATTACTATTTAATGTAATTGCATCTCTGATTACAACTTCAGCACCAAAAACGTTTCTTGAATTTTGAATCTGGTTGTCAACAATAGCTGTGTTGTGAAAAAGATGTCTCAGATCTTTAGGCTGTACACCACATCATCCTGTAACAGCATCTCGTTCTTTTCGGCTTTAGACACAAGTTGTTTTACGACAAGCTTGGCTGGAGAATATTCGTCCTGTTCTTGTCATTAACAAAATTGACCGGCTGATTGTGGAGCTGAAACTCACTTCACTGGAGGCGTACGCTCACCTGCAGAAAATATTAGAGCAGGTGAGTCCGAGCTCCAAAACATGGCTGAACCTCTGGATCACACAATCCAAAATATGGATTTTATTACATGCTTTTATGAAATTGTATTTTGTTTATAAGGTCAACTTAAAATATATATATATATATAATATATATATATATATATACTTTGTTTTTTATATAATTTTTATTGGGGCCTGTAAGATTTTCTTTCTTTCTTAATTTTTTTTACACATAGTTTGCTGATACATTGTTTTTACAGCAAGGACACGTCAAATTGATCAAAATGGACAGTAAAGAGAAGACATTTATAATCTTAAAAAGATTTCTATTTACAATAGGGCTGCTCCCTAATAGTCGACTAAATTTTAGATCTAATGTTAACCTAGTGCGCTATTATAAGGCTCATATCAAAGTGTTTGTGTGGAGTGTAGAAGATAAAGTATTGCATGTTTACTGCATGGTTCCCGATAACGGCGGAAACAAATTTAAATACTCCTTCATTTTTTGGTCATACAGATTAGACTAATTCTTTTATTTGTGTATGATTACAATAACAACAAAATGTTTTGATTTTGTAAAAACAAAAAAAACAAAAACAGGATGCGCTTTCTGCTGTCTGTGAACTGGTGCATGTCACAAAAATATAGAAAATACATCTATAGAAAGCTTGAAATTTCTTCTTTTAAACTAACCAATTTAAATATTCTCTGATTATGTAATCTCTCTAAAGACATGTCCACTATAGTCTACTGCGGAGATGGTGAGTCAGCATCGTCAGCTTCATCTTTGCAACACTAATCAAAATGTATCCTTGCTATTTTTTCCAACACATTCATAATCATTCATTCATTGTGCTTTGTGACAAGCTTTATGTGTGCGCTTCAGCTCAGAATAGGCTATATATTACACCTATAAAAGTCTCAATATGGTAACGGTTTAGTATTCCCCTCATATATACTGTATTTAAGTAATTACATTCATATAAACATGCGATTAGTCGACTCCTAGTTCAAAAGAAAAATCTTTAGTCAGAGGCAGCCCTAATTTACAATAAATTCTGATCTGTTTATCAAGGAATTCTGGAAAAGAATGCATCACGGTTTCCACAAAATATTGTTCTCACCATTTGATAATAATACGAAGTTTATTAGAATGATTTCTGAAAGATCATGTGACAGTTTTGCATTCACATGAATGAAGTATATTTAATATCCTTTTAAATATAAGCAATTTAAATGTTTTTGGCTTGAAATTTACTTTATTGCTATAAATATTTGGCTCTGTCCAGTGTTGTAGTCGAGACCACCGCACTCGAGTCAGAGTCGACACCGAGACCAGAGAGAGTCGAGTCCGAGTCAAGACCGAGTCCATAGAGAGTCGAGTCCGAGTCGAGTCCGAGACCAGTGAGGGTTGATTACCTAATTTACTTTTATTTACTTAGAGAAATCCTTTTTTTTATTTTACTGAATTTACTTAGAGTTTAAAAAATATGATCAGTTTAGGGTAAAAAGGCCACATAGTAGGTGGTGTTAAAAGTAATTTTATTACAATTTGTCATGCGCAGTTGCGCATTAGAAAATCACCAATCACTGGGCGTGTCAATCAATTTAAAGAAATATTTTATTAACATACATTAATAATCATGAAAAATATTTTGAATTGAACTCGAGTGGACTCGGGAATAATTCCGAGTCCTAAAAAAAAAAAAAGTTCGAGTACGAGTCAATTCCGAGTCCAAATGCACACGAGTCCATGACAAGACCAAGACCATTAAAATATGGTCTCGAGACCGAGTCCGAGTCTCGAGTACTACAACACTGGCTCTGTCTATTTTATAGGTGAACGCAGTTACCGGCACGTTATTCACCTCTAAAGTTCTGGAGGAGAGAGCGGAGAAAAACGCAGATGCTCAGAAGCTCTGTACAGAGCACGACAGCGGAGATCAGGTGTACGACTGGAGTGCGGGTTTTGAGGAAACTGATGACTCGGACCTCTACTTCAGTCCTGACCGGGGAAATGTGGTATTTGCCAGTGCTATAGACGGCTGGGGCTTCAGGTACGTGTGTTACTCTTTCTGAAACTTTTTCTTTACATTTTGTTTAATGCTTTTATTAAAAGCAGCTTACATGTTTGGCTTTCACCCATTACATCCTGGGATTGGTTGTAGTACATACGATGGCTCACAAGATGGCAATACTATACTAGATTTCAACATCAGGACTCCCCACCCTTCTAATGTACATTTTTGAGGTGTTACATAACTGTGGTTTTAGATACTTGAAATAAGTGCTAAAGTACTAATATGACTGGTGTAGGTGGACATTTCTAAAAGCTGAGCAAATAGAACAGAGCACTCTGGTGAGCATGAGGATGTTTTTGCACTAAGGAACACCACATTCAACACAGTTTATACTGTAAAAACACTCCAGAGTAAAGTACCAATTTGCATTTTTAGATTACATGAATTGGTCACTCAAAAAGTTGTTCATCAATCATTTAATCACACATGTGCCGTTCCAAACCCTGTAGTATGTTCTTACTTTAGTGAAACAAAAAATGTGTTGGTAGATAATGTCTGACCTGCTCTTTTCCAATACAATGAAAGTGAAAGTACTGTACAAGTACCAAAGTCTACATTTTTTCATTTTTCTATTAATTTTCACTGACGCTATATTATCATATGGCCTAGAAATAATTGTTTTAGTCCATTTTTGTTCAGTCCATGAAGGCTGACGAACATATTCAAATGAGACATCAATATCTCAATCAGAAACACAAAAGTTTGGGTGTGAAATTTCTTTTTGTAGAACACAAAAAGGTGGCCTAGTTAGTTACACGTCATGGACATGTAAATCAATTCAGTTTAAGCTTCAGATTTTTTATGTAAAGACATAATTATTATAAATATGTAATCACGTCTTGGATAGATGATTTTAGATATGTGCTTTACATGGCCTAAAATCATAAAACTGGTCTCTTAATTCTATGCAGCATACTGAGTTGATAGATCAGCTATTTTGGACGTTGGCCATTTTGAATTTTGTTGTAAAATGTTGTATTTTTATCATATCATTACAAAACTCGCGTGTCATCGGCACCATGCTGAACGGGATGGAATAAATTAGCAAATGACAAGTGCAAATAATGATGCTGAATTGTGTTTTCTGTAATGCTCTGATAGAATCCATCAGTTTGCTGAGATGTACAGTAAGAAGATGGGCATCCGCTTCTGGGTTCTGCTCAAGACTCTTTGGGGCGATTTCTACCTCAATGCCAAAGCCAAAAAAATCATGAAGGGAGCTCAGGTACAATCATTTTAGAAAGATAATACACCTGTAAATGGTTTATATACTTAAAGCATGGTAATAATACCATGATATTATGATTTTATGCCACCATTATGGCATTGTACCACCTTTTTGTAGTAGACCCGGGAATTAAAAAAAAAAAAAAAAAATTATGTGCAATGTTTAATACAGGTCTATGTTGTGGTGCTTTAAATACTTTTAAACTGAAAATTTCGCTATAGAGTGTTTTTTACAATATATACTTGGTTTGACCATGTCTGTAATTGTTAATTCATAATCAGCCCATGTGTCTGCTGTCCTCCTTTGAGGGACTGACAGGAAGTGGGCTGAAAGAGCTACGTGAGTGATGTGATAGCAGAGGCCTTCCATTAGATTCTCTGGATTTGACATTCAACATCCTTTGGAACTGTGGAACATCCTTTAATCCGAACATAACAGACCTGGATACAGTGTTATAAGGGTCAATAATGTGACACTCATAGTTTGGATCTATTATTCAAAAAAATGAAATAAATAAAATATGAAAATTATACGGTGATTTGACTTCTACACTTCTGTGATGGACTCATTTTTTATTTCGTAATTAAATTGCAATAACAATTCTGAAATACCATTTTATCTTTAAAAAGTAGACTACTTTAAAAAATATATATATATATATTTAAAAAATTGATAGAAGTCTCTTATGCTCACAAATTTGATCGAAATACAGTAAAAACAATAATATTGTACATAAAAATATAATTAGATTTTAAAATGAATCTGTTCTATTTTAATATTTTTTTTTCTAAATATAATTTATTCCTGTGATGCAAAGCAGAATTTTCTGCATCATTACTCCAGTCTTCTATACTGATTTGCTGCTCATGAAATACCTCTTATTGTTTTCAATGTTGAAAAGTGTTCTGCTGCTTAATATTTTTTTGAAAAAATATGGGGTGTTCACTGATATGCTCACACAAAAATGACAGGTTTTATCGTAGTTTTTGTCCAACTCCTTGGAAACCGAAAATTCTCAGACCAGCAGTGTCCAAATTTCTATTTCATCAGAAACGATCTTAAAACAGGGCTTTAAGTGTAAAATACCGAACTTGTCCTTTAACCATCGACAACCACGTTTGTGTTGCATGTTGATTCAGCTCTGAAACAGCATAACACAGAACCACTGTTTTAGGTTAAAACGAGCCTTTTCAATATACATAAGTTGGTTCAACTTATTGATCCACAATCCTGTACTATCCATATTTCTGAGTATATTTATAGAGTGTGTGTTTTAAACTTGATTTGGAAAGATTTTGTATAACCATATATTTTGAAGCTCATTTGTCATTGGCCCTGCATTTTGTGCATTGGTAAATAAGAACACTCTTGTTTGAGATATTTATAGTAATGTAGGTCGAAGATCTGAATAATGAACTCTTTGAAGAGCTATGCCTCAATCTGCAGTTGCCAGATGATTTGGACCGCCAGGCGCCAGCCGCACAATGCTCAGACGAAACAATGTCTTCAACCTAGACTGATCAGTCACTGCCATTATTCCACTCTGTCAGACAGATCTCATTCAGAGTTGGTTATGGAGGACGACGTGACCTCCAGACGACAACATTGATTACAGAGTCAAGCCTAACTTAAGCCTCATTTGAGCTTAGATGTTAATGGAGTTTGACCCCATTCAGTCACATTAGAAGCTCTTTATATGTCCAAAAAGGCAACTAATGAAGCGGCTCTGGGCCGCTTACACAATGTCTTAGTTTGTGTATGCATTCTCTTTTTCATATAAATTGATATTTCCTAACTCTGTTCTGTATACTGTCTTAATGGACATCACGCTCATCAACTTTTTCTTCTTTTCACTTCTCAGTCCAAAGGAAAGAAACCTCTGTTTGTGCAGCTTGTCCTGGATAACATCTGGAGTATGTATGATGCTGTGGTCACTACAAGGTAACTTTCTGTATGAACATATTTGTCTATATATATGACAAATTTACACCAACAAATTACTTATCTGTCCACACTGAAAATAAAGATGCTGGGCATATTTGACATTTTAATATAAACTTTCTAGTAGGCAAAATGGCAATCAGTGTTGTTATTTATTGTTAACTTAAATTTAAAAAAAAAGAGTTTTTGTTAACTGCAATAAATCTGAAATAAAATAAAAATTGATATATTTGATGAAAATTTAAATGGATTTAAAATATTAATTAATACTATAATAGTAAGTAATACGAACATAACACTAATGGTATTAAATGGACCTTAAGAGTGCTAACATTTGTATGAAATACAAACTTTATGAATGTATGTCCGGTCTAAAGGTGCACAATTCATCAGTGCGCATTATTCAAATACGTAAATAAATATATACATTGTCTTGCCAAGGTATTCGTACCCCTTAAAGGGGTAGTTCAACTTCAAATAAAAATTTCCTGATAATTTACATCCAAGATGTCCATGCCTTTCTTTTTTGGTTTTGATGAAAACATTCCACGATTTTTCTCCATATTAGGGACTTTAATGGCAACCAACGGTTTGATGGTCCACATGTCAGTCTCAATGCAGCTTCAAAGGTTCGACACAATCCCAGTCGAGAAATAAGGGTCTTATCTAGCGAAACGATCAGTCATTTAAAAAAAATAAATAAATAAAGATAATGCCCGTCTTGTACTGTCTCTGAGATGTGCCACGCATTACGTCATCATATTGAACAGGTGACGTGTGTAAGGACCATATTAAACTATAAACTGACACAAATACTTATAAATATATGTCATCCAACATACAATAACTTTGAACGGTCCTCCTACTCCAAACTTGTAAACAGTGGGTCGGTATATCCGACTACGTTGCGTGTGACCTTTCCAATGTGATGTTGTCAATGTCAGAGGACAATGGGCCGACTGATTCAAGCTGATAGAAGAGCAACTTTGACTGAAATATCCACTTGTTACAACCGAGGTATGCAGCAAAGCATTTGTGAAGCCACGACACGCACAACCTTGAGGCGGATGACCTACAACAACAGAAGACCCCACCGGGTACCACTCATCTCAACTACAAATAGGAAAAAGAGTCTTCAATTTGCAAGAGCTCACCAAAATTGGACAGTTGAAGACTGGAAAAATGTTGCCTGGTCTGATGAGTCTCGATTTCTGTTGAGACATTCAGATGGTAGAGTCAGAATTTGGCGTAAACAGAATGAAAACATGGGTCCATCATGCCTTCTTACCAACTGCAAGATGCTATCCTATCAATATGGGCCAACATTTCTAATGAATGCTTTCAGCACCTTGTTGAATCAATGCCATGTAGTTCTGAAGGCGAAAGGGGGTCAAACACAGTATTACTATGGTGTTCGTAATAATCCTTTAGGTGAGTGTATATAGAGATGGGAGAAACTTACAGAAGGACAAATATCACTGCAATACTCTACCGATCTGGGTTTTATGGCAGAGTGGCCAGACTCAAGCAGAAACTGGGGGACTGCCACAAATCAGTTATTTGCTTTGTCATTGTGGTGTTCGGAGTGTAGATTGATGTGTAAAAGGGTAATTTAATGTAGTTTAACTAAATGTGAAAAAATGAAGGGGTATGAGTACTTTGGCAAGACATTGTATATATACAGTATATGTACACTGTACATCCCACTTGACCGTTTTCATATTTCCAGGGACAAAGAAAAGGTGGAGAAGATGGTGACTTCTCTGGGGATAAAAGTCATGCCTCGTGACCTAAAACACTCGGACCCCAAAGTGCTCCTCAGTGCCATCTGTGGCCAGTGGCTTCCTGTGTCTCAAGCCGTGCTCTGTATCCTTTACCACATAAACATTGGCTCTTGTTGAAAAACACCACCATTCAAGGTTTTTTCTCTATTCAAGTTTTTTTTTTTTTATGTTTTTGAAAAAAGTCTCAACAAGGGTGCATTTATTTGCTCAAAATATAGTAAAAATAGTATTGTTTTAAATTATTATTACCATTTAAAAAAAAACATATATTTTAAAATGTAATTTATTCCTGTGATGCAAAGCTGAATTTTCAGCATCATTACTCCAGTCTTTATAGTCACATGATCCTTCAGAAAACTAATATGCTGAATGTCTGCTCAAGAAACAATCTCATCATTATCAATGTTAAAACCGTGATGCATATTTTTCAAAATCCTTTGATGAATAGACAGTTAAAAAGTAAATAAAATAAACAATCATCTTTTGTAACATTATGAAGGTCTTTAATGTCACGTTTAATGCAATTTAATGCATTTAGTTTGCAGATGGATCTCTACAACTGCTTCAAAAGTCATTATTTTTTGCTTTTCTGTTTGGGTATACAAGTGGTGCAGACATTACATGGATTTACTTTGAATGCCTCTAGAGAGTAAGGTTTCAGGTAGTAATACAATGTTTGACTAAAACACAGTATATAAACATAGGTTTAACCTCTTCATCTTGTTTCTTGGAGTGTCCAAATGTCTGAATTTCAGACTATAGTTTCTAGAAACGTACAACACACAGTCCTCTGTTAATTATACACACCCCCTAGTGACGTTAGCCACATCAGCTCTAGGCAGTTGACTGGCGTTGTCCACCTCTTCAGCCGTGATCTCACCAGCTGTATGGGAAGGAAACACAGAACCGACCGTTATTAGACGGCAATATGATTGACACGGGCACGCCTCGCAATTACTGTGGTTGCAGGTGCTCGGAGGGACACGTTACTGCGATTGAACACTTTTGGTAAAATGTCAGTTATTTTCCTAAACATGTAATTGAGTGATTCTCAAAATACTTCTCAAATGTGGAGTTTTGGCCTGTCTGGCAGGTGTTTTATGTTTGTGAATGGTAAGGAGTTGGAGCTTTTTAAAGTTGGCTGAACCAATACTTTAAGCATGGCAAATCTTTGCTTTTTAGTAGTGAGGACTACTAGATATGTTATTTAAACTTGTTTAACATTAACTAAACCTAGAGTAGCATGAATAGTAGCTTGTTTAAATCCTCAGACTTGTGTAGCCTCCCATGAAAATGGTGATTTTGTTCTGTCTCATCTCACAAGTAGAAACCTCACAATTCTGACATAAATTTGTTGGTCAAGCTCAACGTTCAACCCTGTTACCAAAGTTTTTATAAGAAAAGAATCCTCCTCACTCCAATACTTGTAAGTACACTACTGTTCAAAGGTTTGGAATCAGTAACATTTTTGTTTTTGAAAATAAATGATAATAAATTGATCAAGAGACATTCAAGATATTTATAATGTTAGAACAGACTTTTGCTCCAAATATATGCTTTTTTTAGCTTTGTGTTCATCAACGAATCCTAAAAAATGATCACCGTTTCCATAAAAATATAACTTCTGCACAACTCCTGAATATTCTGCTTTGCCATCATATGAATAAAAAAAAAAAGAAAAACAGTTTTTTTAAGTTGTAATAATATTTCACAATATTATGTTGTGTATTGTATTAACTTACTTTTGTTTTAATCCAATAAATGCAGCCTTGATGACCGTAAAATAATTTTTTCAAAAACATTTAAACTTACCTAAAACTTTTGAATGGCAGTGTAAATATCACTTTAAACAAATATTTGCAAACCTAGCTTAATTAAGACAAAATTTGCCACCATGTTACCTATTCAGGTGTTAATTTATTTAAAATAAAGTTCATGTAAAATGCATTTATTTGGACCTCTCAAATTTTGCAAATTTTGCTTTGCAAATTGGTAAGTCTTATTTGTTACTATTAGTTAACTTAAACTATCAATCAGCAATTTTTGTTTTACAGCATTGATTAACCTTTGTTAATGTTAGTTAATAAAAATCGTCATGTTCATGTTAGTTCACTGTGCATTAACTAATGGTAACAGATACAAATTTGGACCTTAAATATGAATTCTTCTTTGTATTTTCTGTATATAACTTGAAAGCCAGGTAAATTCTTTCCTAACATCAAGACTGAAGTCCACAAACCTATGAAAGAGTTGGCTGTCAGGTTATATACGGAACATATACCAAGGACAGCAATAACTGTATATTATTGTGCATTAGGTTCATGTTATCTGATGTAGTTAAGTAATGTTAACAAATGAAACCTCATTGTAAAATGTTACCAATAAATTTGATACTTCTAGATCCTGAGGCTGACGTATAACATTTTTTTTTTTAAGTTAAGCACCATGTTTCACCGACCATTTGATTTAAAAACAAAAACATGATTTCAGGCCCTACTTTGTACCCTATTTGTGGAAAGTGCCAGTCGAGTGTGTTCTCTTTAACTGTTACTCAGCAATGGTGTGTGAAAAGCTGCCCAGCCCAGCTGAGATCTCGGCTGAGAGAGTGGAAAAGCTGATGAGCGTGGGAGCGCGCAGGTTTGACTCCCTGCCCGAGAAAACACAGGAGCTAAAAAAAGGTGAGTGCGTGTTAACGGCTACAGCAGAGAACCTGAAAGCAGAGGATGTGATTCACACAGCATTTCCTACCACCAGACTCCCAACTGTGGATACAAAACTCACACTCGTATTGCACGTGTGTGCTCTTCACTCAGGAAAACGGCGCTCTTAGATCTTTTCTAGCACTTTCTGCTCACTGGAAGCTTCCTAAAACGACAGTACTGCTCTGTGAACTGTATTTGGATTGAACGGCTCCACTTTTGACTTGTGGCTTTTTTAAGCTGGATGATGGTGCAGTGGCTTTTTGTTGTGTTCTTCTTCTTTGAAAGGCAATATTTCACCCAGAAATTAAAAAGCTGTCATCATTTACTCTCCCTTACGTTATTCCAAAACCATATAATCTTCCTTCTTCCGTGGAACATTAAAGATGCTTAGTCCTGAATGTTCGAGATGTTCTTTCCCACTTTTTATTGCGGTCAATCAAAAAGGCGTCATGAAAACACAAAAACACCATATTTTTTGCGCTGAGGTCATATGATAGCTGTGTGTGAGTAACAGACTTGGGTGTGGTTATTTTGGTATAATTGAGATACTAATATAGTTTTTATTCATATTTTGAATTTCTTTTTTTGTTTGCAGTGTATTCGCCTTTTTTGTTTTAATTTCAGATAAAGTTTTAGTAATTTTGTTGTGTTTTTTTGTAATTGAATCTTTTTTATTTTATTTGTAGGTTTTGTTCATTTGTTTGTATATATATATATATATATATATTTTTGTACATCAATTTGCAATATTTTGTCTTGGCGACTAGCTGTGAATAATACAAAAACAATTATATCTTTTTTATTTCAGTTAACATTTTTTTTCAAGTAACAAAATGGATGCATGATCAGCAGTTTCATGTGAGAAAAAGTTCAGATATCGCTCTTGCGTACGCCATACTAATTTATCACGTCCGCCAGCAGAAAGTGGCTTTATTTGAAAGCGACATCAGTGTAGGCCGTGGTTCATACATTGCTACACTATAGACAAAATCTCCCCGGCCAGACCTTTATAGAAAAAAGTTCATTCAAAAATCATATTCTGTCCTTATATAGGCTACTCATGTTGTTTCATGAGTGTATGCTGATTTATTTTTTTCTATAGAATAGAAGAAATTAAAATCATGATTTGCTGAAAACATTGCTTTTCACACAGTGTATTAGTGCACATTAAAAATGACACACCAAGGGCCAGATTTACTAAACAGGGTAAATTAGTGTGTGAGCGCAATTCCAAAAAAGCTGTGATGAGACCGGAAAGTGCAAATTAAAGAACACAGACACATTTCCATAATGACCAATGCAATATACCAAGAGTAGCACCTGGTTTTAGACATGCATTTTTTGAGTGGTAAATAATGGCGCAAATACCAGAAAATCGATTACTGTAAACCTTAGTCAATCAGCTTGCGTGATTCATTTAAATGCATAAATCGTGCGTCTGAAAGGAAAACTCCTATAAAATGCATATGCAATAAGGCCAGCTGCAAAAATAACCCTGTCCACGGTTTTTCAGAGCTACATTTTTTTACAGCGTGTCTTTACAGAAGTTTTTTAAAGGCAAAAGAGGGTTTGCTTTGCACTGGTGCGAACTGGCCCCAAGGCTTTTCGTGCTCGGTTTGAAGTCAGTGACAAAATGCATGAAACGCATGCAATGACATCCATACTATGATGTCATCAATACTGACATCCATAATATGGCTATACTGTACATGATGACAGGATGTTTTATTTTGGGGTGAACTATTGGTATTATAAATAATGGTTTAATTTAGAACCACAACAACTACGTTGGGTGATCCTTTGAACTCTTACATTCTTTATCTAGATTATAGACTTAGACTTAGACTTCTCTTTATTAATCCTTTGGGATGACTCCCAAAAGGAAATAGAAAATTCCAGCAGCAGTTTTAGCAAGAAAAAGAAAGGAGAATAGTAAATTAAAAGAAGACAGTACAAAAAACAAAATAACAGTAGTAATAATAATAATAATAATAAAAATAATACTAATAATAATAGTCAAAATATCAACAAAAGAAAAAAGACCATAAAAAAGTGTCAGTGATTATCTAGATCTTTAGAAAACCATCTAAATTAGTGGACAAAAGTGGGCAAATTTCCACCCTTCATTATAATATTATTAAAAATGTGTTTAAGATTTTGTAAGCATCCTGCATAGTTTTACTTGTAGTCACTTGTTTTATTTGTGCTAAATATGCAATGAACCTGCCAAATTGTGCGGACATAATTTTTGTCTTGGCGGTCATACAAATAAATTATGAACACTTGCATAAAACAAGTGAGAACAGTGAAAGATCTACTGATTTTGGTGTAGTCAGTTTATATTTGTTCGTGTGAGCTTTTTGGTTTTCTATGCATTTTTGTTTTGTCTTTTTTACAAATTAATTTTGTCAGATAATACCTTAATCAGGTTTAGTGTTATTTAAAAATGAATATAAAATATGTGGTCCCACTTTATATTAAGTGGCTTTAAGTACTATATACTGTACTTACATTGAAATTAATAATTCGATACAATGGACTTATTGTGTACATGCATGCTTTTACATTGTACTTATATTTTGAAAATACCTGCATGTAATTACACAGTTGACCCTTCCCTTACACCTTAACCCACCCTTAAACCGACCCATACAACCACACCTGACCCTAACCTTACCCGTATCACACCTCAATAGCAGCAAAAGTGTTTTACAATACAACCTGAACAAAATAAGTACATTGTACTTATTTTTCGATGTAAGTACATAGTACTTAAAGCCACTGAATATAGAGTGGGACCAAATATTTTCCTCATATTTTGATGATTTAATCGAACTTGAAGGATCATCACTTTTGGCCACTACATTGGTTCTGCTGCTTTAAAAGCCCAAGAAAGTCAAATTCATCATCTGAAGAACATTTCATGAAACCTCAAGAACTTTTTTTCTTTAAATCCACCAAAAAAACCCATACAGCTAAAAGTGGGTTCTCGATAACAAGTTTTTTTGTGAAATCTAATAGTGCTGCACTGAATAACCTGTAGTTTATTTACTGACTTTTGTAGCAGTGTGTGTTAAAAGTTGCCAGAGGGCATTTGTTTTTCCAGCCTTCACACAATTGCGACAAGAGTTTGTGTAATAGCAGGAGGCTTTTAATACCGCGTTGCCTGAGGCTGAGGTTTCTTTGAGCTCATGCATTAAGAAGCAAAGCGCTCCTCAATTCTGGCTCACGGATTGTAATATCACGCTTTAAAGTCATTTCCAATGGTGCTTAGGTGTGAAATTTATTTTGATTTTGTATTCATATAAAAGGACCTCACCGTGTCCCGTTTATATTGTGTTCAAAGTCCGAATTGTACAATTTCCCTAGTGTTGCTGGCATTAAATAAGACTTTCTTTTTAATCTATTTGCTCTGTGTGTTTGTCCCCTGTAGCATTTCTAGATTGTTCTGCTGATGAGACGGCACCTGTAATTGTCTTTGTGTCAAAGATGGTTTCTGTGGACTCCAAAGCTCTGCCACAGAACAAACAGAGGTATTTCACTTTTTTGGTTTATTTTCAGATAGACTTTAGTTGTAGAGAGCTTGAACTGTAGATGGCATGTGATCATAGTATTGGTGACTTTCTAATCCTAAGACTGCTATTCTCCAACTTTCTCATTGGGATTTATGACTATAGGAATAGGGCCGAACCCCCTGGTGCTGTTGGAGAAGTTTTTTACCAAAATGTTTTACTTTTTGGTGTTTTTAGAATTTTTTTACTTCATCCGAATGGTGTGAAACTTGGTAAAGTTTTGTCATGTACTATGTGAATGCATATATAAAGGTTAAATGGCCCTGAAAACAATAGACAAACTTGTACTGTTCGCGGTCATAGCGATTCAACGTTTGGTACTGTGCCCAAACAAAATCTTACCGAAAGCTCGGTTTTTTTTTTTTTAGATGTTTACTTCAAAATTTGGAACACAACTTCTTTAGATTTATGGCTGTGAATTTAAAAATAGTATTATGTTTCAGGTTTTTTGTTTCATTTCAGAAATAATCTGCCAAGTGTCTTCTTTAAAAAGAGACCAAACTTCAGTCTCTGTTCCAAAGCATTCAAGATTAATGATAAAGCTTCAGGTCTATGCTCAAAAAGTGAATAACTGGTAATAAATGGATCATAACTATTCCATAAATGTAATTTAGCACCATAAAATCCCCTAAAAATATTAAATAAATAATAGGATCAAACTAAATGATTGTACATTCATTTCATTGAGAAAAAAAGCTGTCAAGCAGTCAATTAATTATACATGAAGAGTTCAGATGCAAAAGCCTCTAAGTGCCATTTGAAATTTTCTTCTAGAATGATCATTTTTATCAAGCTTATATATTCAAGTTCAGTAATTTCACTTAAATGACAATTAATAGGTAGTCTTCATTGCATTTTAAGTGAAATTACTGAACTTAAATATACAAGCTTGATAAAAATGATCATTTTAGAAGAAAATTTCAAATGACACTTTTCACATGTTAGCTAGATTATATTCAGTAACTGTCTAGCAATATGTGTTGTGTTTATGCTTAAATAATGACTAAATTATGTCTTTTTAAAAACTTCTATCCCATGTCAAAAAGACCTTAAAATGCTCATGCGATTTTATGTACAGCATGTTTTGCACTTCAGACTTTTTTTTTTGTTGTTGGATTTTCCAGTTAGAGAATAGTCACGTTGCATCACAAAAACCAGCAAGCATTAATGTTCACGGTTTTGTTAAATTATTAAAATAATAACATAATCTCAGGGGGAACATCAAGTAAATATTTCAGGTTAAAGTGGTTTGGCTGACAAAAAAAATTGGGAATCCTTGCCTTAGTGAAAACAGGATGTCACGACATGGCTTACCACTTAAAAACATACAATATGAATGATAATATACTTCAGTTCACACATTTTCTGAAAAAAAAATATTTATTTTACATTTATTAAATAAAGCAATACATTATATTCAAAACGAAAGATTTTACTTCATTTAAAGATGGGATTATCATTTTGAATAAAAGACTAGGCGGATGGACATGCTTATATTTAAATGGGTGCAAATATTTGTGAAGGTCGGTGTATATAATATAACAATATTCCTTATGGTAATTTTCTTTCTAGCGTTTCATATATGAATCACTATATCTGTTAAAACACTATTCACAAAACTATTATAATAACCAATTGGACAGAAGGTATTTTTGCTGCAATGGCAATTGACGGGTGAATAGAGAAAATATAAATATTTAATTTATAAAGTAATAGTAAAATAATCAAAAGTATATTGTTGCTCCTATTCCAAGAGGACTATTTAGCTTTTTCCCTGAATATGTTTAGCAAACAGTCTTGAATGTTGTTTTGTCGTATGCAGCATCATATACTGTACAAAATGAGCCTTTTTCTGTCTCCTGTCACGTAAACGTGAAGACTCATTGTAATTTTGTTTTTCATATTTTTGTTTTGGTGGCTTAATGTGAGGAACATTTCACATATGTGTCTCCACATGGTGTTCTGGACGAAAACAGCCTTTAGGCATCATATATATATAAACGTCTGCTGGTAAATCTTCCACGAGGAAAGAGTAAGGACAGATGTTTTCTTTTGTAGATGGACTTCGATTTGAGTCGCTCACATAATTTACATCAGCGAGGATTAGACTATTATTCCGACATAAACCATGTGCTGCAACCACATGCAATTCCTAAAGATTTTATATGCTTGGATTTACCCATGTTAATTTTGGATGCTGACTTTGGCTTTATACTGCACAACAAAGACCAAATGCAAAAACTTTATTGTTAAGGGAATAGTTCACCCAAAATTCTGTCATCATTTACTTATCCTTATGTTGTTCCAAGTTTCTTTCTTCTGCTGACCACAAAAGATGATGTTTTAAATAATAATAATAATAATTCATCACATTTATATAGCGCCTTTCTGGACACTCAAAGCGCTTCACATAGAGGGGGGAATCTCCTCAACCACCACCAGTGTGCAGCATCCATCTGGATGATGCGACGGCTGCCATAGTGCGCCAGAACGCTCACGACACACCAGCTTACTGGTGGAGAGGAGACTGTGATGAAGCCAGTTGGTGTATATGGGGATGATTAGGAGGCCATGATGGACAGAGGCCACTGGGCAAATTTGGCCAGGATGCCGGGGTTACACCCCTACTCTTTCGAAAGACATCCTGGGATTTTTAATGACCACAGAGAGTCAGGACCTCGGTTTAACGTCTCATCCGAAGGACGGGTGTTTAAAGAATGTTGGTAACCAGTTTACGGTAGCCATTGACTTCAATAGTAGGAAAAAACAAATATTATGGAAGTCAATGGACACTGTCAACTGTCTGGTTACTAGGGTTGCGTATCGTTTGAATTTGAACGATTCTGATTACGATTCTGATTCCTTGATTGAATTCCGGTTCCTAAAGATTCTCGATTCCGATTCTTTAAAGAGGCAGGGTCAAAAAAGGTCTTTCTGAAGGAAATACTCCAAATACTCCTTTTCTCACAAATCTTGCATTTTGCCGTGAAAAGTGAAGCTACACTTTGGACCGCCGATGTAAGCTACTCATGTTCGACTCGCGCGGTTATGCCAACACTTCCGGTAGACGCTTTTTCTTTGGTGTCGTTCAGCGGTTTCTTCTTCCGGTCGGCAGGCTGTGAATATCGAAACTAGGAATCGAAATTTTAACTTTTGAACGATTCCGGGAAAAACGAAAAGTTAGTCCCGGTTCCAATCGATACTCGATTCTCGATACTCAACCCTACTGGTTACCAACATTCTTCAAAATATATTCTTTTTGAACCCTTTAAGACGTAATACAATTTCTTAGACTAAAGAAAGAAATGGTTTTAACTGTGCTTTGATGCACAGAATGTGAAATTCATATCAAATAAATTAAAATTAGTTTTTCTTTTTAGCTCTTAGTTTTTCTTGCTTTTATTTTTAGGGATTTAAAAACGGCAATTGATCCTGATTGATTTCCCTTTTTAGCTATCCAGTAGAGATTATTCCAATACCATACAAGTAGATTTCTGTTACAAAAATTCCAGTTTATGCAGGGGAATCTGATTTGATTTCCATCGAATTCCCTATATGATCGTTTTAGGATTGGAAGTTCCAAAAAGAATTCTCTATACATTCCTT